TTGCCTTCATTAATTTATTGAAAACCCAACGAAATTGAAAAGGCGTATGAACGTTTAAAACATAATAATTGGAGAGGTGAAAAGTTCATTATTTATGTCCCATCTTAATTAAAGGTGAAATTAATAAATTAAAAATAATACTCCCTCCGTCCCACATATTATGTTCATGTTGCCGTTTTTGTCCGCTCTATATTTCATGTCATTTTTTTTTTAAAAAAAATAATTACACACTTTAATCTCATTTTTAATTTTTTTGTTTAATTTTAATTAAACTAATTTAATTTATAATTATTTATATTATAGGATAATTATTTTCACTAATATATTCTTAATTATCTACTAATTATATCACTCCTAAAATACCGTGTGTAGCAGACGAGACGGAAGGAGTACTAACAAAATAAATAATTTAATCCGACCATAAAACTATACATGTAATATGGACGTTTAATATATTGATGATTGTGTTTGTTTATGTTTTTATCATTGTCTTCCCTCCAGCAAATATTCAATTTAATATAAATTTTTTTTTTTTTAAATTAATTTAGTTACTCAATAACTAAATTAATTTAAAATATTTAATAAAATATCACCAATTTATTCGTTTTGTGTTTTGATTTGATTTTTTAATATATATGACAAAAAAATGTGTCAATAAGATAAAAAATAATATTTTATAAATTATTGATTTAAAAAAATATATATTATATATATCAAAACTAATATTAAAAAATAATGAAGTGAACAAATTCATATTTTTTAATATATATATATTGAAGAAAAAAAACGGACACCCTACACCACAAACATCGAATAAATGCACATAAAAGGTACTGAATTTTAGATCTCTTTATTTTCTATATAAAATAGTAGTATTAATTTCAATCCTAACTAATTTATATAAATATATATATCCCGTAAAAAAATATATATATATATCATTAAAATTCTGTTTATACTAACTATTTTAATTTATTTGATATTATTTATTTTTTAAAAATATAACACTAAATATATTTTTTTCTCTCACAAAATTTCAAATCAGATACCAATTTTTAACTTTTCAAATTTTCTAAATTTTATATCTCTACAACAATATATGTTTGTTTGTGAGTTTAATTTCGTAGGTTTCAATTTTTTAATAATAAAAAATTGAATTTAAATAATTATTTAATATGATATAAATACATATTGATACAATATTTTAAATGTCAAATAAATTTAGTATAATATAAAAAAAATATTATTTAATATTTAAAAAAAAAATTGAATAATAATACTTCATTCGTCCCTCGACAATCTATCAATTTTTTAATTTTGATCCGTCCCATAATAAAATATCTATTTCATTTTTGAGTAATTATTATACTACTTATTTAATATTATAAATATTTTTTCAGTTTACAATATATTACATTAATGTCATTACTTTTTATATCGTACAATATTAACAAGATTAGTTTAGTGTTTTTATCTTTATTTCTACTACATTATAATATAATACTAATATTTTTAAAAATTTTTGTAAAAAGCAAATGGATAGATAAAATTTTTGATAAAACTCACAAAAAAGAATATAATCTAAGGATATATTTCATTCGTATACCTCTAAAAGTTATATTTATTTTTTGTATAATTGTATTAACATTAAAAATATTTTTATATTTGTATTTTTTCTTTACAAATATTACTTTATTAATATTATAAGATATTAATAAAAATATTTTTTTGTAATTTTTTTAATTTATATTATATTTTAATATAATAATTAATATTAAAATATTAGCTTACTGAGACCTTAGAAGCGAACAAATGTAGCGTATAGTATTTTAAATGGGAATATGATCTGATATGTGGTTATTACAAAGGAGGAGCTAGGGCAGGTTGTCCCTGTCCTGTCCTGTCTCACACCATTTCCTTTTCCAAGAACCCTAAAAAATAATTATAATAATTAAATAAAGTATAAAAAAATAAAAATGATTCATCCTACCTGTCGACTGAAATGTCGCACTCAATACGCCCACACCCCTCCCCTCCCCAATGCACTTTCATTGCTACCATTCATGACAAGTAACAATACATATACATAATTATATACTTCTATTGTGTCATAAAGAATATTGATATTATATTAATAATTGGTAAAAAATATGAATTAAATATTTTCTTTTGCTTTGTGAGTGTATTCGTGTAAAAAATAGTGGTAATTGTGTAATAAAAATGAAAATGTAAGGGTAGTTTTATGATTGTATGATTATTTATAAAAATAAGACTATTATTTTGAAACAGATTAAAATAGTAAATAAGATTATTCTATTGGGACGGAAGGAGTATATATATATATGTCTTTATTTATGTACGTGTGTTTTTGTATTCTTTTTACATAATTGGTATTACTACGCTGTCCAGTACTGTTTGCAAAGTATTAAATTCGATCGAAAGTTTACTCAGTACGCATTTTTAACTACCGGCTTCGGATTCTCATATTATTAAAATAAAATAAAATAATAATAATAATAGAGATCAATAATAATAATAGTAATCCTCGATCGAGCAATTGACCCTTTATATGTAATATAGAGTGGGTGTTTAATTTGTCGTGTAGTGTACGTATATTATATTATATTATATTATATTATATTATATCATCACATACCTTCACGTCACATTATTTTTGTTTAAATATAATGTTTTATTTATTCATAAAATATTAATAATTAAATATAAAATATTATTTTTTATATTATCAATATAATTTTTTTATATGTAATTTAACAAAAAAATATATTCATTCAAAAATATAAAAAAATAACAAATTTTATTTTCACTCTTTTTTTTAAATATTTTATTTTTATTTTTTAAAAATATCACATCAAATATATATTTTTTATTTAAAAACATCATACTATTTAATACTACTATTTCTAAAAATTTTAAAAATTTCAAATTAACTCTTTTATGTAAATTCTATACTGAGCCTTTTATTTCAATATAATTTTTTTAAAAATATTATATAACTAATACAATATATGATGATAAAAATCAATAAAAATACATAAAATATTATTTCTCATAATATTTTTACTATTTTTTATACTTTATTATAAAAATAATTAAAATTACAAATACTCCCTCGTTCATAAAACAATAGTTTCAAAACATCTGAATATAAATTGTAACATGTTATGCACTTTTTTTTCTTTTCTTTTTTTTTTTTAAATAATAAAGAAAATTTTAGAAAAAACAATGATTTTTGCTTTTGTTAGTAAAATAGAGGTAAAAAACCGAGGCCGCATGCAAATATAATGTTGAACTTTTGTTTGTTCCAATAATCAATCATTATGGGTGTGTTTGTTTTGAGAATTGAATTTTAAATACACTATTTATCTTTTTTTTATATATATAAAAAATATCAAATAAAACACTTATTTTTTATTTTTTATATTATACTCAAAATTAATTTTACATTCAAAATATCACATCAATTTTTATTTATATCACATCATACAACTATTCAAATTCAAAATTTTTATTATTCAAATCCCAATTCAAAATCTAAATCCCCGGACAAACACACCCTAACAGTTTTTTGTTTAGTCTCCTCTTAGAAATTTTAATTTATTTTAATACTATTTTCGTCAAGCCAGGAAGTAAATAGATGTTTATGTTCTGTATTTAACATTAAAAATATTTATATATTTGTATAATTTATTCCATAAATATTATTGTTTTGTATTATAAGAAATTAATAGATGTTTTTTTTATCTTTATTTATAGTACGTTTTGATGGAATAATTAATATTTAAAAATCAATCTAAAAAAACCATTGTATACTTTTTGGCTGAACAAAAGTAGTATTATTTATCAATAATAATTTTTTAGAAATATTATATTACATATTAATTTATTTTTTATTTTTTTATTTTCAAAAAATTTCAAGACTCAAAAAGTTCGATAGTATTTCACTTTGATATATAAATTTAGCATGCATAATTGCATATTATAATAATCCCTCCACTTATTAGCGGAGGCATGCATTTGAAAAATACACCACTTTCCAAATTCATAATCGCCTATCCAACACTATTAATTATATCCCCTTTTTTATCTCTCTCTTTCTAGATTGGGTTGACCTAGATCATAAATATTAAAAAAAAAAAAAAAAAAAAAAAAACTAATATGATACTCAGTCAATATATTTAATCGGAACCCGCAGTTGCTATCCAAAACACATGTCTTAATTATATTAATTATATGTCTTAATTATATATCTTACGATCATGAATCTAACTTTACACCATCAGATCATCCCTTAAAGACATATGTCTTAATTATATGTGTTGTAGCCGCTCCGCACCTCTATATATATATATATATATATATGGGTATGTACAAAAGAGTGGTGAAAATATATTGAATGCACACATAAATGGGTAAGAAAAGATAAAAAAGGGTAAAAGGCAAAGATGGAAATGATTGAGATTGGAGGACCAAAACAGACTTCTATATATAATAATATAAATGACATATTATGTACATAGTCATGGGATGGATCTATATCGATATCATGCATTGCATTGTGTATGTATATAGAAGCAGACATTTTTAAATATATATATTTCTTTTGTTAAATATTATAATGGACTGGTTTTGAACCCAAAGAGAGTTGCTTGATGGAAATAGGCCCAGCTCTGTGTTAGCCCATTTATTACAATACTCCAACAACTTCTTCATCTGTAATTTTTATTGAAAATTATAAAATAAAAAAAATCAATAACATAAAAGAAAAAAGCTTTATTTCAATCTTATTCGAAATTTTTTTTAATTTAATTTAATAATAAAATAATTGGAAGAAAAAAAATCATTTAAGAATCAAATAATAAATAAATTAATATCAACTGAGAAAAACGCGCTCTATTTTATTTATTTATTTATTTAAAAAAAAAAAGGAAAGTACAAAGGAAAATCAAGAAAGCACAACGTACAACCCGTCCCTGAATCCAATTCTAGGGTTTTGCAGGCAGGGTCAACATACGATTTGTCCATTTAACTGAATTTGGACGCAGAAACATGGCCGAAACGTCACTGGAAGAGCGAACCAACTCCAAATTCCTTCGGGTTAAAAATGTCGTCCAACAACACCACACCACGTCTGACGACGAAGAGAGCTACGGTATTAATCCAGCAATTCCCGGAAAACCCAAATACAAGTTCCACAAAATCGCGATATTCTTCGCCTACTGCGGCGTGGGATATCAGGGAATGCAAAAAAACCCCGGCGCGAAGACCATCGAAGGCGACCTGGAGGAAGCTCTTTACTTATCCGGCGCGGTCACCGAAGCGGACAGGGGTCAACCCAAGCGATTCGATTTTGCCAGATCAGCTCGGACTGATAAAGGCGTCAGTGCCGTGGGTCAAGTGGTGTCCGGCGGGTTTTACGTCGATCCGCCGGGATTGCTCGATCGATTGAACTCTAATTTGCCGCCGCAGATTCGGATATTCGGGTACAAGCGGGCGGCGGCGTCGTTTAACGCGAAGAAATTCTGCGATGGGCGGAGGTACGTTTATTTGATCCCTGTTTTCGCGCTCGATCCGTCTTGTCATCGTGATAGGGAGAGTGTTTTGGCTAGCGTTGGGTCTGGGAAAGAGCTTGTTAAGTGTTTGGAATGCTCGGAGAGAGGGAGAAAGGTTTTTGGTGTTATGGGGAAACGTTGGTGGCCGAAAACTGCAGGCGACAATGGTGATTTTGGTTCAGGCATTTCGTCGAACAGTGGAACTGCAGACCAAATTTCTGAAAAACCGTCTAATGTTGGAAATGGGAATGAATTTGAAGGTGAAAAAGATGTTCTGATGGATCCAATTCTTCTGTATAACAACGGAGCTGCTGTAATCGAAGAGAAAATTGTGGCAAATTCTTCAGAAATTGATTCTGGCTATAGAAATGGAGCTCAGGATATTGGGGAAACAATGGAAGCCAATTCTGAAAGTGAATTTGTTAATTGCAATGGAAAATCAGAAAAGAACTCCGATCGTAGCTACTGCTACGGCGAGGCTGTGCGCGAAAGGTTTAATCGAATACTGAAGCATTACGAAGGAAAGCATAATTTCCATAATTTCACAACAAGAATGAAAGCGGATGATCCTGCAGCCAATCGTCACATTATCTCCTTCAACGCCAACACCGCGCTTACTATCGATGGAATTGATTTCGTCAAGTGTGAAGTGGTGGGGCAGAGCTTCATGCTTCATCAAATCCGGAAGATGGTTGGTCTTGCCATTGCGATCATGAGGAACTGCGCATCCGAATCTTTGATCCAGACAGCCTTTCGGGAGTGAGTATTCGAATTCTTTGAAATGCTCGTGTGTAGATGAATGCAAAATCTTTGTTACTGATGCATGCATAGTTCTTGAATTCAGAGATGTGAACATAAATGTGCCGATGGCGCCTGAGGTTGGATTATACTTAGAGGAATGCTTCTTCACGTCGTACAATCAGAAATTTAAAGATACCTATGAAGACCTGTCGATAAAAGCTTATGCCGAAGAAGCGGAGGAGTTCAAATTGAAGCACATTTACTCTCACATTGCATCGGCTGAGCACAAGGATGGAGCCGTGGCCCTATGGCTGCATTCACTCAACTATCGCAACTATCCGGATTTGCGCGTAGCTTATACTTCCGAGGAAAGTTTTACACGATGGGGTGCGCCGCAAGAACAGATTCGGTGAGAACTAACCTTTCTAATGTGTTCCCTTTTGCAACAATTTTTAGATGCCTGAGAATTTGGATGAGAATTAATGTAGTCTGAAGATCATTGAACCTTGAAAAAGTTTCAAGGATGCTCAAATATATTGTTGTGTCAAAATTATGAAGTTAGAATTTTGTTGGGTCGTTTTGTTAATTTTGAAAGTTTAATGCAATGAATGGACGGGATAGAGTTTCTGCTAAGACTGATTTTTGGCCGTAGATTCGATATGTTCGTCTTTGGTGATCAAATCTAGGCCGTTGTTTCAGCCTGTACATTGGCCATGCAATTTCGTCTTCTAAAGGGACTTAAAAGAAGATATTTTTAAGGATGTGACAATTAAAAAGATTTTTCTTGGAAAAAAACATAGCAGGATTTAAATTATAAATTATAAATATAAATATCCTTATATATGTAAGGTCCACGGTCCATCAGCGTAGACGCCACGCGCCCCCAATTACAGGTCGCGGATAATGTCCAACGGCGTTGACTGGGCGGATCTTCCGCCGGAACTCCTCCAAACCGTCGCCACGCGCCTCCCTACCCTGGCCGATTACATCCGCTTCCGCGTCGTCTGCAAAAACTGGCGCGCATCAGCGCTCGTATCGAGGTTCTACCTTCCTCGTGAATTCCCGTGGCTCATGCTTCCCCTCAGCCGCTCCTCCGGTGGACGCCGCTTCTTCAATCCCCTGACGAAAAATCTGCACCGCCTAACCCTACCGGAGGCTTCCCATGGACGGCGGCGTGCTGGATCGTCACATGGCTGGCTGGTTCTAATCGATGAGTCTCCTTCGATTTTTATCATCAACCCTCTCACGCGCGACAGAATTTCTCTTCCGCCGTTGTCGTCGTTTCCAAACGTGATGAAATTCGACTTCTACAGTATAGGACGGGAATACACCCTCCGATCGCCTGAGAATGACCTGTACTATTATAATCTGAGGCAGATGCGGGATGCTTTCATTAAGAAGGTAATTCTATCTCACAGTCCTTACGAAGGATCTAAGTTTATTGCTTTAGCGCTTCTTAACCGCCATGAAAATCTTGCGTACTGCGAGAATGGCCATGGTCCGTGGAAAATCATCGATGAAGCGCGGTCATTCATTGAGGATGCGATTTATTTCAATAGTTCATTTTATGCTGTCAACAAATTTGGATCTCTGGCAATCTGTGATCTCTATGGGGCCTCGCCTAAGGTTAAGTTCATCAATGTAGGGCAACAAATTGGGGGTGATATGCAGTATTTGGTGAATGCAATGGGCGATCTTCTGTTAGTTTCGAGATATTTAGAGTTTGAAATTGATATTGAGCACTACCTGGAGGTGTGCAAAACGGTGAAGTTTCATGTGCTTAGGTTTGAATGGAATGAACAAAGGTGGGAGAGCATTGACAATTTGGGTGATAAGTTGTTGTTTTTGGGGGCAAATTCATCTATGGCTCAGCTAGCCAGTGACCATCCAGGCTGCACAGGGAATAGGATCTATTTTACAGATGATTATTCTGGGGCTAACTATGAGAGCATCACAGATGATCATGATGTTGGAGTATATAATTTGGAGGATGGAAGCATTGAAACGATTCCCTGCTATCCCCGGAATTCCCACTGGCCTATTTGGATGACCCCATCTTTGTGCTAAACATGTAAGTTAAATCTTATTGCTTTTCAATGTGTTCTTGCTTGGTTGATTGTGACTTTGCTCATGTCTCGTGGCTCTTATTGTTCAGCTAAATTTTCTTTTGCAATGGAAGCAGGATTTGATCTGTTTTACATGCTCTTGAGCTCAAATGTTGCATATACCCTTGTTGATTGATTGTTTGTTAGAATTAAAAACCTTTTGTTGCTTGTAAGTTGTAACATTTCCCTAGTGATTATTTTCTTATATGCAAGATTTAAGATGAATTGTGGGCATCAAAGATCTTTGCTGATAAATTTAAGATGAAAATGATAAATTCTTGGCAAGATTGTGTTCTTTGCTACATCTTCAGAATTTGGTTGAGAACAATGTTGCAGTAAATCATTTCACTGTTGAATCAAAACTTCACTGCCATCAAAATGCCATTGTAATTTAATTTGGCAATGGGCACTTGGTTTTCGACACAGACTTGTCTGGAGACAATGGTCCCCAAAAGGGTCCAAACACTGATAGCTAAACCAATGACATTTCAATTCATTCAAGTAACACAAACACACACTGGATTTGTAAATTAGGATATGAAAAAGACTAATCATAATTCCAAAATCCTAGTTTCTAAGTTCTATGCTATACAGATCCTACACTTACTTTCTAATCCCTATTTATTTTTTCAGCCTTTTCTTGATTTTTTATCACCTCTATGCAGCTTGATCAGGCAATACATCTGGTGGAGTATGTGTGAACTCCACAGTCAAAGACTGGAGCTTGATGGATAATTCTGGGATGATCACTCTCCATTCCGTAATCGACGATCGTACGGCTCTCCATCATCTCCTCATCGTACTCGTACACGAAGTCCGGGATCTCCACTCCCTTCCTCCTCACCTCAGTCCACAGGAACTCCAATCTGCTCACGTACCTCACCTTTCCATACAGCCTGTTTCAATCCAACCCAAAATAAAAATATATCCCTTTAGTCGATCCCTTCAGAAATTCGAAACTCTGTAAAAAAAAAAAAAAATGCTTACCCGGAGAAAAGGACACGGCCGAATGTGGCAAGGAAGATCCGGGACTGGAGGCCCGGGTGCAGGAAATAAAGTGCCTCCAGATTATCCCTAACCTTGGCCGGAACGGCGTCGTATAAGGACTTGAAAGCAGATATTCCGGGGAAGTCGTCGGAGCTTCTAACCCCTGTGTGAACATACACCACCGCGAAGGGCCGGGATTCCAGCACCGGAAAAATCTCATCTTCCAGGAATTTCTTCAGCGCAGAGACACTCACGGCTGCGAATCAAACAGACAAGATTAGAAACATGGCTATGGCTGGAGGGAGATTAAAATCAAAATCAATTGAATTGATATTAATACTCTGCAACAAAGAGTACCTGGGAAGAGTTTTCCGATGATCCGGAGGATCGGACGGCCTGTCTTGTCCGTCCCCTGAATTTTGAAGATCTCAAGCTTTCTGATGAGCTGTAGCTGTTCTTGGTCGAGTACTTCCATGGCTGGCTGAAGGTACGTTATATTAAAGAATGTGTAATTGTGTGTGAATATGTGAAGTTGTATTATGGAAGGGATGATGGTTATATAGAATAGAGGGAGGGGAGGAAATTGGAATGGATAATGGTGGGGATTTGAAATTGATAAAGGTAGTTGATAAGATTAAGAAGGTAATGAGGATTGAGATTTGAGGGAATGTGTAATTCCTTCCTTCCTTCCTTCCTAGGATTATGCAAATACGCAAATGTATGGTTATGTACAGTATTAGAGGAAGGAATATTCTTGGGAATCTTCTTGGAATTTAAGATATATCTGTGGGAAAGGGACAAATGGAGGGTAGGGGGTGCAGGCAGTCAATGCCACGTCTGGATCTGGGAAGAAGATGGGCCTCCAGTTTATTTCTGCATTGATTGTGTACGTATATACAGATAAAAATAATGACTACTTTCTTATTACATGCGAATATCACTAATGGGCTTTTTTAATTGGGCCTCCACGGCCCAATATACTTTTCTTTTTGTTAATTCTGGGCCATATGTGTGATGATGAATACTTTGTGGGCCAATTGATAATAATATTTGAAGGTTCAAATGACGTTGCTTTTTTAATTTAAATAATAAAAATAATGATTCGGGATAGGGTTTTATTGAAGTAATTTTTTAAAGAAGTAAAAGATTATAATATGGGAATTGCTGTCATTTGGAACGAGTGAGGATTGGGGTGCTATATCAAATAGGCAAATGGCCAAAAATAAATTCACATTTACTAGTTGTGTGACAAATTAATTATTATTCCTTATATTATTAAGGAACTATGCTTTTGTTTTTTCACTTATTTTTTTTTCTACATGTTTTTCAAATAAATAAATACAATATACGTATTCATTATTTTTATATATCCTATACAATTTTCTATACCTCATATATATATATATATTTCCAATGATCTCACAAAACAAACACACTTCTTAATTTCCTTTCTAAACAGTACATTACATTAGTATTACTTAAAGTTTTCTCATTTTATTTCTCTCTTTAATATTTTATATATCCAAGGCATTTTTTTATAATAAAACTAATTTTATATTAATCATAAATAAAGATAAATATTTTTTATTCATTTATAGTATATATATATTTTTTTCAATAAAATAATATCCATATTGTATATAGTAATTTTGAAGGGATTTAAGTACATATTTTAATTTTAATTTTTTTTATATTATTTAATTATAAATTAAATAATTAATTAAATAAATCTCCTAGAATCCAACTTCCAACTTAAATTTGAACAAATACCAAACACATTAGTTTTTTTTTTTTTTTTGTCATATATTTTTTCAATTTAAGATCAAACCACTATTTCGTTAAATAAAATAAGTAGTCTTTAGTCCCGTAAAAAATGACTTGATAGCATAGAGGTCTCATGACTGAAGTCATAAGTTTAAATTCTTGTTCATTAGGATATTCTCTGTCACACATAATGCATGCTTCCGACATCTTTAGATCTTGTATGTCAGATATGATTCAGGCCTAGTAATTTGCAGTTTTCATTCTCCGATGCCTCTGGATCTTGACTGTCATATATGATTTGAGCCTAGTTTGCGATTTCCATTTTTCAGACGCCTCTAAACCTTGTCTTATAAGATATGATTCGAGCCTAGTTTGCGAATTTTCATGTTATAAAAAAGATAGTCTTTAACAAAGCATGTATTTCGGCCCATTTTTTGTGGTTTCAATTTGAAAATGGGCTTTGGAACCCAAAATATAACTTAATTGTGGATGTTTTTTTTGTTCGAGTTACAAAGAAAAGGTTTCATAAGTCTTTATAAAAATACTTATCAAATCAACACAAATATATCATGATTTAATATTCAATTAGATCTATTTAGTGATAAAATAAACTTAATTATTAGAGTCCGTAAGAGTTACTAAATTATAATTTTATATAATTATTTTTTATATATTTTTTAAAATCAATTAATATTTCTATATAGAAAAAAAAAATTAAAGAATGAAAAATGCTTAAACAAAATTTATAAAAACAACACACCTAGCATAAGAAGTTGTGGCTATGAAATGATCAAAATGATCGTTTTACTTAAAATTTTAAACTGTCAAAGATACAACGTCATTAATTATTTTTTTCTAACATACAGGAGTCCCCAACACAAATGATTTGATTAATTAATCACATACAATGAATTCATGTAAAAATAAAACAAAAATACATTTGAAATAACAAACCCGTGTTGAAACGAAAATATGTTTCTAGCCTCAAATGCGGTCAAAAACACAATCTTTATTGTTCGGTCGGACTAATTACATTTAATAACAACAAACTAATTAATCAAAATTAAATAAAAAAAATTAATATATTATTGCGGCGGGCTCATTCAATTTTTCATATATGGCAACCTATCGAGTTGGTAATAATTATCGCGCGCTTTAATTGTGTCGGTAGCGGAAATATTATTAACTTGGCATATTCATGTTGTCGAAAATAAATTTATTGACAAAAATTCAAAAATTGTATTTATATACGTCAAGAAAATTCATTAAAAAATATTATATTCGACGCGCATAGGTAACAATATAATACATGTCTAACGTCGGAAATGGTTATAAAATAAATATTTTTTATTTGTAAATATAATAATTAGAACAATAAAAATAAAGGAATCATAGTCATTAACATATTAAATTTACACAACCAATCATAAATATATACTAACTAATTCTAACATATGGTAATTAATTTTGCATCATAATAATTGTTTTAAATTATTCTCTCCTATATATGTGCCTCTTTCTTTTTCATATATATATATATATGTATGTATTGTATCACCATCAACCTCTTGCTTTAGGGTTTTTGGGGGATTCAAAAAGGTTTCGAGGAATAAATTTTATTTTTGCTTCGATTATTATTATTATTATTATTTTGTAATACTAAGTATTGAAAATAGTAAAAAAGGAAGAGTGGTGAATCCAGGAGGGTAGAATTGCAGGTGCAGGTAGCAATGGAATTGGAATCAATGGCAGCGATCTTATCTGAGCACCTGAGCAGAAAAGCTGAATGAATGAATGAATGATATATATACACATCTACGCCTATATATAACGAAGTTTGATTGATGTAAGTATCACATTTATATATACATATATATATATATCTGCAGTTCTGTGAATTGATGAATCTGTTATGCTTGCCTATGCCTTCTTTGTATCCTTCTCTTAACATCACATCAGATCAGAATTAGGTTATACATACAGATATATATTTATATATATGTCTAGAGAGAGAGAGAGAGAGAGAGAGGAGGGTTGTGGGGGTGTGGGCCGTGGATGTGATGTGAGAGAGAGAGAGAAACCTTGAGATTTGCAGAGGGAATTAATGAATGTTGGTTGGTAAGATAGATAGTTGAAGAAGATGCAGCAGCACTAGTGTCTCTATGTGCTATCTGTCTAAGTCTTTTTGTTTTGAAACAATAAAAAATAGGGTGGTGATTTTTTCTCAGTTCCATCTATCATTCATTTTTGTTTACCTATTTATTTTATCATTTTTTTTTAAAAAAAATTATACAATAATTTTATTTTAATTTTTTATATATTTTTTAATTTTAATAATGAATTATCTTAATCTTAATTTATAACTATTTTTACTAATATATTTTTAATTATTTACTAATCATACTCTTCCTAGTAAATAGAAGTACTAAATTTAATTTCATTTTCTTTTTTAACAGGTGGTTAAATTTATCAATTACTCCATCCGTCCCATGTAATACATGTGTATTAACGTAGACATGGAAATCTAGGTAAAGTATAATTAGTAAGTAATAAAGAGGTGTATTAGTAAAAATAATTATTATTTAGTAAAAATAATTATAGATTAAGATTAAGATAAGTAAATAGTTTAATTAAAATTAAAAAAATTATAAAATTTAAAATTTAAAATGCGATTAAAGTGCATAATTATATTTTCAAAAATAGAAAGGACAAGTTATGCGGGACGAACGAAAATAGAAAATAGGGACAAATTATGTATTAATTTTAGTAGAGCAACAAATTAACGTTTAACAATTATACTTCTTTGACACTTATTGTCACTGCTTTAATTTTATTACATTAATTATCTTTTCATTTTTTAAGTTGGTACTAAATTTTCACAAATATTCTAATTTTTGTTGACCTGGTTTGACATATAGTAGTAGAGTAGGGTAGAGAAGAATATATATTTTGTTAGTGCCTACTACTAACGTATAGTAGCTAGCTAGGGATAGTAGTATCAGTTTTGTCATTAATAGGGTTGTGAGTCTGAGTCTGAGTCTTACCTTCTCTCTGTCTGTTTTGTTTCTCTCTCTCTTTCTCTAACAGCATATATACATATTTACTCAGCTTTGCCCGCCAACCACTTCATTGCTACGTACTTCCTTCTTACTTTGACTCACTTCTCTAATTCTCCTTCCAGTTATTATTCCATGATGCCATCCTCACCTGAGAAGACGACGACTGCAACTATTCCGGCGCCGAACGCCAACGGCGGACCACCTCCTCCTCCGACTCACGACGAGGTCGTCAAGAATCCATCTCTCTTCTTCACCACCCTCCATAGCTTCCACTCCTCCCGAGGCTCCAAATTCCTGTACGTATCCTCATTCGTATATATAAAACCCTAAAATTATCAATTAATCAGATATATATACATATATATATATATGTGTGTGTGTGTAGGATTCCTCCTGTGATCGGGGGCAAGGAGCTGAATCTTCATGTACTGTATGTGGAAGTGACTAAACGAGGGGGCTACAACAAGGCAACCCTACCCACCCACCCTCCTCTTCTTCTCCTTCTTCTTCTTCTTCTTCTTCTTCTTGAATACTGTACTGATAATTAATTACTGATATGAAAATGTTGCAGGTTGTGATGGAGAAGAAATGGAGAGAAATAAGCAAAGTGTTGGAGCTGTCTCCCACAACCACAAGTGCTTCCTACGCTCTCAGGAAGCATTATCTCACTCTTCTCTATGCCTACGAACACCATCTCTGCTACAAATCCCAACCCCATTCTCTTTCTCATTCTGCAGGTACTCTTCTACTATATTCTCTTAATTAATTAATTAATACTATACATGAGATGGGAAATACATCAGTCGATCGTACGGGTGGATATTGTCCGGAGGTAGAAAACATTGGACCTTTCAAAATATAATTAATAGTAATACTAATGAACAAGAAGGACGACAGCCATTAATTAATTCGACTCAGCTCACTGCTAACCTGCAACTAAATTGATGATAATAATTAAATAAATACTTACATATGAAGGGTGAGGGAATACCAACCACACACACACTCACCTTTTTTTTTTCTTTTTTTTTTCACTTAATTTAATTAAATTCCTCTACCACAAACAAACACCTTCTTATATTTTGATTTTGGTTTTTTATATATATATATATATATGTATTTCTTTTTGCAATGTGGTTTATATATTTTGTATGATGTGGATGTAGTTTCGGGTAATCAATAAGGACCACGAATATAAATTTAATTTTGATTTCGATTTTCCAACACTCACATCAACAGATGAAATTAAGGTTGGAACTTTTCGTGACCCTTCCAAATTATGGGCTCATTCAAAAACATTAAAGAAAACAAATTTTTGTTAAAATTTCCTTCTTTTTTGGCATGTGTAAATATTTTCTTCACACAAATTTACTGTCACATGTAACTTTTTCTTTTAGTAACATCACAATCCGCAATCGTTATTGTATCGTCGGAATCTGCAGTTGCTGCTATTACGTGTAATTGACACAGTATCTTCTTGCAGAGCATTCTTTCCAAGCTTCAGGGACTATCCATGGCAAATTCGAGTACGGCTACCTCGTCTCGGTCCAGCTCGAAAACGACGAGACTCTGACCGGCGTGCTCTACCACCCGGGCGCATCGATGCCGAGCCCTAATCAGCTGAGCAATGCCGGAGTGCCGTGCTGGAAGCCTAATCAGGGCAGTCGACATTCAAGAAGAAGAAAGGGAGGCGACCCAGATCGCCCGAAGCCCAACAGGAGTGGCTACAACTTCTACTTTGCCGAGAAGCATTCTTCGCTCAAATCTGAGTACCCGAACAGGGAGAGGGAGTTCACGAAGATGATCGGGCAATCCTGGAACAATCTCACCCCTCAAGAAAGGGAGGTGAGTTCTTACAGCTTTCTATCGCAACTAATTCGATAAATATCGATCAATCGATATGATATACGGGTGGGTTCGATGTCGTTTTGCAGGTGTATCAAGAGTTTGGGGTGAAGGACAAGGAGAGGTACCAGAGGGAAATGAAGGAGTACAAGGAGAAACAGAGTATGAAGCAACAGAACAATAATTGATGTCTTGATGATCATCGAGGGAAAGTCGAAAAGAAAAGATCGATCGATGGGGTTAAACAACTAGACAGCCATGGCTTGCTTTCTTCCTTCTTCTTCTAAAGAAGAGTTTTTATTTTTTGTTTCTTCGTTTTTTCTTTCTTCGAATGCTTTGGTTCGCATAAACTACCGTTTTTCTATGTTATTATTGGCTCTCGAACAAACCTAAGACAGAGTATTAGTACTAAAACGATATGCATCGATGAATGAATGCGAATGAGCCATGCTGATTACTTAAAATTAAAGCTTTCCCGCGAAAGAAGTAAACATGTGTATTTATCATGTCGGTTAAAGGGCTATGACTATTAGTAGCTAATGATGAATTACCAGAACAGATTGAGAAGAGCGCCGATTCCTGCTCAAGCTTTTCTGTTGAGACCGTGAAAGAACCGATGCTTTCTCCTCCTAGAATGCTTACCGGAGGATCTAGAGACGACGTATGGAATGAACTGCACCTGCAGAGGATTCAGAGAATTCGCGCCTATGAAATGTTCGTAAGTGAAAAGATAGCTAATTCGACAAATTATTTACTATGATTGCTAGACTATCATGCCAAATTGCTCCTATGTGCCAATATGCTATGAAACTTTGTTGCATGAGATGATTACATTCGGATTAAAATGAGAGATCCTCGGATAAGCTGCAGAGGATGATTTAACTTAGATATCATCTATCCTCATTGCATTTGTAGAATTACTTGAGCTAGATATAAGCCTTATCATAGGAATTGATTGAATCTGAAATACCTGAGAATTGTTCCTCACACCATAATCCTGAACTGGAGAACTGTCATCAAGAAGCTTCTCGTTATGATACCAAAGGCAAAAGTTTGCCCACACGTGGTTCCTGAAGATCCAGTAAGAAACATTTCTCAAATTTCAAGCTGAAATGTTTCAAAATTATTCCATGGAAGTATCAGCTGTAGCAGCATACCAAGAAATGTGGCGGTGGCCCATACTCGACTCTTCCATATCATTCACTTTCTTCTTAATTGCTAATTTCAAGTCCTTTACCGTTGCAGAGTTCAAAATCGCTACCTCTACACCACCGGAAATTATAAATAATAGATAACAGACCAGAATCCAAGCACATTTAGATATTGACTATAATGTGTTCGTTGAAATGCCAAAAAACCGCATTACCGAATGATGTTCCGTCCAATTTAAGAACGGTGATACGCATAGCACTTCCGAGCTCTAGGTTGATGAGAGTCTCCACATCTGATAGCGACGGCTTCTTCGGAACGTCGGCGAGAACTGGATCAGAAAGAAGCGCCGCCAGCGTCGATTGTAATCTAGCTTTCTTCATGCTGCTGCTGTTGTACTCCGGCGCGGCGGCACCGGCGCTCGTACCAGCCTCCTCCGCCTCCGTACCATCGATCGATGCATCCATCTAGCGACCTATCACAGATTCGATTTCAACTCTCACTGAATTGGAATCTCCAACCTTTCATCTTCTCCAACTGAAAATTCAAATCGGCAAAATTTAATTTATATATCCGACCCAAAATGGCCAGTCATGTTCAGGCCCATTAATGACGAGGTCCAGAAGAGGCCTGTTTAAATGTCTTAATCTAATTGGGCCAATAGGCCCATACTATTTAACGAGGCAAGAATTATTGTAGGCCCAATATGGCCCATTAAGAAAAAAGGCGTATATCATAAAACCCTAGCTAAACTCTTCGTCAGTCTGAGTCGTCTTCTTTCCCGATTAGAGGTACGTTGTTCTCCGAACGATCTCCATTTATGTCTGGTCATTCTTTCCGTGAAGTGTTGAAGTTGGTGTTTTTCTTTGGTATGATTGAAGTCGAGTGGTTTAATTTTACATATGTTGGTCCCGATTTCTCTGCTGCGGCAGCAGTTGTCGTTTGTTGGGAGATTATGCAAATTGGTTGAAATTATTAATATTGTAATCCGTATGTCTGTCTGTCTTTTTGTTTATATATGATGTTTGTTGCTAAAGTTAGAGGAGAACTGTCTCTTCACGGTTGATCGGAGTCTGGATTGATTTTTGGCGTTGTTCGGTCTGTTTGGCGTGTTGAAGGCTGTTGTTTGAATTCAACATTGGTGTTGCCTTTGCAGATAAGAGATGAGGTTGGAGAAGTGCTGGTTCTGTTCGTCTACTGTGTACCCAGGGCATGGGATACAATATGTTCGTAATGATGCTAAGGTGACAGCTTTTTCTTATGATACTTTTTATTTGTTTTATTTTAGAGTTCCTTGTCGCCACATGGTTTCTGTGGATTCATATGTGAAGTTTTATGTAAAAGGATTTAAGGATTGTAGGAATCACCATATGGATATATATCTAGCCTATGAGTTAAATTGCTCGGTTGAATTACATTACAAGAAGTCTTTTCAAAATATGATTCGTTTACATATGACATGAATCAGTTCGACTTTGTCAAGCTGATTGCTGGATGCTGCAATCTGGAAAAAACCAATGAACATAAGCTTTCCGTATGAAAGATTAGAGAAAATTGATCATGTATTTTTGCCCCACACTTTGATGCTTCTAGGACAGCTTTTATTAGTTTTTTTTTTTTTTTTTTTCTGACCTTATGATATATATTGCGCTCGTGTTTATGTTGTGGACGAAATTGTTCTTCGTTACTTTGTTGAGATTCTATAATCGATAGACATGTGGTCATCAATTTATTCTTGCTATTTTGCGATTTCCTGAATTCCCCTGGATTGATTTGGTGGAAATGATCAAAGTTACTGCTCTAGGTTATTGACATTGTATATCACCATGTGTATATCAAGTGATGACCTCCTCAATGTTGTATCACAGATCTTCAGGTTTTGCCGTTCCAAATGCCACAAAAACTTTAAGATGAAACGTAATCCTCGCAAAGTAAAATGGACAAAGGCATACAGGCGATTGCATGGGAAAGATATGACCCAAGTGAGTCCTATCTGCACTATTTTTTCTATAACTTGCTTCTGTGCTTTCTTTAAACCTATCTTCCTTTTCCATCAATATCCGAAGGATTCAACATTCGAGTTTGAAAGAAAACGAAACAGGCCAGAAAGATACGACAGGAATGTTACAGAGAACACACTCAAGGCCATCAAGAAAATTGATAAAGTCAGAGTTGATAGGGAGGCTAGACACCATGCAAAGAGGTTCATCTTTGTTCCCAAATTATTACATTACTTAATAACCACCCCTTTACAAATTTCCACTTAAAATCTGTTTTTTTTTTTTTCGATGCATTCAACTTCAACAGGATGAAGGGAAAGAAGGCTCAGTTGCTGAGAGAGGCAACGAAGGAACTGGAGCAGAGCATCCACATGGTCAAAGCCCCGGCTGCACTTCAACAAGACCCCTCGCTCACATTGCCGAAGATCAAGGTCAAGGTCACCCAAGAACAAACAGAGGGCAACGGGATGGTAGAGTAATCGAATCGCTTCCCCAATCTGTCGTAAAAGGTCCGTGTTATATCTTCAGAATAGCATTTTATCTCTCGTGTAAGCCGGACCAATTTTTTGTTTTGTCAACACCATGCTCTTCTGTCTTGATGGAAATTCGTCGTCTCAATGTTTGTTTTCTGTATGTTCATTTTTGTGTGCTAAGGTTTTCTAGATACAATGATCATACAAAATGTTTAAGTATCCATAGAAGTTGTGTTCAAGCATCCCATGTCTTATAATCGTTTTTGAAAGAAGAAACACCCTTAAACGGGCCATTTAGTGTATTTAGGTGAGTGTCTACGCCTATCAATCATTTATATATAGACAACATATGCAATACTTTGTTCAATATGAGAGCACTTTTTTATACTGATAACACGGGATCAGAGCGTTATGCGAGCTGAACGAGCTCAAGTATTTGTTGGCATTAGTGCTTTATTACACACATAAAATTCAACCACTCGATTGAATCACAAGAAAGAAGCAAACAAGTCCAAGATTTAACAAGCACACCAACAAAACCACACATTACATATCATTTCCAACATCAACAGATCAACGCCTAAGAGCAAGACCTTCGTCGATCTTTTCGAGCACTTTCTTCCACGACTCCCGGCCAGAGATCTCCCCCCACCACCGCCACACATTCTTCCTCGATGAAAAAAGCTCCTCTTTCTTGGCATTGTTCACCAAGTAGTGTATGTTGGGCAGGTGAGAAAGATCAGCCAATGTGAATTCATCCCCCGCCAAGAATCGACACTCCCCGAGCCTCTTCTCGTACACATCGAGCACTTTCTCCAGCTTCTCTTGATTCTCCTTCATCGCATTCTCATCCTGACTCAGCTTCAGCATTGGCGCATACAGTAGCCGGAGGATGAGGAAGGCGCTCGGCGGGTGGAAGTTATGCCCTTCGGCCTCCAGCCATTGATCAATGGAAGCTTTCTCCAGAGGATTTGTCCCGAATAGAGACTTGTTCCCTTGAGATGCATATTTCTCACATACATATCTTGATATTGCCCTGGATTCTGTTTTAGAACATTAATCGCAGCAGACAGTAAATAATTGGAGTAAAATTTTGCATAGTTCGATTATGAAATTTCTAGAACCCTAGATTGTTCGTTTGCCACAGCACATCAAAAGTACGAGCAGTTTCGCTTAACTACAATCTTCGTTAGCAATTGAAGAACGAGAAGTCGAAAATCTTACCGAACAGAGTGATGCTCCCGTCTTCAAATGCTGGCACTTGTCCGAAAGGCTATCCTCAAATAACAACCACCGACAAACAGAAATTAACAAATACAACCTCAATCGTCTTCTAAATGCTCGAATCTAAATATTCGCCAAAATATATATATAATAAATTAGCAAACCTGAAGTTTGAGGTAGTCAGGCATCTTGTGCTCGCCTTTGCTCATGTCAAGAGGCACGAGTTGAAACTGAACCTCCTTCTCGTGAAGACACGCCAGAACTCTGGCGACGGCGGTGGACATCGGAGGTCCGTACAATTTCACCGGAGGAGCAGCCATAGCCGAATCTTACAGTTGAGGATTAGGTGGAAAGAAGAAATGATTGCATTCTCCTTCCTATTATTTAAAGCCCCAATTACTAGTACGTGTCCAATTCCCAGCCTGCAATTCTATCGGGCCGGGCCTCACAAACAACTATTACAACGACCTTAACAAAAAGAAATGTACAAAAATACAAACAGTTCCCCTATAAATACGATAATTACCTCAATTTTTAAGTCTAACCACAGAGAATTGTACAAAAACGAACCGTCGACATAACAGAAACCTTAAACAGTACAAAACATTCTGTTCTATTACATTCATCATCTGCTAAACTAGCTAACCTCAAGAGGCACAGGTAGTCCAGTTGGAAGGCATCCGGCTGGAAGTTAAAGCCGGCATGTTGCGGACATTGACGTCGACCGGAAGCAGGCGGTACTCGATATCGAGCTCCCGGAATATTCTCACCATTTCCTCGACCAGCAGAGCTCTCCGGACAAACCTCTCGCCCATGTCCTGAAAATTCATCCGGTGCGAAGGCCACACCGAGAATTTCAGCCGGTTCATGTCCTCCACGTCTCGTATCACTATCATCGGTGCCGGGTACCAGTGGTCGCTCCGATTTTCGATATACCTGCAAATTACACATATCGGTGTTAAATACACATATATAGGAAGAAGGGAAATCGGAATTTCCGTTGAAATCGAATAGCTGATTGTGACGTACTTCGTGATCCTTTCCTTCATTAGCGCGATCTTCTCGACGGGAGTCGAAATGTGTATGCAGAATTCGATGGTGTCGCCCATGTCGGGGCTACGGTAGTAGTTGTTGATGGGCTTTGTCGATAGAACGCTGTTTGGGTAATAAATTTTGTGGTTGTCGAACTTGAGGAGAACTGTGGTGAGTATATTCATCTCTTCGACGATCATCTGGATTGCATTCGGAAGACGTTATATAAATAAGTAAATAGGGATGCGGAAATTAAGACTACGTCGTGAATTCGAGTAATTACCTGAACTCCATCGACTTCAATTCGATCGCCAACGTCGAACGGATGCATGACGAATAAAAAGATGATAGCTTCGAATGTAGTCTTGCAGGTGTTTCCGAACATGAACACGACCAAAAGGATCTGGGAGCTGAGGAAGATGAAGAAGTGTGTGGTCGCAACTTTGAGTATGAGAAGCGAGATTACGACGATGACGATTCCCACCAACACGTTCAGCATTTGGTGCAGTTTGTTTACGGCTGTCTTCGTGTCGTTTAGTGACAACGCTAGAGCTCTCCGTTCCCTAAATACATTGACCTGCCACGATCGTATAATCGAAATTCGTTATTACACAAAATATTCTAACATCGATCGAACCTTTTATGATGAAATGTAATGGAATCGATCATTCGGCTTACCACCCAATTCTTAAGGGCGCGCTTGCTGATTCCCTTTTGATCATTTCCTCCATCTTCGAAGAGACTCATTGTCTTCGAAACCTCGTCGGCGCGCATAAATCGCATTAAATCCTCTTGGTAAATGTACCTAATCATAAGATCATAACATTAACTTACATTGCAGGCAAACATTATGTAAGAACACTAAAGTAAAGATCATGATCGACAAATAGGACTTACTTCGACCCCGGCTTGGCGACATTGTTGAAGATTTTCCGGGCAGCTGCCTTCGCCTGTTTCTCGCTGGTGATCTGCACCATAGCCTCGTCTTCCTCGGTCGAGCCCTGTATCTTCTCATCAAGAGTGGAGAGCACCCCATTCCGAACAATGTTCATCAGTCTCTTCATGTTCCAAGCTGATATATTCTTCTGATTCAGTCGATGCAAATGATCAATGGTGATGGCGTTCTCCTCTTCCTTCTTCGACATCAATTTAGAGAACATCGGACTCTTAACTCCCGGCGACATTGCGCTCTTCCTCGGAGTGCCGCCGATCATTCTTCCGCTCTTCGGGAGTATGCTAGCTTTGAGATCAGCCGGGATAGTCGCCCCGGCATTCTGAAGCTTCTGAACCTCGATCATCACTCTGTCTTCTTCTTCCTGCTCGCGCTCAATCTCCAACAATGGCGGACCTGAGAGAGTCTCGATGACATACTGATTGAACAGCGATTCCTGAATCCTGTCGAAGAAGGTGCTCACGTGAAACGACGAGGCTAAAACCTTAACCAGCAATGTCTTCACCAGCCATATCAATGTTCCCACCAATAAGCACACCCAAATTTTGGTCACATATGGCAGAATATTCCGGTTGTTCGTCGCCTTCTCGACTCTCTCGTCGAAGATGCTCTGCCAAGCGATTAGAACTAATGCCAGCCATACGCAATTCTGTACTGCGTTCCTTAATCCGTACACGAAGTATAGAACTCGTTTACGAAGAAGAAAGTTGCGCTCGATTAGGAAAACTACAACCCTAATTCCCCAACCGGAAACCAATCTGCCGGAGATGAGTACCAGCACCATTAATTCCCATTTCCAGAGCTCCATGCTGAAGAGCGTCCGCTTTCTCAGTGCGTTGATGGTAAGACTGCAGATTAAGGCGGCGATAATCAGAATCAAGCTCAGTAGTTGGATGATTGACAGAGCGCTGAACTTCAATCGCTTGTACTCCTCCGGTAAATCGTCTTCAAGAAATGGATCGTCGTCGTCGATTTCGCTGGCGCCTTTCCCTAGGAGCTGAGATTTGGGGAATTTCTGCGTTTGGGGCTGAGATTTCCGGTCATTATCCTCCGGCGGGTCGAGTAGCCTCGACTTGGTTTTGGTGCGCATCAGACTGGATTTCCGGCGGAAGGAATTGTTCGAGCTGCAAACCACGACCTCCTCCTGCTCGGCATTGGACGACGACCGGCGGTTCGTCGCCGTCTCGACACTCTCGTGGAACGAGACGCGAACGTCTCTCGGACTCTCCAAAACCCTAGATAACGGCGATTGACGAGATAACGGCGATTCCGACGCTTCGATGTCGAATTCCTTGGAGTTAGCGGCGGCTCTCATAACGGCGTCGTTTGAGAAATCGTAGCTGGAGTCTCTCCACACATTGTTCGCCGCGGCGGTGCTACTGCTTCCTCCACCGCCACCGCCGGCGTCTCGATCGGGGGAAGCGGACGCGATGGCGACGGAGGACGAAGGCGGCGCCGCCATGGCCGGAGTTAGCAAAATCTGGTACTCTTCTTCGCTCTGGTGAGACGATTGCGGAGCTTTGAAGGATCTGCGCAGCGTTTCCATGGAAATGACGATCGGAACCTCCAAATTGAGGTTTATATATGTCAATGTGACCGATTAATTGCACTTTCTGTTGCTTCGATTAGCAGAAGGGTTTGCACTTTGCAGAGTGTGGTTTAATTAATTAATGGAAGAAAAAGGAGTTTTGAGAAGATAAATAAACAACAGCGACGGTGAAGCTGAGCTGTTGCTGCGCAGAGTCAGTCACGGAAACACATACAAAAGCTAAGGTTAAAAACGAAACTGCTGCGAAGATCTTAGCCGTCCAGATGTTGAAGGATCAACGGCTGTTGATCGTCGTTGGGTGTACGCGTTCGGCCAGGTGCGTTTCTTACAGTAATTCTAACGTTCACATTGTAGGGCCCCTAATCAAATCTGTCAGGATTTGTCTTTTTATTTTTCGAAAAATTGCTGTAATAATAATATGTACGTATTATTTTCACCGTTTCAATTTAAATTTCATTTTCTTAAAATTTTTATTCAGTTCAAAAGATCTTATTTATTTTTTTTACGATATTATATTTAATATTAAAAATATTTATATAATTTTTAATATAAATATTATTATAATAATATTATAAAATATTAATAAAAATATTTTTATTATTTTTTAATTTATATTATATTTTTATATAATAATTAATATTCAAATAGAATACAAAAGTAAATGAGAGGTTACAAAAATAATATTATTTAAATAAAAAATTATATTTAATATTTAATTTTAATTAAATGAAACAAATAATTGTATTATATATATGATAACTAATTTGAATATAAATTATTTTTAATTAATTCCCGCATTTAGAAAGAGAAATAAATCAGATAGATATTAGACCATCAATACAATAAATATTATTACAAAAATTGAGATCTTATCTCTACATAAATAAATGAATGAGTAAGGGTTTATATATGTCTTGAAATATTGGGATGCTACGGTAATAGTAAAAAATTAAATGTTACTACATTGTTAGACAAATAATAAAATTTCAATATAATATTTTAAATTAAAAATAAATAATTGATGTAATAAAATATTTAATATTTGTTGTGATAAACCAAAAATTCTAGAGTAAATGTTAAAAGCCTAACTCCTTTAATAAATCAATCCAAACTATTTAAAATGAATCGCTAAAATCGACCTGTAATTAATAAGTTGCAAATAAATACCACAATACCAAAAATTAGCGCTTAAATTGTGCTATGCACGAAATTATTATATTTAAAGTTAATTATTATACTATTTTTATTTAATTTATTTATATTTATATATAAATATCTATACTAAAAAATATATATAAAATAATAATCTAACATATTTATATTTTATTATTTTATTAATAAATATTCAAAACAATACGTGCATTCAGTGAACCCAGAAAATGTGAGCAAAATAAAACAGAATGTGACATGGGGATTATAAATAATGGAGGTGAGAGAGAAAAAGAGAAGTCAGTTTTTGGTCCATTATTCACATTGCCCATTTTTATTGTTATTATTTTATTTTATTTAATAAATTTATTTAAAAATAAATAAATGAAAGGTGGTATAGCAATATGATTATAGCAGCAACCAAAGTGGCGTATGGGGAAGGATCGAGACAGACAGCCGTGCCTAAAAGCACCAACGTAGATGGTGAGTGGTAGACTGTCGTAAAACGACAGGGGTCCACGTGTCATTATCCTGTTCGTAGGTTGAATGCACTTACAGACCTCCGCGTTTTTTTAGGTAGGGTTTGTTTTTTTTGAAAAATTGTATTTTCAGTTGATATTTAAATAATAAAAATTTGAACTATATAATATAATATAAATATGTGTTGATGTGATATTTTGAATATAATATTAATTTTAATATAATATAAAATAAAAAATAAATATTTAATTTAATATTTTTAACATAAATTAAAATGTGAAATAAAAATTAAATAAAATTAATTATTTTTTATTTTAAAAATATTACAAATAATTTTGGACATACCAAATAAAATGCTACGGAACAAATACACCTTAATTGATGAGTTGGACGACATTCCCAGCCAGGCCAGCTGTCCACAATTGGCGGCGGCCGGGGCTGGCGCCACCACGGACCGCCGCCTTTTGTGGCGGCGACCGGCGCGTACGATTGTAATATTTGTTTTGTTTCCTCGTTACCAGTGCAGTTAGTTCTAATTTATTTTAATTTATTGTATTTTATATATTATATTAGTCTTTTTGTTAGACAATAAATACTGTGTTAGGCTTTGGCACGTGAATGAAAGCGGAAATAGGTGAACGCTTTTTCTAAGATAAAAATATAATTTATTTTTATGTTACGCATTTCAATAAAATATGTTACACAGTTCAATAAATATTTATACACTACTACTGCTTTTATTTAACGTATAAGGGTGACCAGCATACAATATTATTCTAACACGTATATTTGGTAGTTGGAGTGTAATGTTATGATTTAAATATATATTTTTTTAAATATCTCTTTACGTAAATTTACTTATAATTTTTTTTTAGTATTTATGTATTTTTAACATCTTATATATTATTTTATAAACTAATTTACATTAATCATATATATACTTTTATTTATTTATATTAAATAAAAAATTATTTTGTAAAATATAATTTTTTTTATTAAATAAAAATTTTATTATCTATTTATTTGATTTTTGATGAAATTAGAGAAAAAAAAAAAACAGAATTTATTTGTAATTTTATTTTTCAAATAATTTTAAAACTAGTACATTAGTTGGGCTTAACCCGCCCATCCGATGCCCTATCCAATATTGGACTAAGCTTCAAAAATATAAATTCAACATAATTATAACTCAGCCCAAATCGGCCCAAAAATTGATAAAGTCCGATAGACTGGACCTGATTAGCTCAGCCCGACCCGAACCGACCCATTTAACCCACTTGCCTTTTGGGGGTCACTCCCTCGCATTTGAATTATTGTCAGAAATACAAAATTTCAATATTAAATATCATATTTTAAATAAAAATAAATTGCAAGATAAAAGAAAAAAAAAAAGACACACACAACCTAGATAATTTTATTAAATACAAAAAAGCCTCGACTGTGGACCGATGGATACTGTACAATCTTGCACATAGTCAGTTATAAATTCAGCTCGAATTATACATTTTATCGGTTAGAGGTTAAAACGGTTAGAATAACCGTAGCGCTCTATGTCCAAACACGGTACCTTTATACATTGTCGCCGTCAATTTGTTCACGCTTAATTTGCCATTCGCCGGGGAGCTGATGATATCGCTCTCCCAAGTTTCGCTTCTTTACAGCCCTATCGTCTTCCAACATCTGTGCCGAGATAAACTTACTTTTGTAATAAAGTTACTGTTGATAAGTACCGATGAAACTTTCAAAAGTATATATATGTGATGAGATTCTTTTACGGATCATACCTTGGCGGTCATGGATTGTAAGATCTCGACAATTTCATAAAACTCGGGCCTTAAAGAAGGTTCTCGCTGCCAACACTTTTCGAGCAGTTCTGCAAACATTGGGTGAGTGTGTCTTGGTATTGCCGGCCTTAGCCCCTTTCGAAGAAAGGACAACGTAAGACCACACATTAAGACAACATTTGTCGAAAAAACATAAGACAAACGGGACATATTATTCACATACCTTCTGGACTACGCCTACGGCTGCCTGCAACGGGGTCAAGTTTGCGTAGGGAATCTGTCGATGATGTAAGAAAAGGTCAAAACGAATAAACGGCGCCAATAATTTCCCAAATGTAATAAGAAATAGCGCGGGCTAAAATGCATATTAGAACAAACCTTTCCGGTTAAAAGCTCCCAAAGTACAATTCCGAAGCTGAACACATCGGCTTTATGGTTGTACGGTCTGTGCTCGATAACCTTAAAGACAATGGAAAAATTAGCATAATGTGTATATACATAATGGTAAGAAAAAAAGACAAGTATACCTCCGGAGCCATCCATCGATAGGTTCCCGTTTCGGCTGTCATAACTCCAGACTGTGATTTCACTCGAGCAACACCAAAGTCAGCAATTTTAACTACCTATACGGGACAACCTCTCGGGGCTCAAAACAAAGACAACATAGAATTGTGAAACAAGTTCAGACATTCTCTTCAACCCTTACTTCATTCTCGTCCATAAGAAGATTCGCGGCTTTCAAGTCCCTGTGAATTATATCATTCTGATGTAAGTAACTCATCCCCTTAGAAACGTCGATCGCCACCTTCAATATGGCCGGAAGCTTAAAAACCCCCTTCTTTTTGTGCAGGAAATCGTATACACTTCCCCCAGACATAAATTCTGAAAAAACAACATATATATATATATATATATACATACACGTGCGTGTACTTGAATAACAGAATCAAGAGGGACGTCATGGTTACCCGTAACGATGCATACGAGAGGTGGTCTAGTACACGCGCCAATAAATTGCACAACATTTTTGTGCCGAATTTTCCTGAACAGCAAAAATAAATCGAAGGCTTTACTAAATAAGACGTATAGGTTCAGAAATTTAATCAAAAAGCTCGAGCGTCTTAGGTAACCTCAAGATGATGACTTCTTGAGTGAATTCTCGTTGCATGTCTACATTAAGGTTTTCGGTCTTGAAAATTTTAACAGCCACATCTTGACTACGGAACATACCTTTATACCTGTGTTTATTTCAAAATTGAGAACTCGAACCGAACCAAAAGTATTTCGAATAAAACTCACATGTCTCCGTTCGTCCCTTCAGCAATCTTATACTCCAAATTCAATAAATCAGCGTCAATTTCCCATACATCGCTCCCGTCGAAAGGAATTTCCACACGGCTTGGCGGTAACGCGAAACAATTTGGGCTCTTCTCGTCAATGGACAGTGGCTCATGTTTGATGCCCAGATGTTTCTATAGGAAAATCTTGTAATGATTCGGATATATAATATATAAAATTACGTTAGAATATGAATATGTGTATGAATTCGGTACCTGAACATTCGAAATTTCCCTCACGAGGATGTTTCTGAGATGATCGATCCCCTAAGAATTTGTAAGTAGAAGATGAATCAACAAATCACAGCAACTCGAGGAGTGAGAGAGTATAATAACAGAGTACCTTTTCCCAACTACCAACAACAAAGACGTCCAAGGAGTAACCATCAATCGTGCAAAAAGCATGAGCTTCCTGAATGTTCAACCCGATCTCTGACATCAAGCAAGTCAACTGAAACTCAACCAAAAAAATTCCCACTCATTATCTGTAGAAGTTAGTTGTAACTTCACATTGATTCGAGCAGAAAATTATAATACAATCAAGTTCTATCAAAAAGGCGGAGATCAAAGCAATGGAACAGCTATTACAAGTGAATTTCATTGCACAAGGAAGAAAATGACAATATAATCAGTAACTTGTTAGGAAGCTGTGCTACTATATATATATATATATATATGTATATATTATCTTTCACACGCTCCCTCACGTCTAGGCATTCATTCTTTACCTAAAGCTTTAATAATATGAATACGCATAAATGGTTAGGATGGATTTAACATAGAACTTCCATACACGAATACCATGACATTCACAGCACGAACGCCTAACCAAAAAAGCTCGAGCCATAAGAGAGGTGTATAATTCTAAATTTGTTTACATTTAATTCGACCAACAATTACCGAATCAGTTCATACTCCACAACAGAATGCTATCATATCTACAAAATTGTGATCTGCATCACTTTATCAATATAATGACACATATGGAAATGAAAAATGTCAATTATAGATGCATTTTATTAGAAACTCTGGAAAGTAGAGCCAATACCTCACTAAGGAGCTTGGGCTTGTCTTTGGTTGAAATGGTTATTTCATACAACGGCCTGGAAAAAAATGGTTATATGACAAAAAAATTCAATTGAATCATAAAATCATTCAAAAATAACTCACAAACAGGTAACACAGGAAAAATTGAAAAATTAAAATTAGTTCAAACCTTTCAAAATATTACCCCAAAAAGTTTGATTCCCTACACACAGACCTGTTCCCATCTTGAGCTTCAGATGCATTTCCTTCGAAGGCAAGTTCAACATGAGATGACAAACCAAATGCCGGTGGTGGGTGAAGCCTGTAAAGACAAACGAGGGATCTTGATTAAAAATTCCAAACTCTGATAAGTACATTACTACTTTGTGAAAGACAAACAACATTTCAGTTGATATTTGATGTAAATACGCGCCTATCTTGCTGGAGAGCATACTCCCCTTTAGTGAAGCTTGAATGAACAGAATTGCTTGAACTTCCATCACTGGTGGGACGAAACTGCAGTAATTACAAACTATGAATCCAAAGTTTGTCAATTAAAACATTCGATGTGCAAAAATGTCAACTGAAATCAAGAAACTAATGATGCAGAGTTATCTTACAGATATTTCAGTATGACAAAAAACATATATAACCAATGTACTGCAAACAGTATTCGGGGAAGCAAATATGGTGATTGGTGATCCCTCTAGATCTAAAGAGTGCTAAAATTTAATTTCACCAGAAGACTAAAAGATTAATGTGCATCAGGACATCCTCAGCCTGTTCGATATACCTGTACAAGGCGGACATCAACAGCAGGTCTGGTAAGAGGATCACGCGCCATGTTCAACAATTTCTTGTGCATCAGGACATCCTCAGCCCGTTCGGGATTAACATCCAGAGCATAACTACAGAACCAGGATAAATAATGACATTACATTCCATTAAATGAACTACAGGCAAAGCAATAACCTCATCTCCAATTAAATGAGAGTTTCAGAAGTTCACTAAATGTTATACTTCTTCATGTTCCCTGTCTTTATTTACCCTTTTTCAGTAGCTACATTGAAATCCTTTTTTTTTTTTTTTCCGAAAAATAAAATGACATATGTCCGCACAGCCAAACCAATTGTTCAGAGCATAAACAGAAGAGGTCAAATTTCAGCTCCTCGACATTTGATGGTCCTATTAACATGGTGGAAAATTAGTCAACAACAAAAAAGCTTCAATCTTTACTTCATGTCATCATTCACTGAAATTCTTGTCCGATTATGAACCCAAATCTCAACATAAACCTTTTCTTCTCTCCCATCTTCCTACATCTATAAAAGAACCACGATTTTTGTTTTTCTTGAAATAAATTAAGTGCAAAGATGAAACCTAGTCAATGAATTTCAGGAAAATTGAAGATTAGAATAAATTTACCGAAGAGTAAGCATGCTAAAATGAGCCCACAATTCATCTTCAAACCCTGGCTCGGCAGCCTCTTCAACCTCCAATTCCTTCAATTTATATAATACTTCATGATAAACTTCAATCTTCTGCCTTCTTTTCCGGCTCTGAACCGGCGACCACTCAGACTGCTGGCTGCTACAGCTCTCTCTATCTCCCATCAAGAAATCGCTCAAATCAAAACACCTCGAAACAAAGAGGGGTATATACAAGCAACCCAGAAGGAATATGCACTTTGATTCAGATTCCAATCATTCCCAGCAGACAACATACGTAATTAAAAGGAAAGAAGAACAAAAGGGTAAAAAAAGAAAATAAATAAATATATATAGAGAGAGGGAGAGAGAGAGAGAGAGAAGACTTGGCAAGGGGTGACTCCAGTAGTCATGTATCTACTACATATTTCTTCGCATATTCTGAATTAAGTTGCATGATTCGGAAAACAAAAAACCCTGAAATAATTAATGACGAAAACGATTAAAAAAAAGTGTTGACGTGGATCCAAATTAAGCAGGTCATAACTTTGCCAGTATCACCCCATCGGTTGTCTGCTTTTCTCTACTTGAAATATTTTATGCATTCTATCCGTTTCAATGATGAACACTTTCGACTAAACAAATGTCCGGCGCCACATAAAAAAATAAGAATAAAATTGGAGCGATGTGAACCCACCTTCGAGTCTATCCAATTGAGAAGGATTACAAAAAGCTGTCCCATTTCCCACTCGAACCATGGCATTTCTCTCTTGGGCAATTCGTCGAACATGTGACGTGCAGTGCAATTAGGATGTGATCCATTAACGAGGCCAGTCATCCAATCACCGATTGCAACAATGATGATGCCAATTCTGCACCCCAATTCGATCATTCCGGATTCAATTCCCACTTTCAAACAACAAATGCTTGCGTAATCAATCAAGACTCGTTCGTTCTTGCGGGCTATCGTCAATAAAGTAAAGATGGATATAGCTTACCCTTTTTCAATTTCTTTTTTAGGAATATATTTGTGGTCGATGCCGCTGGGACCATGACGCTGACCTCATCTTTTTGGCTCCCAACCCTGTTGTTATATTTACAGTGTCGAAGCCATTTTTAATTAACTCCAAATTTGCTATAAAATTGAATCTTTACTACAATTATTTTTTAATTTATCTTATATATAATAAAAATAAAAATACTTTTATATAAAATAAATATACAGAGAATTTGTAAATATTAGACTATTTTTATCATTTGTAATTTATACTAAAAATAGGATTGATTTCTCACAAACATAATTTGAAATGAGCATTTTTGGACATGGTCTATTGTCGAATGGATTTTATTGATATAAATAAAATTGTTCAAATTTCTTATTAAATATTTCAAAACATTGAGTAAAATTTTTATTTTTAAAATTACAATCAAACGGGATGAAGTATCATATAGAACCAAAATTAATATTCTCGTCGAGTCTAGTTTGCAGAGTATTAGGTTCGCCGGGGGTTTACCCAGTATGCACTTTCGAATAGTGGGCTACGGGTTCCCACCAAAATTAATATTTGTGATATAAACGATCGTTCAAGGAGAAGTCGCACGTGTCATTTATTTAACTTGGTGGTCCGCACCGGCATGCATCCATGCAAAATACTTATAATGTTATAATCTTAACTTTGTCTTCAATTTTTTACTAAATAAAAAATCATAAAACAACTTTAAAAGACAAATAAAAATTAAATATAAGTACAATTTTTAAAAACAAAGGGAGTATACTATGCTTCTTTATGTATGTATTGCACATATTTTTTGGCTGTCAACTTAAGATAATATATATAATATATTGTACAATTTCCTAAATTAATCATGCAGGATTCCATGGCCCAATGGATAAGGTGCTGGTCTACGGAACCAGAGATTCTGGGTTCGATCCCCAGTGGAGTCTATCTATTTTATTAGCGTATAAATTCATATTTACTGAATAAAGAAATTGATAAATTGCTTATGGTCGACTTAGAATAATAAAATACATTTGTTTGGTTGAAGGATTTTGAAGGATTTCCACTGTTCATCCAATTTTTTCCCCCCAAAAACATCAAATCAAACACCTATTTTTCATTTTTTATATTATACTAAAAATCAATTTTACATTCAAAACATCACATCAAACCCTATTTATATCACATCATACAACTATTCAAATTCAAAATTTTTACTATTCAAATCCCAATTCAAAATTCAAACCCCCAAACAAACACACCCTAAAAGTAGGGGTGGGGTGGGGTGAGGGTGGAGTAAATGAAGGGTGGGGTGGGGTGAGGGGATGGTGCAGAGCAGTGTGCTGTGCTGTGGGCAGCTCTCTATATATATTTAATGTTAGAATCTTTGTCTGACGCCAACATCCATGCATGCAGTGCTATATAGATTAATAAATTAATTAATTAATTTTTTCTTTAATTATACCCTTATATTTTTCATTAGAAATTTTTAATTATACTAATATAAATTATTGGACAATTATTTATATATTTTATCAATAATAATTAATTATAAATACGAGATATAATTATTAATATGAAAGTATATTAATTGTATAATTTATTAATATTATATTATATACATATATAGTTTATCAATATTTATAAGTTTATCATTTAGTATTATTTTTTTTGATATATAACATATTATTTTAGGTTTATATTCGTTAGATTATTTTGTCAATTTGAATTCTGATAAATTATTTTTATAACAATTATAAAATTGAATTTATTAGAATTCAAATTGACAAAAAAAATATCTAAAAAATTGAATGTAAAATGTGTGTTTAGTTATTTTTTGAGAAAATTTTTATGATATTTTTTAATTTATGCTCTTTTTTATTTTAATATAATATTTATATATGTATTTGGAAAAATAAAATAAGAAGAGAAAATATCTAACTATTAATAATATTTTTCATATCTTCATTCACGATGTTATCCGCTTAAAAATTTTCATATTGATTATTTTCTTTTAAATCACTACCAAATAAATCGTATACAACATTTGTTATATTAAGTGTTAGTTTAAATTGAACAAATAAAAAACTGCATAATTAATTGTTAATTACTATTAAAAAATATAAAATACGTTAATTACTATTAATTGTTAATTATTCAAGAAAAAATAACTGTTACAATGAGAAAACGCTTTTTATATTTTGAATGAAAAGTAAAATTTATTAGTATGAAAAAGTAAAAGTATAACCGTTATATTTAATAAGTAGAGATAAATAAATTAATAGAGGTATAATAGTCTTTTACTATATTAATACATAATTAATAATTATTCTGTTCTGGGCAGAATCTGCCCATTTAGAGTACATTTATTAAAAAAATTTGCAAAATTGTCTATAACTCCCTTGTGGTTTCGAAACTCAGCGTAAATTCCCTCTCTACTTTAAAAATTGCATGGTACCTCCTTATACTTTAAAAAATATTGCATGAAACCACTTTGTGCTTTCGAAACTCAGCATAAATCCCCATTTTACTTTAAAAAATTGCATGACGCTCACTTATACTTTAAAAGATATTGCATAAAACCTTGCCATGCAAAACATATAGATATGAAATCATCTTCTTATCACATGAGGAAAGTTTTATGGTGGTGGGTTTCATGCAACGTTTTTTAAAGTATAAGGGGGTACCATGAAATTTTTAAAGTAGAGGTGGAATTTACGCTGAGTTTCGAAACCACAAGGGAGTTATGGGCAATTTTGCCAAAAAAAATTTAGAAGCACCCTTTTAAAAAAATATATATATATAAGCTTATTGAATAATTATGGTAACCTTAATTATAAATAAATATTTAATTTATTTAGAAACAACACACATGCCAACAATATTGAATATGTTGTTTTTGTGATTTTAAATTAAAATCAATGTTTATAAATACTATTTAAATAAAAATTAAATTAATATTTTATTTTAAATCAATTTTAAAGAACAATAAAATAAATCCATTACATTTGGTAATTAATAAAAATATTAATAATACATGAAAATAGCTTAATAAAAAATTTAAAACATAGTTATTGTGTTTAATTATATTTTATGTTTAAATAATACTTAAATATATATAAAATATATTTTATAAAATAATTATATCATATTATTTACATAGTAATTAAAAATAATAATAAAATAATACGGCCCAACAAACCCTAGTTGGAGAGTTGTTTGTGTAAATCTGTAAATTAAATGTGTTGGCAATGTAGCCCTCTTCTTTTAGTTTAATTTTTGGTTTTCTATTTGAAACATATTATTATATTTTTATAGAAAATTATAATAGTTACATAATAATAATAATAATAATAATAATAATAATAATAATTAAACTAAATTCAAAATAACATAAGTTTTTTTTTTTATGATATGGAAATCTGCAGTCGCTACCCGAAAGTGTCCACTGGATAAACCTCCAACCGAACCTAATATCCATTTAAATCCATGACCTCGTGATTACAAGTTCAAATCCTACACCAGCGCTATCCTTACGGACATAACATAAGCTATTTTTATGTAGAGATTAGTGGTTCATTTATATATACTACTGTTATGAAATTATGATATAGGGTAGGGTAGGGTAGGATAGTGTAAGGGGTGGGGTTGGGTGGGGTGGGGGGGGGTGGCATTTACTTCTCCCAACCAACCAACTAATTTCTTCTTGTCACAAATAGGATTATGTGATGCAGTTTGCAGATTTGAAAAGCTGAATTTGGGAAACAAATAGCTGCTGAGTTTTTCAATTCCTCTCAAAATATTTTTTTTAATATATATATATATATATTTTTATTTTGTCTAATTTATTTATTTATTTTTTTCCTGTTGAGTTTGGTATAATCAGAATTAGTCGAGACCTAAGTGAGTTGATATGATTATTACAGAATTGATATTTTTGTTCCTTTAATTTTGTATTCATTTTGGAATCAAAATAGAAATATGTATACTTTCTAACTGAACGGATGGAATAATATAATGTGAATTCTACGACAAAAGTTCTGACAACATAAAATATAGATGCACATTAGGGTTCTGAATCCTTAACTATATAATTTTTTTTATTTGTTTGTTTGTTTATTCAATTTGAAGTTGTAATATTTATTATTCATTTTTTAAATTTATGGGTAGTTTGATTTTATAAATTTCAGTTTCTAGTAATTTTAATTTTCATTTAAAGTTATTATATGAGTATGCAAGTGGAATTTTAAAACAGATGTAATCACTGTATGGACCAATACTGTGGTGCACCTATTAAAACAATGCAATTAATATGTGCATTCAAATATTTTTATTAAATAAGAATTTAATTTTATATTTAATATATATATATATATATTAAATAGGCATGGAAGAAAAGTGACAAATAACATTATGGATATTAATTACGGTGACAAAATCAACAACTCCATACCTACCAGCTTTAATTATATATATATATTATATATATTATTACTATCTTCAATAGTTTTCAATATATAATAAATATACTTGCATATATATGTCTATACTATTATATCATAATATATAATCAACAAAAAATTACAAAAAAGAAAAAAGAAAAAAGAAAATTATGTATAATATGTGTAAATAAATTAAAGCATATCGAAATCAATACAAATTTTTTCTTAACATTTAATGCTAAATGTTCAATTTTTTTCAAATAAATAAATAAATCAGATCTGAAAAAATGACTTCATTGAAATTTTAATTCATATATGAACTAATTTAATGACTAACACCCAACATTCTTTAATCGATACTTAATTTGCAAGAAAATCTTAAACAATACAATTTTATTATTTTTTTTTATAATAATTTTGAATAACATAATAAGAGATTCATTTTAACTTATATTCATGATGATTCACCCCCAAAAATAAATAAAATTCAAAATCAAGAAACAAGAATCACAAACCCTAATTTGGTTCAAACCCTAATTAAGATCATCATCCCAAACTGATGCATTGTGCTCCTTTATCGAGCAAAATCCCGGCAACCCCGTATGAAAAAAGCACTAAGATATTGGCACGGCTCAATCAAAAATGCAAGAAAAACGACCAATGGAACCCTTTCGATCCAAGAAAAAATATTTCTCCGGAACCATAGCCATCTCCCTTATGATACATATCTGAGTGAGCCGAGCCAACATCGTAGTAACTATTTCAACACTTTTCACTATTCAAAAACAATCCCGACACAAGGGGCAAATCAAATAACCAAATGCCCCCAAAGCAAGAACACCAAGAACCAAACCAAGAACTCAAGAAAACCCTAACAATTAGGAGAGAGAGAGATCTAGAGAGAGAGAGAGAGAGAGAGAAGTGAAGATGGAGGTGAGGTAGATGAGAGGAGAGTGAAGAGAAATGGTGCAACATTTAAAGGAGGGAGAGGAAAGAATTAGCTGTGGGAGCATTTAAAGACCATGGCTACCAAACCCTAAAAATAAGAGGACCAGTGCCATTAATGGCAATACATAAACACACACAATATTCTCTGTTTCTCTCACTCCAAATTGCAATCAATACATTATATACATGCATATATACATATATATATCATCTGTCTATATGTATCTATATTCATTATTATAAGGAATCTCCAGCTACTTCTCCTTCTCCCGGCCTGGCCTCTCCCCATCACTCTGTACAGCCTTCTGCTTTGTCCACAGTCTCCATTAATTTCTTGCTTTCTCTCTCTCTCTCTCTACACAAAACACACACACACATACATATATGATTTCATTCCCTAGCTAGCTAGCTAATTTGGGTTGTTCAATTTTATTGATTTGCCCAAGAACATTATATTTTGATTCAGTGATGGGATATGTATATATATATATATATTTGTATATAGATGGTTGGTTTGTGTGGTGTAAGCATTCCTTTTATGGTCGAAGAATTTTTATATATATAACATAGAGATATCAAATTAGGGTTTTTAAAATTTGAGATTTAATTACTATTATATATATTCAAAAATATATATATATATATGTATATATATATATATATGGTTTTTGCATTCAATTTGGGTGTGGCCGAATTCATTTATTGAGGTAGCTACGACTGATGAATTAATGCTTATATAACCGTGAAGTCGCGTTTTCGATTTGAAAGATAACGGTATAGTGAGGTTGTTTTCTTTGAATTTTTATTTTTATTTTTATTTTTTAATATATAATATAATACTCACGTATAAAAAAAATATATAAAATTTACTCTCACAAAAATTAAACCTTGAATTATGCGGAATTATTATTATTATTATTATTGAATGAAAAACAAGTATATGACTATGTACACGAAATTACGTATTCATAAAATCGAGATGAAAAACACAAGAAAATACATCGTTCATTTCAAGTATCATTTTTAGCCATTTATTTCAAAGATTACAAAAAAAAAAAAAAAAAAAAAACAAAGGCTCATTGAATTAAATTGGTAAAATGTTTGAACATATACTAAACATACTTTTAGTCATTCTACAATTTTATGTCACAAGAAAATATGTGTTATAATTAAGTGTATGTTTATTGAATACACAAATCTCTTCATATTAAAATAAATGTATATGTCATGAATTCACTAAATTTCTTAATATTTTTACTTAATTGGACATCGAGGGTATATATTTTTTTGAAACTTGTTTGTTCGCCGTTAACGACATGAAGTTATGCGCAACGATAAGCTTTCTTGATTAATGCATTCATCTACCAACGGTCCAACAATATATTTGAAGTTTTGTGAGCTACCTTAGGTGAAATGTCAGAGTGATGGTTGTTATATATTGTTTAGTTACGTCGGAATTAGTTGAACCAGTGCATCGTAAATATTGTTGTTGGTATATGCCACATAATTTCAAATATTTTGACCACGATTTTAGTTATTCAAATCTTTCGACATTTTTTCAATGAACACCCACCATTCATCCAAGTTTTCATTAGAAGCATTATAATCTTCTATAGAAAAATAAATAAATAAAATTAGAAATTAATATATTCTTTTAGAGCTTGGTTTATAAATATTTACTATGTAAATTCTATATATATATATAAAAGACAAATTTATCTTATAAAATATCATTTTCAAATTAATATATTCAAATTAAAACTAAAAACAAAATTAAACTCAGAAAGACCACGCCTTGAAGGCTCTTAATTTGAATGTTATGAGTATGTTCGATTCTGAAATTCGGAGGTTCCAAGAATGTTCGTCGATTTGTCGGTGTGGATTCCGGAAGTACTCCAGAGAGCCAATCCGTCGCCGGGCAACGCGAATTTCACACGATTACTGAATTAAACTACGATTAACTACGGAAAACGAGTAAATAAATTGCAGAAAGCATATAATCGGAATTAAATTGCATAAACGAAAATAAAACAAGGAAGAAAAATATGAAAAGATGCGATTTGTTCTGTTGTGCGTGTTTGTGTTGTGTTTCTTTTTCCTAATTGTAGTTCTATGCTAGAATAACTACTTTTTCCACTAAAGGGGTAGTTATAATTATTCTTCCACTGCTTTCTACCTCTCTTAACCACCAATTAACCTATTTTCATCGGTTCCCAGCGGCTTCCATTGCTCCTGGACTGGGTTCCATTCATCTTATCATTTTCCATTGTTCCTGGATCAAGTTCCATTCACTTTGGATCTCTTCCATTGCCTTCAGATCAGTCCTGCAGCCTACCCTGATTCGTTTCCATCATACTGCTAGCCGATCTACGGAAATGTGTTCCCAACAGCCTTGAGTTACATGGAACCCTCACTCTTCATGGCCTTCCGTTAGTATCATGAAGTTGCCGATTCAAAGTTAATGGAGTTTGTCGTCCGAAGGTCTATGGAAGTTATATCTTCTTGCTCCATGGAAGCTCCGTAGCCTAATGGAAGTCCTTACCTTCGACATTAAAACCCTTTTGGACTTGGGCTTTAGGGTTTAGGGTTTAGGGTCCCAACAAAGTGTTTTTAGTTTTAATTTTTTTTATTGAAAAATTCTTTAAAAGTGATGGTTTAAATGAAAATTAGATATTCTAAATTCAAATACATATAAATATGTATATATTACTAGGTAATATCACTATTATTTTACAAAACATTACATTCAACAATCATTCATAAAGACAACAAAAATCAAAATACTAAAAAAAAAAAAAAAAAAAAAACATTGTTGTCTATGATATAACTTAATGTGATATTTTTAGTAAAAAAAAATATTTCAATAATAAATAATGCAAAAATAAATGTAAAAAATTATTTGTTTCTACTTTTTCTTTTCTTTCTTTCTTTTTTTCTTAATTTTCTTTAGAAATATTTTATAATTATTTTTAGTTCGAAATATTTAAATAGAAATAATACAAAGTGAGTTTTTTATTTTTTTAAGAGAAAAAAAGAAGTTCAAGTAAACAAGCCCAATAACTATTTTCGTAAGGCCTACTTGTAAGAGCAGAGAACCTCAGAACTTGAATATTAAATGGGCTTTCAATGGGCCGGGTAAAAGCCCAAACAAAAGTAATCCAAAAATCCATTAACGAAATCGGACCTGACGTCAGCAACCGTAATATGTTTGTGTGTATATATAATATAGATATAAATAAGCGGTCCATTTTCTTCTACAGGTCTCAGCTGTTGTTGATAGTCATTCCAAGGGGGAAAAAATCAATCGAGGGATCGTACAAATTGGAAATGGAAACCCTAGCGATAACCACCGGCGTCGTTTCTGTGCCGATATTCTCTGCCAAAAAGTCCAGAGATCACTCGTTCCGGAGGCTCCTCCGATTCTCGACATCGCCTAAAAGTTTGATTTCTTTCCCCGCCTGAGAATTTTTGTTGCAGATGGTTCCGTTATTAACCCTAATTTCTGATTTTGGCAGATGGTGATAATAGCAGGTACAGCGACGAGAATGATCTTAAGTCGAATTCCGCTGATTCCGCGCTCGTTCCCATACTCGGAAATGGGACGCTGTCTAAGGTGAAAATCGAATTATGTTTTTGTGATGGTTGAATTGGCTTCGACGATTGTTGATTGATTAAATAAATTGGTTGCAGGATGCTGCGATGGGGCTTGTTTTGAGCGCGGCGAACGTTAGAGGATGGACAACTGGATCGGGCATGGAAGGTCCGCCTGTACCGGCCAGTTCGGAATCGGACGCTGGTATGGAGCGCGTCTCCACTTTCCCGTGGTCGCTCTTTACAAAATCCCCACGGCGGCGAATGCGAGTGGCCTTCACATGTAACATCTGCCGCCAGCGCACAACTCGTGCCATTAATCCACACGCCTACACAGACGGCACTGTTTTTGTTCAGGTACGCTTGTTCTGCATATCCAATCTGATGAATTACTGTGGAGGACTTTTCTTTGCCCCTAAATTCATTTGGAAATTTTGTTTAGGGTAGTTTGATGGAAACATTTCAGACGCTTGGCTTATATGCACAACAGTAGTTATCAATAGCCATGTAGCGGAACTGAGTGGCAGTCCGCCTTTTAAATTGAATAATATAGTAGTATAAAATCTTCGTTTACCAAATAACAAATATAATACTATATGAAATTTAAACCTACTTATAATAAATTTTATATTTTCCAATTTAAAAGGTTCTCGTAAATGTAGATTTTATACTATTATATTATAATTATGTACTATATCTACTTATAGTTGATTCTAGGAAGGGAAAAGATATTGTACTAGGGGTCGAACATACGATAGAAGAAATAGATGAAAATGAAATGATTAGGAAGAATATTCATACAAGAGTAGCCAATGATGATGGTGAAAATGAAGAAAAAAATTATTTATGATCTATGATTATGTATTTTTTTTCTTTTTACATTTTATTGGTTTGAATTATAATCATGAGATTAATCTATATATTTTTCTTATGCCTTTTTATTGTAATTTGTTAGATATAATAAATTTTATATGCATATCTTTGAATTCTTAAATGCCAGTCATCCTGTTGTCTGCTATCCTGCCTTAGCATTTTAAAGGTTGATCACTATATAATGCTTTCTGGGATTGACAACTATGTGCACAACATATATGAACTATTATAATCTTTCCTTTTGGGGTTTGGGGGGGAGGGGGGGTTCTGTATGTAGTGGGAATAAATCAATCCGGGTCTCAGTTTGCAGAACTTCTGACAACGAAAATAAAAAATCAACCTTCTAAGAACTTCATATGAAAATCTTTGGTTTATTATGTATGATAATTGTTTTATAATAGAGTTGGTGTGTAGTTTGAAAAGTCTGGTTGTAACGCATAAAGGATTAAGAATTTTTTCGAAATTTCAGATGGAAAACAAGATGTCTACATGTGCTCTCATGCAAAACTTTCGAGTTTTATTTACCAAATTTTCATCCTAGTGCAGTTTTATATTTTCTTCACAGCAATCCATAACATTGGAAAGTTAATTGACTGGTTTCCTTTTGCTTGGACAGTGCTGCGGGTGTAATGCATTTCATAAGCTGGTGGACAATTTGAATCTGTTCCAGGACATGAAGTGCTATGTGAATTCGAGTTTCAATCCAAATCCAGATAACGGCGTGAGCTTCACATATTTTAACTTGGATGAGGATAACAATGATGATATTTTTCCTCTTTTATGAGAGCTGATAAATGCTGGCAGTGCAATTGTTGTATTGGGGTCTGTTTAGTGATGTATATTCTATTGGTCTTTTATAGAACTGTATTTCATCAAAGCTTGTAAATAGGAGTTGAACTATTTTTATTACTGAATAAAGTTCTACGTTGTTCATGGTATTACAGTACAGATATTTACTTCGGCAAATTTGCATATTTCTTGCCATGATTGTGATCTATTGCATAAATTTGTGGATTCAGAACTGAAGTTGATCGTCTGTCTTTGGGGGAAACTAATGTTAGCCTCATTAGTGATGTAATTTCTTAGCTTTTATACGCGCGTTATAGGTGGAAATGTTTTGTAGTTTACGCTGATGTTTGTTCATAATCTAAGAGGATTCTTGTTTGTTGTGAAAACATGGAAATGCAGAATTGTTCAATGTGTCTTCAAGGTATTAGCGTCGCCCTACTTTCTTTTTCGCGTATTATTGGCTTCTTTATCGTATTCTATAACTAATGTTATGTAGGCAGCAGAATTATCTATTAAACTGCTGTCGAAAGAGATATACAACTATGGTTATCTTCCTCAACTGCGGTTATCTGCCTGTTTCGCTAGCTAAAGTTACGAGGCAAGTACATTCCTTTCAAAAAGATTACTACTTGCATTTTACATTTATGTGAGACTTGTATTTGTATGTCTGTCTATTCCCCAAGTCTCTCTCGAGCACCAGATCTCTACAAAAACATATCAATTGTAGAATATAGCGCAGAGTCTATGTAGTCAAAGCGTCCGGGAGGTTGGTGGGAGCCCCCAGCACCTTCCCACCGACATCTGGAAAGGTTTCATATCCGCGCAAAGGTTTAACTTTTCCGTTAGAATCTATGCCCACCGGGTACTTTATAAGATGACCCTCTAGTGGAGTGAAATTCTCAGCTGTGTATCTCTTCCAGTTGCCTTCGGCAATGGAGTTCACATGCTTCACACACTCCAGACTTTCGGGATCATTGAAGCATTTTTCGACCTTTCCCAAGTGCTCTGCCCAAAGCGACATTCTGTATCCGTATATCTGTGCATAGAGTTTCGTTAGTTTATGCATTTCATGTAACTAAAAATTGCGCAATGTGATTTTCTTTGCAGATGTGAAGAAACCTGGCCATGAGGATGTTCCTTCTTGTGAGCCCAGGTGTGATGCGGCTGGTAACCGCCCATTGCAATCTCTGTATCTCTCGAACCAGCCATGGACCTCTGGTTGATGTTGGCTGAGCCGAGTAGGACATACTCATCATCTACTACCATTCCCTTTGCGTGTACGTATATCATAAACCTTCCATTTTTCTGTGAAGGGGATACCTGGGAAGAGCATGTCTGAAGTTAAAGGCAGGGTGATACAGAGACTACCTAAGTAGATTTAAGTACCTGATTAGCACTCCCTGCGGATTGCTCCTTGGGTGCGGATGGCTCATGACACTCCTCTCGGTTGCCGAGGCAATAGAAGTTGAGATAGTCTGTTGGATGCACATTCTCAAGCCCCGCAGACTTGATCTCCCGAGCAATAACATCGTACATCATTTGCATTGTTTGTCCCTACGGTACCAAATTCCCGAAGTTCAAATCAAGCTACTAATACTACTATTTATCCTTTTGTTTGATGATCAGATTTTCGGCTTTTCGGTTGTTATGTTACCTGCCAATAAAGGATTTCTTGTACTGTGGCGGAGCTTGGAACACCCTCGGGCCACATTGGGATCACTACGTAAACAGTGAACCTCTCTTTTGCCCTAATTTTACTCACAATTTTTAGTGCAAGTTCCATCGGGATTAGATTGTCAGCACCTGGATAGACACAGACATTTATGGATTTTGTTGTTGCTAAGGAGATGAAACTGTGATCGATATATGAGCATTCAAGAACTTCTTACCTGCGTGTTTATAGGATGGCCAGGCATACGATGAACCGAGGAAATATTGGTTCTCGATGTATATGAAGCGCTGAGCAGATCTAATTGCTTGGATGTAAGCCATTTGAATGCTTCGATCTATCACCAAATGTTTTGCACACACGAGCCCCTGAAAAAAAGGAACCGATGTTTCTTAAAACTTACGAAGCTTTGGAAAGTAGCGATTTTTATAGAATTTGACCTTATGCTTGTTGTGATCCAGGTGTTTGGGAAACCCTTTCAGCGATCCGGAGTCGATGGATCGGAAGATCTGTGTGCATTGCAGATAGGAAACAAAGATACAGCCTTTAGCTGGATTTTGTGTGTTATGGAGACAAGTTGTGTGGATGGATGAAATAGGGACATTCTTGACCTGAACATGCCAATTCTCGGGATCGTCTTCCTGCGAAACCCACAAAGAGGGATGATCGTTTGGAGCCGCAGAGGTAGGGCTACTTATCCATGAGATGCGGTCGATCTTCAAAAGAGCATCGTCATGCCACCGTGATATTCTCTTAAACCTCTGGCCAATCTCCGACCATCTCGTGGCTTTCTTCCAACGTTGCTCGAAGTTGGTAAGAACGTCGTAAGCTGCTGGACCTTCGATCTTGCAGTGCAGATCATGCCATGGCTGCCGAGGGCCCTTTACTCCCGGCTATTCAAAGGTCGTATCGAGTTCGATGGATTACGTTCGTATGTATGGCCGCTAAGTGTTCGAAAAAGGAGGTGTAACTTACAGCAAATGTTGGGTTGTGATAATCTCCTTCAAAGACAGTGTCGCTATCCCGGAACAGTCTATGCTCGGGTGTGTCGTAGCGTCCGTCGCAGAGATCAAGACCCCCGATGAATGCCGAAATCTTCCTGTTATTGCCTTGCCCTTGTGTGTCCACAATGACACATTTCTGATGGTGAGTATACAGAGTTCCGACAACCTGCGGAGAAACAGAACGTACATAGCTCGATCAGCCATCGATCTAAAAAGAATCGTTACGATTGCTAAAAAAGGAAACATGCCTGTTGCTTGAAAATGCTGAGTTTACTGCTTGCGTAGCGCGGCGACAACACGCAATGCACCGACGAATGCTTGAAGAACTTCCTGGTTTCCTCGTCGTGAGTATTCATCACCCCTGTCTGCTACATCGAAGTTTTTCGACGTTAAATGATCATCTCACTTAAAAATTGAAGTTATTTGATCGATTTCCATTACCGTGTTGATGAAAAACTTGCTGTGGGAAGTCTTGTCATCCCAAACAAGGAGAAGAACTCTAACCCCTTCCTGAGATTTGTACTTGAGTAAGTCTCCTAAAGTGAGGTCTCCACCGGACGGCAATGGTCGCGACGGCTCCCTTACAAGCTTCACCTTGTGGTAAATCGACCATCCGACGACGTACACCAAATGGTGCGCCTCGAGTATAGCGTGGCAAATGTCTTCCCAGCACTTCTCGTGCTCGAAGTTTCCGGCGGCGTCGCCTAGATTGATATCCGGCAGCATTCCGTCGTGGACGTGCGCGTCCTGATACAGCGTAACCTTGCTGCCGTGCCGCATCGGGAAGTAACTCTCCGTCAACGCGTAGTTCTCCGATATGCCGTTGCGGTAGAGCGGATTGCTGCGGCAAGGCGTGAAGGAAATTCGCACTAGGAGCGCGGAATCCGGCTTGTGCGGCTTCCCCGACGGCCCGACCACCGGAAACCACTCGTTGATCGTCTCGCCAGTGGCGATCCTCTTCGCCGGAACCGTTGCGATGCCGATGTGGTCGGCGCCGAACACGTCGTTGTCTTTCACCTCGAACTCTACCTGCAATTGATAGGATATCGAATTTTTTGAATCGGATTGAACTGAATTGATTCGTTAGAGGTTATTTTATTGTTACCTGAGCGACGGGATGAGCTAACGGAATTCTGAAAGTTTCGTTCCAGACAGGATTCTGAGAATTGGAAATGACGCGCGTCCGCGCGACTCTGGCGCCGCCGACGATGACGGTGACGTACGGATCGCTGGTGATGATGTTGTTGTGGTGGTGGTGGTGGTGGTCCTTGCGGCGGCGCTTGGACGCCCAGGAGCTCCGACAGAAATCGAAGGCGGTGAAGACGCGGCGGAGGCGTTCGGAGACCAAATCCATGTTTGGTAGCGATCGAGCTTCCACGATTTTGAGGTCCAGGTCTCCATGGAGGTATATCGTCTTGCTTGCAGGTGTAACCGCCATTATTGTATTGTTTTTTGATTAAAATTTAAAAGTTGAAGAATGCAGATTGGCTGGCGATGGCGGAGATGAGTACCTAGGCTGTATCTCCGCCGTAGCCAATGGCGGAAGAAGGCGGGGCGACCAAATTCAACACCGGACTTCAGAATTGACAACAATCTATTCCTTTGTGCGTTAACGAATGGTATCTGGCGACGAGCCTAGCCTTTTAACATGGACACGTGTGCGGTCAGGATTTGAAGTTAACGACGACCGTTGTTGAGCTCCTGAGTTCTAGGGTAACAAAGATGTTCACTATTTTTTATTGCCCATGTTTATAGTTTTGGATTATAGATTTAATAAATAAATTATATTTTTAAAAATGATGAAATTTATTGGACTAGAGTAAAACTACCTATATTTTATACAAGCCCAGCCCAAATTAAACTGATTTAATATTGGGCCTAATTTAATAATAAGCCCATAACTTAAGGCCCAAAGATATACGTATAAAGTATAGACCAGTTAAAACTTCTCTTAAAGCTCGCAAATAAACTGAAAAAATAAATAAATAGAGAAAAAAATGAACTTCAGACTCCAGAAGTCACAGTGCGCCGCCGTCTCCGCGGCGGTGCACCGCCTCTCCCCGTCAAAACCACTTCAATACCTCCGATATAATCTACTACACGAAGGTCCGGATACGATCGACGAGCTCCTCGACAGACACCTCGCGAAGAACGATAAGAAGGTCTTCGACGACGACGACGACGAGAACGAGTCTCTGACTCGGCGGCGACTCACCAGCACTCGGCGGGAGGCCCTGAGTCTATACAGGGACATCATTCGGGCCACGCGGTTCTTCACGTGGCCCGATTCGCGAGGCGTGCTTTGGCGCGACGTCTTGAGGGAAAACGCTCGGAAGGAGTTCGAGGAGGCCCGATTCGAGAAGGATCCGGAAGTTGTGACCCGGCTGTTGATCGGAGGACGTGATGCGGTCCAGACTGCGATCGATAAGCTCGTGGAGAAGCAGAAGCAGGAGGTTGAGAAAGGGAAGAGCGATTTCCATTAACCCTAATTTGTAGGTAAATTTAATTGTCTGTAATTTTTTTGACCTAGAATATGGGGGAAATGGTGAATCGCTTATCCCTGTTCAATCTTGAGACAGCATTTTTTAATTTGGGTTCCTAATTTACATTAGAAACTCATTTTAGTGTGTCTCCTGTGAACGATTGAACTTAATTTGGGGTTACGAGATATGGTTTGTGGGTATGGAATCTACTGTGTTCTTGAGACTGGCAATGGTGATTTATCATTGCTTGGTTCAATTGAGTTTTTGCTCTCTTTCATTAAATCATTGGGGGAAAAGCTTAGGACAAGATTGATTTTGGGCTTGCATTAATGTTGCAATTTTGCAGAATGGAATAATGGACATTCTCAGATCGAATGATCCATGGATCGATCAGCTCTTCTAGTGCATTTGATCGATTCTTGATCGGAAAATGCCAAGTCTTCCATTATCAGTTCTTATATATTGGAAAACTTTTCCATCTAAATAAGGAAACAGTCTAATTATTTTGGGATTTACGAAAATAAAAAAGTAAATTTAAATTTTTGTTGGATGGAGAGAATATATTTTTCATTAAAAATTTTGCAAGATGAACAGTGACAACAAAATCAAGATTTCAACAAAGTCTCCTACCCTTTCACTTCAAATCAAGATTCAAGATTCCACTAGTCCTTGTCGTCCCTGACTTCCACTCTGACAAATCGAATGTATTATTGCACACAGATATTGGAGAAATCTGCTTCAATTCTACAATTTTCCTTTCAAAAACAGAGTGTTATTTTATTCCACAATATAAAAGAACAAACAAACAGATCTTCACACAAGAAAGCTCACAGCTCCTCCATCAATGGCGGTTCTGAATATCGATCACAAATCGGTACTTCACATCCCCTCTCACCAGGCGCTCCATCGCCGTGTTCACATAATCCATCCCTATAACCTCCACGTCCGCCACAATCCCGTGCTCCGCCGCGAAATCCATCATCTCCTGCGTCTCCTTCATCCCGCCGATCATACTACCACCCATCTTCCGCCGCCCCATCAGCAGCGAGAACGCCGGGATCTCCAACGGCTTGCTCGGCACCCCCACCATCACCATCTGCCCGTCCCTCTTCAGCAAGTTCAGCAGCGGCGGAATCGGGTGCGCCGCCGACACTGTGTCAATAATCCCGTCCAGACTCCCCGCCGCCGCCTGCAGCGCCGCCGCGTCGCGGCTGAGCAAAAAACAGTCGGCGCCGAGCTCTTCCACCGCCTCCTTCTTCTTCCCTACAGAAGTGCTAATGACGGTTACCTTCACCCCAAAGGCCTTCGCGAATTTAACCGCCACGTGGCCCAGCCCGCCCAGCCCGACCACGCCAATGTGCAGGCCGGGCTTGTCGAGCCCGTAGTGCTTCAGCGGGCTGTAGGCTGTAATCCCGGCGCAGAGGAGGGGGGCGCCTCCGTCCATCGGAAAATTCTCCGGCCACCGGATAATGAAATGCTCATCCGCCACCATGACGTCGGAGTAACCGCCCTGAGTGACGGCGCCGTCCGGGAGGACGGAGGCGTACGTGAACACCATTTGGGGACAGTAATTCTCGAGGTCGTTGGCGCAGTTGTCGCATTTCCGGCAGGAGTTCACCAAGCAACCTACGCCGACCTTGTCGCCGGCGCTGAACTTCTGCACCTTCGAACCGACCTCCGTCACGACGCCGACGATCTCGTGGCCGGGGACGAGCGGGTAGCGCGTGAATCCCCAATCGTTTTTGATCGCGTGCAGATCGGAATGGCAGATTCCGCAGTAGAGCACCTTCAACTGCACGTCCCGATCGCCGGTGGCGCGTCGCGAGAAATTGAAAGGCGAGAGCGTTCCCGACGCGTCCCTGGCTGCCAATCCGAATGCCTTCACTGATTCCGCCATTGTTGCTTTCTCTGAGCGTGCTTTCTAGTTTCAGAGCGGATCAGTGCATTATATAGTGGGGATAAGGGTAGTTTTGTCAAATCATTTCTGGTAATAGTAGCTGTGATGTATTATTGTCACAGTCCAATATTTTCACGACACGTTTAGTTAGCCTGTTTTAGGAAAGCAGCTAATTTTAGTTACCATGCCTCCAATATCACACAAAAAGGTATATTTGTTTCTTATAAATTTAAAATTTAAAATATAATTAAAATAAATAATTATATTTTAAAAATAAAAAAAACAAATTATATTGGAGGAACAAAATAAAAAATAATAACAAATTATACCAGACTAAAGAAATATTTTTTACAATTTTTTTTTAAAGTAATAATATAATAGTAAAATAAGGATATTTGTGAGAAAAATAAAATATTTTTAAATAATTACTTTAGTAAATAATTCAAAATAAAAATGTATATATTTTGTGAATAAAGAAAATGAATAATACTCTTCCCATTTGTTTACGTTATTATTCAATTTTTTTATTATTATCGATTTAATTTACATATTATAATGTATTTATACTAAATTATTTTATATATTTTATTTTTTACCTACCTCATCATTATATTATAATATACTTAATTCTATCAAATTATATATAAATTTGTTTAAACATGAAATTTAAAAATGATAATATTTTAATATTAAAATTAAACTAAGTAAATAAAATAAAATAAAAAGAATTTGTTAAAAAAATAATAGGATAAAAAAAAAATAGTGAGTGAATTACATAGTTATTTTTTTTACAATTTTAAATTTAAATTAATACTATTTTTCAATAAAAATATATTATCTTCGTCTCAATACAATAGTCTTGTTTATCATTTTTGTTCGTTTCAAAACAATAGTCTCATTTTTATAAATAATCATATCACTATAAAACTACATTTATTTTTTCATTATTATTACACAATTGCATCTACTTTTTACACTAATACACTCACAAGGGTAAAAAAACTTTTTTACTCATACTTTTTATCCACTACCAATATAATATCAATATTCCTTAAATCTTCGTATCAAATTCAACTCAAACTATAGTTTTGGGACCAATGAAATATTATTTTTTTAAAAAAAAATTCAAATCAACATCAAGCGGAGTCAAGGGTGTTCAATCCCCAAATTATTTTGTATTTTTATTATATAATATTTATATAATTTTTAAAATATAAGTAATTGATCACCCATATAAATATAATAAAGATATTATTATTACATATATTTAACTTAAACATTAATAAAATTTGATTCAAACATTCCAAATATTTAAAGGAAAAAAGCTAAATAAAACAAACTAAAACAGTTGTTTGTAATTTTTTAGATAAATCTAAAAAATTTTCATATTTAATTTTTTTTTATACAGTATTTCCTCCGTCCCAAACACCCTGCAATATTTCCTTTTTGGTATGTCTCAAACACCATGCAACATTTCCAAAATAAGAAATAATTAATTATACATAATTTCTACCCCACATTTTATCCTCTCACATCATCCAAATAAAAAAATAAAATATATATTTCTCTCTTTATCACATCACATGATTTCTAAATTATCCATCTTAATACTATTTACCTAAAAATTCGTGCCAAAAGCAAATATTGCACCTTATTTGAGATGGAGAGAATATTAATTATAATAGTTACCATCATTATGATTGTTTCCTTGTTTTAATTTATTATTATTTTATTATTTATTGTTGTTTCCTAATTGGCTTCAATAGAAATGCATATAAATAAATAATCCCTTAAAAAATTTACTCCCCCTTTTGGCTATTGCCTTCATTGATAGGTGCTCAGGCTGTTTTTCTTTTTCTTTTTTTTTTTTTAATGATGGAAATATATAATAATACTATTATTTTCGTCATATATAAATTGTTTATAGTTTTTATTTTGCTTCGTCTAATATATATATTTTTAAAAATAATAATTATACTCCTCAATTCCATGTAATATGGGTGTATTACTATAGACACGAGAATTTATGCAAAGTATAATTAGTAAGTAATTAAAAAGTGTATTAGTAAAAATAATTATTATTTAGTAAAAATAATTATAAATTAAGATTAAAATAAGTAAATAGTTTAATTAAAATTAAGAAAATTATAAAAGTTAAAATTTAAAATGCGATTAAAGTACATAATTATATTTCGAAAAATAGAAAGGACAAGTTATGTGGGACGGACGAAAATAGAAAATATGAACAAATTATGTGGGACGGAGAGAATATATTTTAATTGTATTTTACAATTTTTTAATTTTAATTAAATTAATGAATTATATTAATTGTAATATATAATTATTTGTATTATATAATAATTATTTTTTACTAATATACTTAAATTATTTACTAATTATATATTTTTTTAATTCTTATATATATATGGGAAACCAAACAAGAAAGGTTAAATTGTTGATTTTTTATAAATGAATGATATATAATATATTAGTGTGTGTATATTTGTATTTTATTTTCTACAAAATAATATTCATATAGTATACTTCCTTAGTCCGCCTTCAAAGGTTATATTTACCTTTTGCATTATTGTATTTAATATTAAAAATATACTTATATATTTTGTATAAATATCATTATATTAATATTATAAGACACTAATAAAAATATTTTTTATTTTTTATTTTTTGATTTATATTATGTTTTGATATAATAATTAATATTAAAATATCGACACACAAAAAATAATAAATTGTGACCCTTAGAGTCGAACGAAAAAAAATCATTAACCAATTATCTGGGACATAAAAAAATATTATGTAAAAATTTATATTGTTTACCTTTATAAACTTGAAATAAATACATAAATCGAAAAAATAAATAAATAAAAATGATTGAATTGAAAGGGAAGAAACGCCAAAAAAAAATATATGTCGGAAAATAAAGAGAAATGAAAAGATGTCTTTTTCTTGTAATGTTTAGGCCTTTATTTATTATCTAAAAAAGTGAGGTAGAATTTTACAATTTTCTATTTTCCTATTTTTTATGATTACTTATTTCTAATTTTCTGAAGAAAAATATGTCTTTTTCTTTTGGGCCTCTAATTTTCACACAATGATTTTTATTTTTATTTTTTCATTATATATATATATTATATAATTTAATCATTTCTAATTTAAAATAATTTATTTTTTATACTTTTTGGTCTCAATCTACTGTATGTCTTTGCTTGTAATAAATTGAAGTAATAATATAATGGTTTATTGGTAGTGAAACTGTATAATTTTATTTATTATTATTTTTTGATATTGTATATACAAAGTTATATAAAAATGGTATTAGTACATTATTATCTTTATAATAATAATATATATATATATATATAATAGACGAAAATAATAATACAAAAATATTGGATAGAGACGAGGGAGGAGTACGGAAATAGTAAATTGAACCACTATAATAATAATAAAAAATACAATATTATTTGCTAACCATGTATCATTGAAAAAGACATCAGTGTACAAATAATTACGTTGTGTTACAAAATATATAAGATAAATAAATAAATAAATAAATAAATAGCAATAATATAGAGAGAGAGAGAGAGAATCGTATATTATTATTATTATTACCAAATTAATACGATGAGTAACACATTTATACATATTTAAAAAGGCATTAGTCATCCTATTTGATAACTTGGAAACATACCTAAATGACACTTATAACAAAATGCAATTTATTTATACATATTTAAAAATTCATTAATCATCTCATTCGGTGACTTGGAAATATACGTAACCTAAATGATACCTATAACAAAATACAATCAATCGTAACTCATTGAAGAATTTTATTTGGTAATCTTCAATTTATTACTTAATTTGTGTAAAATAATAGTAAAAAAATAAAGTTTATATACAATAATTTTATTCTAACAATAAAATTCAAATATTTTACTCTAAAAATTATATTATATATAATTCCTTTTTATATTATTTTATAGAATTTTTATATGTTATGCTCAATTTTAATTTATTTTTACATTATCACCTAAAAATATTATATTTATATCTTATTTTAAAATTACATATATTTAATTAATAAATTATATACTTTTTTTCAAAAAAGAATTACCTATCATTTATCAAAATTACGACGTACACAAAAAAAAAAGAAATTAAAAAAAATGAACTATTGTCAAATATTCATGAAGTAACGATTACTGTTAATAAGATATTATCGAAAGTAGTGTATTATCAAAAAATAAACACAATTAATTACAGGTACTAATACCTCACTGATGAGGTCAGCTTTCTAGACTGTTCCACAATTTGAAATTACTAAACTAACCCTCCCACTTTCCATTTAAATCATCGGTCGTCGTCTCTGCTCCAGACGCATCTAGACTGCACTCTCGGAAATCAAAACAAATCTTCGAAAACAACAGCAATGGCGGAATCGGTCAAGGCATTCGGTTGGGCGGCCAGAGACGTCTCCGGAACGCTCTCTCCTTTCGACTTTTCGAGGCGCGCGACCGGCGAGAAGGACGTGCAGTTCAAGGTACTGTACTGCGGGATCTGCCATACAGATCTGCACAACGTCAGAAACGATTGGGGAATGTCACAGTACCCGTTCGTCCCCGGCCACGAGGTCGTCGGCGTCGTGACGGAAGTCGGATCGAAGGTCCAGAAGTTCAAGGTCGGCGACAAGGTCGGCGTAGGGTGTATGGTAAATTCCTGCCGGAATTGCGACTCCTGCGCCAAGGATCTCGAGAACTACTGCCCCAAAATGGTGCTCACGTACGGCTCCGTCCTGCCGGACGGCGGCGTCACTCACGGCGGTTATTCCGACATCATGGTGGCGGATGAGGATTTCATTATCCGGTGGCCGGAGAATTTTCCGATGGACAAAGGCGCTCCCCTGCTCTGCGCCGGAATCACAACCTACAGCCCGCTGAGACACTACGGGCTCGATAAGCCCGGCCTGCACATCGGCGTGGTCGGGCTTGGCGGGCTGGGCCACGTGGCGGTTAAATTCGCGAAGGCGTTTGGGGCGAAGGTAACCGTCATTAGCACTTCTGTAGGGAAGAAGAAGGAGGCGCTGGAATCGCTCGGCGCCGACTCCTTTTTGGTGAGCCGCGAGCCGGCGGAGCTGCAGGCGGCGGCGGGGACGCTGGACGGTATTATTGACACAGTTTCGGCGGCTCACCCGGTCCCGCCGCTGCTGAGCTTGCTGAAGACGGACGGGCAGATGGTGTTGGTCGGCGCGCCGAGCAAGCCGCTGGAGATTCCTGTTTTCTCGCTGATCATGGGGCGGCGGAAGATGGGCGGCAGTATGATCGGCGGAATCAAGGAGACGCAGGAGATGATCGATTTCGCGGCGAAGCACAACGTTTTGCCGGACGTGGAGATGATATCGATGGATTACGTAAACACGGCGATGGAGCGCCTGGAGAAAGGCGATGTGAAGTACCGGTTTGTGATCGACATTCAGAATACTCTGAAACGCAGTGAGTGAGTGGAGACGACGATGGTGGAGACGATGAATATGGGGGGGTATTTTGGACCTTTTGCTCTATGGATTTGTGTCTTCTTTACTATTAATATAGTACAATAATAATTAGTATTATATTATTATTATTATTATTATTGGTTTTGTTGGTTGTTTGTGGGTGTGGTTGAGCAGTATAATTAAAATAGTACTCTCCCCGAGTCTGTCTAGGTTGAAGTTTCTAGAATAATTATAATTACTAAAAATAATTCATTAGTATAATAATTATTTAATTAAATTTAATTGAAATTTAAAATAATTTAAATGAAATTGAAATATATAATTATTTTATTAAACATGAATAAAATGCGGAAGGAATAATTCTGTACTGTAAAGATGTATTGTACTCCTAATACGTTAGTTTTGTGGGGACATAAATAAAGTGTAGATAGTGATAACTCAAACGAAATTAAAATTTCGAAAATAGCTAAACACAAAGGAAATATAATTTAATATTTTTAAATTTATAATTATTTTTATTATATAATAATTCTTTTTATTAATATAATTTAAATTATTTACTAATTATAATATAAAAAATACTTAATTTAACATGAATCTACAATATAAACGAAAGTGTTGGGACACCTAAGGGCATATGTCACAGTGCATGTCCAGACAAAAATTGAGGAATCTTATTACTCCCACCCTCCAGGTACCAACGCTGTATTTTAAGAATGGTGTAATTAGTAGAAAAATAATAATTTATTAATAAAAATAATTATCCTATAATATAAATAATTATAAATTAAGATTAAGATAACTAATTAATTTAATTAAAATTATAAAAAATAAAAAATTTAAAATGAGATTAAAGTGTAATTATTTTTCAAAAAAGGAAACTGAGAGAGTATTATCTTATTTTGTATTTGTAGTTGGTTTCGATTAGATAACTATTTTTTAAAATTTAAAATACAAGTATTAAAAATACTAAAAAATTATCTATTAAATAATAGCATATATATATATATATTAAAAAGAAAGTACTGTTACAAAAATATAAAAACATATACATATGAATTGGGTGCCTTTATTTAGGTTTTGTTTGGGTATTTAAATAATGCTTAGTGAAATATTTTGTTAAAAAAACAATAATGTATCTTTTTTTAAAAAAATTAAGTAAAAAAATCCAAAGAAAAAATGAAATATCACAAAATTGTTAATTAAACATTATTTTAATTTTTAATATCAAATTAAAATCAAATTTTTAACAAAAAAAATAAATCAAAGAAAACACTCTTAGCTCATTCATCTCATCGAAATTTTTATAATTAAATCGGCGAAAAAAGATTCGAACACAAGGAATCATTTTTCTTACAATGAACGACACTTAATATTATTCCTCGAGCAAGAGATGCTACAACATATGTTATTCCATCCTTAACTTTCCAGCAAAGTCCACTGTCCCTTTCTTCATCATATCCACAAATTCTTTGTAATTGATCCTTCCATCCTACAATAATCGATATTTCATTCAAAGTATTATATCAAAGAATTAATTTTTCCTTTATATCTAAAAATAATTAAAATTAAAATACAATAAAATAAACAAATTAATTACCTTGTCGGTATCGACATCATCAAGAACCTCATTAATGGTGGCTTCATCTCCCATCCCATACTCTGTCATGGCGTGTCTTAACTCCTCTCTCGTAATAAACCTATAAAAGAATTAAATAAAAATAAGTATTTAATATAATACTTCGTAACAAGATAAAAATAAAAATATTCACGCATACCCGCTATCATCCTTGTCAAAAAATTGAAAGGCTTTGCGTAGATTTTCTTCCTTCTCCAATCTATGTCGATGCATAGTCGCTGTAATAAATTCTAAGTAATCTATCGTTCCATTTTGGTCTACATCGGCCTGCAAAAAATTCGATCCTTAGATTATATAAAAATATATTTAAAAAAATTGTCGACCAATAAATTAAAAGAAAATTGAAAACCAATGAAGACATGTTCCTACACACTTACGGCTTCCATAAGTTGTTGTATTTCGGATTCACTAAGGTTGGAGCCAAGTTTGGATAGGCCTTCTCGGAGTTCTTCAATGGTGATGGCACCGCTGCCGTCTGTGTCGATGTTGATGAACATTTGTTTCAATCCCTTGATGTCTTCTTCGGACAAGTTCTTTGCAATAACCTAATTTGGAAAGTTAAGATTCTTATGAATAACTATTCTTGGACAAAAGTTATAGGATTTTATCATTATGGTCAGCGAAATTTATAATCATTCATTGAAATTATTAGGAGTAGACGACCTTGAGAGCGAGCCTCTTGAGCTTGTTCATGGCCCGGAATTGCTTTAGCCGGATTAGGACAGCGCTGTCCATCGGTTTGTCCGAAGCTTCGCCGCCCTCCTTCAGCCATGGATGCCCTAAAAACACCATAGATTAATACATCATTATTTTTTTTCATTAGAATTATTTTCTCTTTTTCTTTTTTTATTTTTCAATTTATTATACTTGATTTTTACAAAAAAAAAAAAAATTACGATAAATAACTATTTCACTTGAAAATTACTTACACAAGTTAACAAATAGTACAAAATAAAATATACATAATACATGTACTTTAATATGGATGTATTTTAATTTAATTTTTTACCTTACACAAACTTATTTATCAATATAATATTATTTTTTAAAATTTATTATAAAAATCTTTTGAAACTATTTCTCGATAGGCTTACCGAGGGCCTCAGCAGCGGTAATTCTCTTTTGCGGATCCATTGTCAGCATTTTTTTGATGAGATCCTTTGCGCTGTCGGAGATCAATGGCCACGGCGAGGACCGAAGATCTACATAGCCCTTACGAATTTCTTCAAATATTACTTCCTCCGTCTCTATTAATAAATATATCGATAAAAATCTCACATTACTATATAATATATAATAGTATAGTAATCAAACTAAGAAATATTACATAATCATTTCTAACTCACCGCCCCAAAAAGGAGGAACTCCGCTTAAAAGTATATATAATATGACTCCAGCGCTCCAAATATCGATCTCTTTCCCATAATTTCTATCCAAAACTTCGGGTGCCACATAATATGCGCTCCCGACAACATCTTTATATACTTTTTCTGGTACAAAAAAAAAATACGATGTTGATGCAAAAATGCACGTAATGTCTAATGCTTCATATTGAATTCGATTGATATCATATCATAGGAGCATTGTAGCAATATTACATATTAAGAATTCTTTGCATTTAAATATGTTTTAAAAATATTTTAAAATTTAGAAAGAAAATAATAGAAAATGTAATTTTTAATATTCTCTTCATCTATTTAAAAAATTTATATTTTACAATTATCATCATTTTTAACATTAAGATTATATTTTTCTTTTAAATAAGTTTGACCGTATCATAAATTACAAATACCTTCAAAAATATACTTATTTGTATTAATATTATTATATCCAATTAAAGCATAAAAAAAAAAAAAAAAAACTTTCTTACACAAAAAAATACAACCAATTATCTCATTTGAATAAATTTTCAATTTAAAGATACCACTTATGTTTTCTGTTAGGGCATCTTGTATATTAATGTAATATAAATAAAACATATAATATAATCTCCCAGATAATATGCAATAGTTAATTTTCATACATAATACTCCCTCAGTCTCGAAATTAAATATCTATTTGCTTTTTGCACGTAATTTTATAAATATTAGTATTATATTACGATATAGTAGAAATAAAGTAGAAATGACTAAAATAACCTTATCGGTATGTGTGATATAAAGGTAATGATATTTGTGTAATATATTATAAGTTGTAAGGGTATTTGTAATATTAGGTAGATAGTACAGTTACTAAAAAAAGAAATTGATACTTTGTTATGAGATGGACTCAAATAGAAAAATTGATACTTTGTTATGGGACGTAGGGAATATAATTTTATATACTACCTCCGTCCACTGCCAATCTATCTATTTACTTTTTGTATGTTAATTTTTAAATATTAATTATTATATCAAAACATAGTACAAATTAAAGAAAAATGACAAAAATACTTCTATTGGTATCTTATAATACTAATAAAATAAAATTTGTAGAAAAAATTATACAAATATAAAAATATTTTTAATATTAAAAACAATGACGCCAAATACAAAGATTGGTGGTGGACGGAGGTAGTACTAAACATACATCACATATCTTTATTACATATAATATATATATTTTGCTAAATAAAAACATATCATATTTATATTTTATGTGATGATTTTTCCCATACATCAATTCTATTGTGCGAAACTAACCAAAGAAGGGAGGCATAGTAACATAGGATTATGCAATAATGGTAGGGTAGGGTAGGGTAGGGTAGGGTAGGTAGTAGGAATTGCTACCACATATCTCTTTCATGGATTAGATGAAAAACCAGAAATTAAAGGTTGACTTGGTTGACCCATATCTACTTGACCAGTTGACCTGCAAGTCAACTCTTCTTCAATCCCATGAACTTGTGATGTACGCTTTTTAGGGTTTCAACTGAAAATATTTTATTTAAGTTTTTTATATAAATAATATTCAAAGTGATATTCAAGGTTACAAAAATTTGGGATGTTTTAAAATTTTGTTTATTTTGTTTTGATTTCAAATTGTGATGGTGATTTGATTTTTTTGCTTAAATAATATTTTAATATATTTTTTTTACCAAAAAATGTTGTATTTTTTATTATGAACGATAGAAAATGAATAGTAAAAATTTTAATTTAAAATAAAAAATAAACACACCCTAATTAATTTAAAAATAAAAAATATAAATATTTAATCAAATATTTTATAAAATAATAATAATAATACAATATTACACTCACTTTGTGCGAATGCATTTTAATTTGTCATTTCGATTATCTCAAATCGATCTATTCATTTACTTTATTTCAAAAAACATAATATAAAAAAATAAATAAATGGATACATGTAAAATCCTAAAAAACATATATATATTAACAATTATTAATAATGGATGTGTTTAAAAAAGAAAAAAACAATCAAATTAATTAAGCTCAAAATAAATAATTAAACACGTAGAAACGAAGAAACCCTAATATAAATATAACAACAAACCTGGCTCGATGAAGACGGAGAGTCCAAAATCAGTGGCCTTCAATGGCGACTCCTCATCCCGGCTCACCATCAGGAAATTCTCCGGCTTCAGGTCTCTGTGCATCACTCCCATGAAATGGCAGACGTGGACCACATTCACCACCTGCCGTCCGATCCTCGCCGCCTCCTTCTCCGAGTAGCTCCCCCTAGCCGTTATCCGGTCGAAGAGCTCCCCGCCGGAGCAGAGCTCCAAGACCACGTGCACGCTGGTCGGGTCCTCGTACGCCCCCTTAAACTCCACGATGTTCGGCTGCCCCGTCAGGTGCTGTAAGATCATTATCTCCCGCCGCACGCCGTCCATGTCGTTCCTCGTGCGGAGCTTCCGCCGTGAAATCGACTTGCAGGCGAATTTCCGGCCGGTCGACTTCTCCGTGCAGAGGCACGTGACTCCGAATTGGCCCCGACCGAGCTCTTTGTCGAGTTCGTACACGTCGGTTATATCGGTGTACGGCTTTCCGAGGATGGGGCCGGTGGCGATAATAGGTGGCGCCGCCGCCGCCGGCGGCGACGGAAGGGGGAGGGGGAGGGGGAGGAAGTCCGATTTGGAGGAGGAGGAGGAAGAAGAAGAGATTGGAATGTCTCGGGGTTTTTTGAATAATTTGGAGAAACAGAATCCCATTTGGGGATTTTGAGGAATTGATGGAAGAAATTGGGGATTTTGGAGAAATTGAGGGAGGGTTTGAGGAAGATGATCGATCGATTTGATGGTGTGTATAATTAATAGAATGGGGGGGAGTTCTTGGAGGGTGTCGGGAGTGGAGGTCCAGATGGTGGGGGTGTTGGGGTCCGGGACCTGTTGAGGATAAGAGGTAAAAGTGGGAGAATATTGGGCGTGGGGGTAGACTCTTTTGAGGTGCTTTGCTTTGTTGCGTGGGTACGATAATGTATCGTGTTCTCTTTTATGTATCTATAAATATTAATTCCTACAATACGAATTCTTTTTTTAAAAAAATAAGATAAAAATAAATTTTTTTATTTTTTGAGTAAAGGACAAATAAAAAGTGATATTTTTTTTAAAAAAAAATAAAATAAAATATAATCAATTTAAATAACAAAAAAAAAAAGTAAAAATAGATTTAGAGAGAGAGAGTACTTTTTAGGTATTCCATATGACAATTTGTAAGAAAAATTAAGTGCCAAAAGGTAATAGTTTTTTTAAATTATTTCTAATTAAATAGTGAGAAATAGTAATATTTTAGCCGTTCTTTGTAGAATGTCGTAAATGTTTTGATCTTTAAAAATAATTACGAATCTCCGAATAATTAAAATAAGATATAAAAACATTTACGAATATATTATTTTAAAAAATAGTTATCATATTTCATTTTAAAAATATTCATTTCAATCTTATTTTTCATTCAATATATTATAGTATCATATCATTATTTTTAGATTTTAAAATATAATATGTTGTGATTTCATAGGAAAAAAAAAAAAAAAAATCTTAAAGAAGAAATGATCAAAGAATATTTATATTCTATCCTAATTTGAGCCAACATTCTATTCCTGTCCTAATTTAAGCTTAACCAAATCCACCTTAATTTTCCTATCCATATAATGTTGAACACTAATGGAGATAAAGAATTAACCCTTAGTATGTATTTTTAATTCAAAATATTATATCTAAAGTTTTCTTTTTTATTTACAACTATTCGAATTAAAAATATAAAAAATAAAAATATCATAACTCATATTTTAAGTGCATTTTAGCTTATTATTATTATTATTATTATTATTTTATATTAGTCAATAATAAATTGGATATGCAATATTTTGTGATAAAAAAAATATATATATTAAATTAAATATTGAAAAAATGAATAAGCAAACTTTTAAAAAATATGGATATGGAAACAATAAGAAAAAGAATTACATTCTTGTGTGTTTGAAATTGAGAATGCCATTTGTTCGATTTCTAACATCTTATTTGAACTACAATACAAAATATGGATATGGAAACAATAATTTAAGACAATCGGCCCATTTACGTAAGGCCCAAGAAGAAACTTGCATAATTTACCACATTGAGGTAGGCACTTTTTTTTTTCTTTACAAAAAAAAAAAAAAAAAAAAAAGAAGCCAACTCCCACTTATCTCTCTAATTCTATATTCATATTCTTATTTACTCTCTATACATTAATTTTATCTTTTTTACTCCATATTTTTACAAATTTATTCTTTTTCACTCCCTATTCATGTAAAAACCCTACGGTACCTTCATTTAATTTCTTTACCATTTTTTTTCTTTTTTCCAACTACACTGTAATTTTTATAATTTATTTATACTTTTTATTAAGTTAAATAAAAAATAAAAGATTACAACAACAAAAATAATAATTGACTAGAAATAATAATAATATATAATACAAAAGTACTCATAACTCTTACATTATAATTATATAAAATATTTATAAGAAAAATATTGATTTCAATTAAATATAAGTATGAATAATAGAATAAACAAGTTGAAAATAATGAATTTTTATTTGAAAAAATATTTTTCTATTATAAAAACTAATGTATTGTAACAAATCCTGTAAAAATTATTGAGCCATAAGTAAATAGATTCTATATACAAAAATTTATTTATATAAAATAAATAAATTTGTTCCATAGATAAACAAATAATATAATTAAATATTATTTACCTAAGGATTTTGGATTATATTTGATGGATATGAATAAAAAGTTATTTAGAGGGTAAAATAGGTAAAAATGTGTAATAATTACAAATAGGGAGTTATGTGGAATAAATAAGGAGCTAAATAAAAAAATTATATTAATAGAGACGACAATAAAAATGATTTAGGAATTGAAAATTGTAGGAAAATTAACCCAAATAAAAGTTATAGGCATTATTTAATTTTTATGCACAATAAATCCACAATAGGTAACTCTATTACTTATTATTTTATTCATTTTACTTTAGCAAAATAATAATCAATTTTTATTATTTTTTCTTTATCAATAGATTTAATAAATTTTTATACCACTCTCATTTTACCTTTTCGGCGACTCTATTTTATTATTAAAATATCATACTACATTTCTTAGTTTCCATATTCAATCCAATTATATAATTACCTGACTATTAGATTTGATCAAGAATTTATCCAAAATACATCCGATGAGTAACAATTGCGGATTCTCACTTTATAAAAAAAAAAACTAAAATTAAAATCCATGAGTCATTCAATTCCTACGACCTTAGCCATTACACACTTGGGGTGCACCTCGTACCCGCACCCGATGCACCCGTACGCTGGGCCCCGCCCGGGCTCATCGCATGTACAACATATATAAGGCCCGCCCATCGGCGCCAATGACAATTCGTGCCGGTGGGCCCAATGCACCTTCGATACCGGAAGGTTCTTGGCTTCTTCCTCAGCTTCCTTCTCTAATTCCTTCGTTCTATGGTCCGTAAACGGATAGGCCTTTTCCTCGTATATGCTCACGAGGTTCCTCCCATCCTTGGACACTGTCTTCCCGTCGGGTCCTAGGATGACCAGACAGGGGATTCTCCGGACATCAAAATGCCTCACAAGCGTTCTTACGTTCGCATCGCCGTAAGGCAATGCCAACCACGGCATTGCCTGGAGATGCGAATTGAATGATGCTTGATCGTGATCGTTCGATACGAATACAATTTCGAAAGTTTCGTTGTGATTTTGGAGAATCTTGTTGTAGACAGATGTGAGTTTTGGCGTGAAATTCACGGCTGGCGAGCACCATTGCGCCGAGAAATATAGACCGATTGTCTTTCCGATCAAAGACGAAATAGGCACCTAAGGCATCAATTTTCAAATTAATTTATGTATTAAGATAATTACATTAAAATAGAATTCCTTAGTCTATTGTATGTATCCATTTACTTTTACTATGGGTGTGTCCGAGGATTAGATTAGATTTCCACTGTTCATTCTATTTTTTTCTCTCAAAAACATTAAATTAAACACCTATTTTTCATTTTTTATATTATACTAAAAATCAATTTTACATTCAAAATATCACATCAACGTTTATTTATATCACATCATACAACTATTCAAATTCAAAATTTTTACTATTCAAATCCCAACTCAAAATCCAAATCCCCGAACAAACACACCCTATATAAATCAAGGAAATTTACATGTTGTATGGTATATTGACTAAAATGTTATAGTTTCCTTCTAAATTATAAGATAGGATAATAATAATAATACGGTAAAATACAATATCCGTATCAAATACTTATAAAAAGAGAGAAGTGAAAGTGACCTGTTGGGATGATCCATGGCGGATAAGGTAATCTCTGCCATTAACGTTGGTAAGCAAGCTTTCCAAGCTCTGATTCTTGTGCTCATCTTTCTCCTTCTCCACTAACTCTCGCATTCTTTCCTCGCTGAACGGATAAGCCTCAGCACCGTGCCGGAATATTACATCAACCCCGTCCACCACGGTGGCGCCGCCGCCGTCGGGCTGCAAAATAACGAGGCTGGGGATTGCTTCGACGTCGAATCTTTCATTAAGTGCTCTTTTAATTTCCAAATCGGAGAAAGGAATAGCAAGCCATGGCATGGCGGAAAAGTAGGTCTTGAAGGCCTCTATATCTTCATCGGAGGACACGAAAACAACCTCGAACCCACCGGCGTCGGAAATTTTAAGGTTGTCGTAGACGGCGGCGAGGGCGCGCGTGAATTCACGGCACGGCGGATCCCAGTTGGCCGAGAAGAATATTCCCAGAATCTTTCCATCAAGATCCCCGATTTTCACCTGAAATACCGATTTTCCAAAGGATCGTGAACGTAGGGAATCTTCTAGAAGGTGTTAAGATCGGATTCATCTCAGCCGTTGAATCCGAATCCGGCGATTTGATTAAACTTGCAGAGAGATAGATAGATAAAGAGATACATACACATACATATACATATATATATATATAGAGAGAGAGAGAGAGAGAGAGAGAGAGAGACGTGCGTGTACCTGAGATCCAGAGGGAGAGAGAAGAAAGTCACGATTTTGGGAGGCGAGGAGAGAGAAGAGGTGGGAGTGATGAGAAGCCATTTGAGATCCGCCATTGTTGCTTGCTGCAGCTGCTCCTTAGTTATAACAAAAAATAATTATTTAATTATGGTTAGAGAGAAAGGGAGAGCAATAATGGTGCAATGAATAAATATAACACTCGTACAAGTTTGTAAATACAGATTTTTTAATATTAATATTATAATAAATTATAATAAAAAAATAAAAATATTTTTATTAATATTATTTAATATAATATAAATAAAAAAATATTATATTGGATAAATAATATAATTATTAAATTAAAAAATAATAATCTTAAGGTACGGTATTCCTCCCTACTCCGATGATCCCATAAAGAAAAAAAAAAAAAAAAAAGAAAATTAGGGCAACGTCGGAGCAGCAAACACGTAGCAATCTTGTACCTTCCAAGAAAGACGAAGACATACACTTGATTATGCTCACGGGAAAGTTAATTAATTAATAAAAAAATAAAAATATTTAAAAAGTAAAATAAAAAAAGAGTATTTCTTTTAGTTGACTGAACATCTGTCTGTGCTGTGTAAAGGCTTGTTTGGCAGGAAGCCATTATTGCATATATTATCTTGGGTCACGTTTTCGGGAACCAAACAGGACTATATCCGCTCCGACAATAGATTTAATTACATTAGCAAAAATGGGCAATAAGGAATTGTGAACGCACACGTGTCACAATTTTTGGTAAAAATATAAAAAACAAACAAAAGGAACGATGACGTGCTCATTAATTTTTTTTCAAAGAAATACTGAACATTGCTCGTTTTTTTATAGTTTAGGTAGTCTATCCTAATAGATAAAAAATTAAGCTGAGGCGTCGGGGTTTGAACCCGTGACCTCATGGTCACATGTCCAATCCTATACCACCAGGTCATCTCTTACGAGACAAAATGTATGTTTTTATTGTTCTCTTGTCTCATACTACTATGTTTATTTCAATGTAGATATATAAGTTTAGAAGAAATAAAATTAATAAATAATTAAAAATATTAGTAAAAATAATTATTTTTTTAATATAAATTATTGTAAATTAAAATTAAAAATACATAATTTATCTAACTTAAATTTTAAAAAAAAATTATAAATTTAAAATTTAAAATAAAATTAAAATGTACAATTTTTTTAAAAAAATAAAAATGACAAAATAAATAGACAACAAAAATTAAAAAATAGACACCATAAATGAAAGAGACAAGACCAAGTGACATTTATTCTTATATAGTAAAAAATATATAAAAATAAATAATGACTTTATTTATACAATACTTTTATAATTTTGTCATTATATAATTTTTTAATATTATATTAATATATTTTTTTTTTTTTCATGCAAAAACAAATGTTATATTTAGAGTTTTATAGTATATTAAAAAATAAGAATATATTTAGTATAGGAAAATGAGGCCAATAAAAAGAAACTAGTCTTATTTTTCTCGGTTGGTTTAGCCAAAATAAACCATTTTTTATTCTCTTAGTTTCATTTTTATTGAGGGAAGTGTATTTATTTTTATTTTTTATTTAATTTTATATTTATTTCAAACTTTTAAAATATCATAGTTAGTTTATTATTTAAATATTTATTTTCTATTATTTTAAAAAAATTACATAAAATTTGATTTTACAAAATATCTTATTTAATTTATTATTTAAACAAAAAAAAAATTATGAATTTTTATTCGTTAAAATATTTTTCTTACTCAATTAATATTGATTTATTCAAGGATACGTTTGGTAATTAGCTGATAGGTTTTAGCTGTTAGCTGATTCAATTAGATGTTAGCTATTAGTTTATTCAATTAGCTGGTTTGACTAGGTAATTCAATTAGAGCTTTGTATTAAAGTGTCTGGTAAAACAACTATTTGACATTAGTTGTTTATATATAAAATGACTATTAAGGACATTGATATGTTATTTTTTTAAATATTTAATTTTGTTCATTTTAATTTGAAATTTATGAGAATTTTTTTTATTAATTATTGAATATTATAAAAATATTTATTTTTATTTTTATTATTTAGATATGAGAAAATTAATTTTACTATAAATAATAATTTTTTATTGAAATTATGTAAAATATAAAATAATAAATATTTCGTATATATATTTTTATTATGTTAATTATTGTTTTAATATATATAAATAAATTAATAACATTTGAATTAGTATTAAAAATTTATATATTTTACAAATAAAATAATTTATATGTAATAATTAATAATAGTAATTATTTTAATTTTACAAAAATAAAAATATAATTTAATAAATTAAATATATTAAAAATAATTAATAAATAGTGCTATAAAAATATATTTATATGTATAAAATAAAAAATTAAATTCTAAAGTGTAAATAATAAATAATTAAAATTAAGATGAAAAAGCTTTTTCAAAACGTTGAGTAGATGAGCTTTTTTTTAAAAAAATTAATTTACCAAACACTTAAATCAAAACAGGTAAAAGCTCTTTAAAAAGCTGTTTCCCAAATATTAATTATTATTTTTTCAATTTTTTTCAAATTTTAAAACTTTCTAAAATTTATTGTTAAAGTGGAATTATAATTTTATTTCATAAGAAAATATAAATAAAATATATTAAATAATAATAATAACGAAGAGTTAAATAACGGTCATAATATATTATTGATATATTTTATAAACAAAAAAGGTGAATAAAGAAAGAGTGGTGGTAGGGGGAGGTAACGGCCAACCAAACAAACAATCATTTCTGAAACCTAAAAGGAACACGTATACCAAATCCCTCGCACCTACTAACTTCAGCTTTTTTCCCATGTGCCTGTCACGTGACCAGAACCCATGCCATGCCGTGTCCGACTTTCCTGCCTTCATCATCCTCTTTAATCTTTATTATCTCCTCCCTCCGTCCCCAATCTATCTATCCATTTTGTTTAAGAAATATTAGTATTATATTGAAATAAAGTAGAAATAAAGGTAAAATAACTAAATTAACTCTATTAGTATTATATGATACAAAGGTAATGACATTTGTGTAATATATTGTAAATTAGAAGGGTATTTGTAATGTTAAGTGGATAGTACAATTACTATAAAAAAAAAAAAAAAGAAACGGATACTTTGTTATGGGACGGACCAAAATGGAAAAATTGATAGATTGTTAAGGGACAGAGGGAATATATATTATGTATTTGAGATTAGTCTCTGATTCTTCAATTCGGAAATTTTTGAGAATTTTTTTTTTTTTTACAATTTTATATCATATGATAGTGGGGTATTTACAGTTTTTAAAATTTATATATTTTTTATAGTATAAGTGGATATATATACATTTTTTAAATTTTATAAATTTTTTTGTAATTTAAATTTTATTTGGTTGAAACTCAAGTTTTCATATCTTTTTCGTATTCCTTAATGAATTTAATTTTATATTTATTTTGATTTAAAAAAAAAAAGACAAAGATAAAGATGCACAAGGGGTGTAAGTTTATAATTTCGATTTTTTTCATATTAAAAAAAAAATCATTAGTTTTATATATTATATTTTTATAATTATTTCTATTTGATTTGTATATATTTTGGTGTTAAATCCTGAAGCATTCAAATTATATTGTATCATTATTATATGATTTTTTTTTCAATTAGTTTCATCATTCTTATATAAAAAAATTTCTTTTTTTATTTTACTATTTTGGAAAAGATATCTAATTACCGTATTTATTTTTATACTTTTTATAGTGTATAAATAATTTAATATGATATATATTTTATATTTTATAAGATTTTATTTATTTTACAGTTTTTTTTATAAACTTAATAATATTTATAATTGATCATTTCTAAATTATTTAAATCTCATTTTCTATTTTTATATTAATTTTTTTTTTCATGATTTTTTTTTGTTCTTTATCGCTTTCTAAAAATATTGAATTCAATAAGTATTAAAATATACTTCATTCGTCCCGGCAAAGATGAAATATTTTGTTTGGGCACGAGAATTTATGTATTGTAAATTAGTTATTTAAATAGTGAATATTATTATTTAATAATGAAAAATTTTTTTACTATGTGTTTGAATATTTTAAACATTATATATTTCAATGAAATATATATACAATATAAATATTATATAATAGAGAATACATTCTATTAATACAAATAAAAAAAAATATTTATTTATTTATCATTAACTTAAATTAATTTTGTAAAAAAATTGAGAGTTTTAGAGGTAAATAAAATATTTGTTAATTCAGGAGACAAAAATAAAGGTTTTTGAGTTGGTCATGCGTATAAAATATTAAAAATTTATTTATATTTATTAAATGTATTTAAGATTGATAAATTTATTAAAAATAAAAAAAAATGTCATATTTTGTGGAACGGACAAAAAAAATGAAAATGAGTTATATGTAATGAAATATTATTTTATTAATTTGTATTTAATATGTAAGTTTATTGTTAATTATTATCTATCATGTATATCATATTCAATTAATATATATTTGAATAATTTTTAAAAAATTTAGTCAATTTTCTAAATTTTAAATGATTTGTTTTTTTTAATATAATATTTTTATTTATAAGTTAATGTCTAATTTTATTTTTAAAAAATAAGTATGAATAATTGTAGTTGATATTTCAGTGATACTATTTATTAAAATTAAATTATTTTTTGTTTATTTATTAAATTTGCAATAAAAAATTAAGATAAATAATTATCCACAATTTTTTTTAAAAAAAAATACTAAAAATAAGTTTTTAAAACAAATTCTCTATTTTATTTAAGTAGTTGTTCTTATGTGTATAAATAATTTAATTATATCATATATAATAATTATATTAAAAATTATTACATAATTATCCTAGAGTATATACTTACTTTATAATTATTTTGTTCAACTTATAATTATAATGTTTTTATTTTTCATATGAATATTAAATTTTACCTATTACTGGATAAATTGACTATATTGATGTTCAAAATATTTGAAGTGAAACTAATTTTACAAAGATGGTATGTTATTATTATATAATTATAGCACAACATATAGTTACTTTATAATTAATTTTTTCAATTTAAAAATTTAATTTTTAATTTTTATATAAATATTAAGTTTTCCATATTATTGGACGAATGAACCATATTAATGTTCAAAATATCTGAAGTGAAACTAATTTTACAAAAATTGTATGTTTATATAACTATAAATACATCGCAATTTTTTATTTATATTTTATATAAAAAAAATTCAATGTGGGTATGATGCTAATTTGACAATAAAAAACGACACCTTAAGTATGAATTTAAAATTGTCACACAAACAATCTTAATTTATCTTTCGATGTCAACTATTCTATTTTAAAAATTTACAATATCAGACATCGTATAAATATATAATTGACACATTTATAGATTATGTTTACATATGTATAGTACTAACTATATCTTCATGGACATAATAAAACAAATTGTCACATAGTAAACTTACTTTTAATATTTTATTAATTTTACGAATATTTGTATTTTTTACAAAATACTTGAATGTAATTAATTATTTTTTAATATTATTTTTAATAATTTATACAAACCGTGCAACGCACGAGTACCGACACTAGTTATTATTATATAATTTCGTTAATCTTTATAAAAATATATTATACTAAACTATTATTCTATTTAAAAGTAACATAAATAAAAGTATACAAAATACACACCAAATACGTCCTATATTTCAACTAATATATTTATCATATTACTGTAGACACGATAATTTAGGTAAAGTATAATTAGTAAATAATTAAGAAGTATATTAGTAAAAATAATAATTATTTAGTAAAAATAATTATAGATTAAGATTAAGATAAATAAATAGTTTAATTAAAATTAAGAAAATTATAAAATTTAAAATGCGATTAAAGTGCATAATTATATTTTCAAAAATAAAAAGGACAAATTATGTAGAACGGACGAAAATATAAAATATAGACAAATTATGTGGGACGAATGGAGTACATATTACGTATGTATTGTGAATAGTGTTAAGGCAAAGTATATAAACAAAATTAGAAGAAGGTAAATATTACAAATAATAATACCATTTAAAATATGGTCCAAACTAATGATTTTATAACTCAAACTATTGGGCCAGATTTTGCTCTCTAGTTTTATTGGGCTTTCCCAAATATTACATTGATTGATGGTTAAGAGAAGAAGGGAGGGATTATTATGCAACATCTGTCCAAAAAGATAACCCATTAATTCCGTACACATTGATTTAGCTTAGAATTAATTAATAAATTATAATATTATTTCATTATTTTTTATATAAATAATATTATTAATAGTTTATAAATATAAATTAATATACTCTTTTCGTTTTAAAATAATTTTTTTTTTATTTTTGTCTCAACACAATAATCGCATTTTTATAAATAATTATATAGCCATAAAATTACATATCTTTTTAATTATTATTATACAAATACACTCATAAGTATATTTTAGTCTTTTTTTATTTATTTTATATTTATATTTAATATAATATTATTATTTTTAAATTTTGTGTTGAACTCAAATTAGACTATTATTTTATAACAAAATATATGATTAAAAAAATTAAAATATATGTTTAAATATTTTTAATATTATATTTTAATAAAATATATTTAATATGAATATTATTTTATAAATAATATAATTTTATATATTATAAACAAATAAAAAATATTCATTTATTTATTTATAATTAACTTAAAGTAATTTAATAAAAACAATATAATTTTAAATATATACAAAAATATTTATTTATTGACTAGAGATAGAATTATAAGATTTTTGAGTTGGTCTTACATATAAATATTAAAAATTTAATTAAATTATTTATATTTCTTTTAAGTATATTTAAGGTAATTTTCAAATATATATTTTTTATTTTTACATAAAAATTAATATTTAATATATTATCGATACAATTGTATATGTTTAACCTAAAAAATAATAAATTAAATTAAATTAAGTAAATTTCATCGAAATGCTAAACAAACAAGCACAAATATTTCCAAAAAGTTTGAAAATTCTGGAGAATAAACCTTTGTATTACGTCCAAACACACTCGAAGGAATTCATTGGGCATCGCAGATGTCTGCACCAAATATACGTATATATGTGTGGAGGCCAGCTAGACAAAGGCCGTGAATCGCCAATCAATCCTCACCGTCCACGTGGCGGACGAACAATCGACAGCTCAGTGGCGCTCACAGCTGTAACTGAGGAGATTCCTCTGTGTAATAATTTTAACCTCGGTATATTCCAGTATCTCTTTCCTTCTGTGTACTCATATTTCTAATGCCCGCTGCAGCTTACACTTACACCTACACCTAAATACAAAAATTAAAATAAATAAATAAATAAATGAACATGGCAATATTTATTAAAAAAATTATAAGAATAAAATTTTAAAATATGAATAATTAAATTGTCTTTTGTTCCCTAAATTTGTCCCTTTAAACACTCAATTATAGTGTGAATTCACCTGGAAATCGTTGCAACTGCCTTGGCAAAAAAGTGAATTGTCTGATTTGCCCCTGTACAAGCCGCAACGAAAATCTCGACTTTGCTTGTAAATGTGCAGCTAGCAATTAAAGCGCAACTGATTCACGCCAAAACGCCGTCGTTTCATCCCAAATTCACATTCTCCTACACTACACCTTTCTTTTCCCTCTTTCTCCACGTTACTATCGTGAACCCAAAATTAATTTAAATACATAAATTCAAAAAACAAAAAATTTCAATTCAAATTATAATTTTTCTGCATAAACACTACAATATAAATAATAATACTAAAAAATTCCTAGAAAGAATGATCACATATAAATATATATATAGAGAGAGAGATTCAATAATGGCTACGGCTACGGCTGCAGGGAAGCCGACGAGCCGAGTTCAGCAGGGATTGGAGTCGGGAGGTCCCAGGAGCTCAGGTCCAATGCGAGCGCGGCAGACAGGGCAAACGTTGTTCTTCGAGAGCCAGGCGTCGGCGCAGTCGGCGTGGAAGCCGTGGTTGCAGCCGGGGATGATTTTAGCCGGCTGGTGGCTCTCGATCTCGTCGAGGCAGACGACGCAGTCCGTACCGAGCACTAAATCCCTGCCGTTCACTTTTGGGAGCTTCTCAAGATCGGACGGCGACAGTCCCTTCTCCACTTTCCCCTTCACCGGCGCCGCCGGAATCTCCATCTCCGGCGAAACCGCAGAGTGGCAAAGCAGGCAGACGTAGACCAGAAAAATTGCACTCATTCCAGCACAAGGAAGAAACAGAGCAAGAAATATCGACACCAGCATTTTATTACTCTTTTTACAAAATGAAAAATACTCAGTCCTCCATGGCTGGATCTCGAAAGGAGCTCGGGAATACCGTGGGGGTTTATATAGAGATTGGGAGTAGGGGTTAAGGCCGTGTTTGGTTGGAAAGTAAGATTTGGGAAATAAAATGGAAGTGAAGGGTAAATTGGGAAGGAAAAAAAAAAGCTGACGCATTTCTTGAATCCCAAGGAAAGGGAATGGAAGACTGTATAATTGTATGGAACCGCAGGGAATCTGACAGGAGGGAGAGTTTTGGTAAAAAAAAAATATTTTTATTTTTTACTATAAATTTGAATTGTAATGATTTGGGGAGATTTTTTTAGCATTTGGCAATAGGAGAGATACATTTTAAAGCGGTTGGCTGGGTCTGCAATAAATGAAGAGTCTGTGTGGGCTGTAATGCATTTATTATGCAACACGCCTCCTTTTTATTTTATTTTATTTATTTATTTATTTTTTATGACGGAGGAACTCGCAGCTGTTACCAGAAACGTCGAGGGTTTAAACTTACGATCTCACGATTAAAAATCCAACTTCTACACTACGTCGTCCTTACGAGACAACACACCTCATTTATTGTATGGAAAGTAAAAATTATTATGTCATTTTATCATATAGTTCTTATTTTTATTCAATTTTTAAGGCTTTATTTACATAACATATTTTTACTTATTTGATATTTTTTATTTTTAAAAAATATAATATCAAATACAATTTTTTTCCTCATAAAACATCAAATTATACTAACTTTTTATTTATTTATTTTCAAACTTCCAAAATTCCAAAAATCTCTATCTAAACAAAATTTATACTTCGGAACGAGGCTCACAACATTATATACATATGTATATATCTTAAATGGTTTTGCTAAATACTTCAATTTTTATTGTAAAATTTTTTATTAAGTAATTGTAATTGATGTATTGTGAAGCTTAAGGTAGAACTATGAAAATACCATGATTTAGTTTATTAGCACTTGTAGTGCTAGACTTTAGCCTATATATGTATATATATATATATATAGTACAAATCATTATTATGATTGAATTGAATTATCAAATTCTTTAGTGTTATTTTATTTTTATTTTTATTTTTTTCCTAATTTTCACAATACTATTAACAATAAAATGCCATACTACGTTGGATTTCACATCTTTGTTGGTTGACCCCTCAATGATTCAATTTCGGAATTTATAATAATAATAATAATAATAATAATAATAATAAATTAATTGATGGATTAAAGAATCAATCGAAAGTATTTGATGTATTGGATGATTAATAAATTAAAAAGAGTTAATTAAGTAAGAGTAAGTGGGCTAATTTATTTGTTAACGTTGTAGAAGGTAACCACGTGTTGCGTAGCCCATCGCAATTGTGATCCCAACAAATTAAAGTCGTGCTTCTCATTATGGTGGTAATTGTTGACTCAAACACGACTTTATAATTAATATATATATATACGGAATATTTGTAATTTAGTCTTGTATATCAGAATTTTTTAATTTAAAATCCTATTAATTTATATGGTCGTCCTTTCCGATTTTTTTTCAGTAGTTTTATGTTTGTATAGTTTAAGATTATGTATTATGATTGTTGGAGTGTAAATCCAAGTCCCACGTCAGAAGTTACAAAGAAAATTTTACACTTTATAAGTTCAAGTGAAGTATGAGGCATTTTGGAGAATATCAAAAAAACAAATTCGTACGGGCTCAGTGCAAAGCGGACAAACAGTTGTATAAGAGCCCAGTTGAGCTCACCCTGGTGACCTAAAATCTCCTAACGATTTTGAGTCGGCCCCGATTGAAGTGGTCAGGGAAGCAGATCTCTTTGTATAATAATAGCAATAAATAAATGGAAAAAAAGATTCAATAAAAAACACATCGTAAGTCATGACTATGGCCTTCGGCCTGTAAATGCATTCAACAAAATTTCTGAATCCAATTGAATAACAATAAATTTTTCCTTTTTTTTTTTTATGTTCTTTTTGTGGGAACCTAATTCTAATTTGTCTAAGAATTAATTTAATAACTGAATCAAATTTTGAAAGAAAATATAATTTTTTTTTTTGTAGTGATAATAAATAGTTGCTTGAGCGTGATTGGTTTTTTTGTTTGTTTTCATTCTAAATCAAAACCAATGTTATATATAGTCACCACAATTTTCAGTTATTTTTGTGTTTTTCATTTTATTTTTTATTTTATTTAATTTTGGTCATTTTCTACAAAAAAAAAAAAAAAAAGAAAAAAAAAAAAAAAAAAAATGATTTTGTAATATAAAAGATAAAAGATAATGGATTTATAATCCTTTTGAATTGTGGTAAGTGGGAATCAACAATTTCCAATAGTATAAATGAAAATTAATAATCGAAAATTATTTGAGAAGGGAATCATTATTAAGATAAATTAAAAAAATTGTTGAAAAATGATTAGTGGGTTAAACATAATGGTTTATAAAATAATAACAACAATTATATATTTATTTATTTAAGTATTCTGACTTTTTTTATTATTTTTTTCTTTTACAGTTTTGTTACAAGATTCTGTTTAAACATAAATGTAAATATATTATTCTTTATTTAAAGTTTGTTCTTTTTGATGAAAAATTATATATATCTTATGTATAATTTAAAATTTGAAAGGATATTTGTTTTTTTGAATAAAAATAAAATAAACAAATCATATGTATAATATTATTTTAATTTATAACTTATTAGAAAGAAATTTGGTATTCATAATAAAGTTGTGTTCAAAGATAAAATAATCAATGGAGGATGTCAAAAGAGAGCACTTTCTTGCTTAAAACTGTTTCAGATATTTTGAGATAATTTTATAATGAAAAATAAGTTTTTAGGTTTTCAATTCTTTTTTGTTTAATATAGAATTGACAAAATTGTCCATAACTCTCTTATGGTTTCGAAACTCAACGTAAATTCCCCTTCTACTTTAAAAATTGCATGACGTCCCTTTATACTTTAAAAAATGTTGCATGAAACCACTTTGTGGTTTCGAAATTCAGCATAAATCCCCATTTTACTTTAAAAAACTGAATAACGCTCACTTGTACTTTAAAAAATATTGCATAAAACCCCCTTGTCATGCAAAACAAATAGATAGGAAAACATCTTCTTATCACACGAGGAAAGTTTCATGATGGTGGGGTTCATGCAACGTTTTTTAAAATATAAGGGAGTACCATGCAATTTTTAAAGTCCAGGAAGATTTTAAGCTGAATTTCGAAACCACATGAGAGTTATAAGCAATTTTACCTATAGAATTTGAAGAATAAAATGTATTTTTAATCGAAATATTAATTAATTCAATACCAATATATATATATAGTTCATCTTTATATTTTAACTGTTTCCGGTGTTTAATTAATATTGTCCTAAACCATTTCATGTCACTATGTGGAGACTAAGAAATAATATTTTAACATAAAAATAGGTCAATAAAAATTAAAATTAGAACTATTATATAAAAAAATATTAAGTAGTTAATCAGAAACTGAATAAGTAAATAGAAACAGTGTCAAATTATTTATTATTTGTTAAAAGTAGTAATAATAAAATTATTTACGATAAATAACTTATGCATTAAGTTGAGCGGATATATTTTAAAAAATAACATAATTATTTCAGACGGAAAAAAGTGTTTATTTTAAAATATATATATTTGTTGAGCACAAAAAATAATAATAATAATAAATAATGGCAGTAGGATTCTGGACGGGTCTGGATATAAGCCAAACGGCCCAGAAGTCGGGCAAAAAGAAGTCGGACAAGAAGGATGATCGACCGATACGTTGTCGGACAGGACAAAGTCGGGCACGGAGATCAGACGTGATAAAGTCAGACATGGAAGTCAAACAGGATAAAGGTCGGGCGAAGAAGAAGTATCGGCAGCCGCGGAGGTCTGTCAAGAGGAAGGTCGGGTGCGATAAGGTCGGACCTGGTCGGGCCATGCTTAAAGGTCGGGCGCAAACAGGCCGAATTCGAGAGTCGGGTATGGTAAGGTCTGTTGTGGAGATGAGGCAGGATAAGGTCGGGCGTAGTGAGGTCGGGCAGTGAAGTAGCATGTGCAGGTCGGGTGAGAGAGCAGTTCTGGGACGGTTGGAGGAAGTTGCAACTGGCGAACGGTTTTTGAAGGTCGGACGTAGCAGAACGGTTGACACACGTGTTAATAGAAGAGAACTTTTGGGGCGGTTAACAACGGTTATGGTAACTGACCAGATAGCGGTTCGAAACGTTTCTTCAACAGGGTTATTTAAGGATCCGGTGTTGTTCGAAAAAAAGGCATCTTCAATCAACTTCAACAAAGCAAAGTCAGATTTGGGGATCACCACTTTAAATTTCAGTCTTTTATTTTCCAGTTTATTTTCTGTACCATACAGTGTTTAGAGATTCCTAATCTCAGGCACTAATTAATCAAGTTTAAGGATATTTTCTATATCTTTGAATTTTACTTTATTTTTGTTGAAAAATTACATCAACAATATTTTTTCGAATTGTTATGTTACCGGTTGAAGCTAATAGTTAACTAGAACATTGTAATGATATACTCTCTGAGTGCGTTTTGGGTCATATTTATCTTCTATGTCATTGTATTTAATATTAAAATATCTTTATATTTATATAATTTTTTTTTAATATATAAATGTTCTTGTATTAGTATTACAAGACATTAATAGAATTATTTTTGTAATTTTTTTAAAAACTTGTACTATGTTTTGATATAATACTTAATATTTAAATATCAATACGTAAACAGTAAATGAAACTCTTAGAGTCGGACCGGAGGCCGTACAATATATGATTTTTGTATAACAAAATTATGTAAAACTAATATAAGAAGTATAAATATAATAATAAAAATAATAGCAATGGGCCAGACTACCTCAACCTTAGCCCATAAGTTTGGAATAAATGTATTAGGGCCTGTGAAGTAGCCTAAAATGAACTATTCACAATAAATTACCAAGGGGTATGTTCTTTTGAAGGGTGCGTTTGTTTGGGGGTTTGGATTTTATGTTGAAATTTGAATAGTAAAAATTTTGAATTTGAATAGTTGTATAATGTGATATAAGTAGGTGTTGATGTGAGTTTGAATGTAAAATTGATTTTTAGTATAATATAAAAAATAAAAAATAAGTGTTTGATTTTATATTTTTGGGAGAAAAAAATAGGATGAATAGTAGAAATCTAATCCAATCCCCTAAACAAACACACCCGAAAATTATTTTTACAATTTATACGATTTAATTTTTACACTTGGTATAAAAATATGTTATTCTATCGTAAAACTTTACATTTAAACTGCTATTCAAAAACATGTTTAAAGGAAAAATCCAACCAAAACACATATCAGTTTATTGCAAAAGTTGTGTTTGTTTGAACTTTCTTGTCGTAATTTGATTGCTATTGTTAGGAATTATTAGATAGTGTAATTAAATAACTTTTACTATTTTATCCATTTTGTTTGGTTTCATAATGTTTTCATGAAAGCTACTTACAATGCTCAAAACATGTTCATACGAGGAAAATTTGTTAAAGTTTTAATATATATCAAATTAAATAATAGCAAACATATATGCACTTTTTATTTTTATTTTTAGATAAAATATCCTGCAAATTAGATCCAACGGATTATGTTTGAATCAATGATTTCATGATTACAAGTTCATTCCATATGATCAAACTATTCTTTACAAGAGGACAATAACAATTTGTTTGTTCAACTAACATTTCTCAGTTGAACAATTTCTCATAAACATTATTAAAAAATACAAATATATATATTTTTTATATTACTAGCACAGTTTTCTATATTATACAAAAAAAAAAAAAAAAAACTAGAGAGTTGGCATGTTTAGAGAGAAGTTTTTGGAGGTTTTTTGAATTTTGAAAGTTTAGAAAAAATAAAAAATTAGTATTTGATTTGATATTTTGTGAGAGAAAAAATATATTTGATGTAATATTTTTTGAAAAATTAATAGTGTCAAATAAATAAAAATATGCCTGTAAACAAAACTTTATTTATTTTTATTGGAACAATAATAATGTTTTAGTTACCACAAAATTTAGGGTGTGTTTTTAAGCCCAAATTTGGTGTTTGTACATTAATTCAGCCCAAAACTGTTGAGATTTGGAGATATCTTGACATAATTTTATTTTTATTTTTTTTAAAGAATTTTTTTAAAGTTATAAATATAAAAAATTATAATATATATAGATATAATATAAATTTATAATCAAATTATATAAATTAATATATATTATATTATAACATTCATTCCCATCAAATCAATTCAAATCAAAATTCACCAAATATAAATATAAAACAAACATATAAATTCAAATTTAACCACACTAAAGAAACACAACCTAAGTCCACCTACACTACACTCCAGCAAAGCTAAGTAGCCATCCCAACCAATCAAAACCATCGCAAGTTTCTAAAGCTCCCGGGGCCCCCTACACCAGGCCAATCTGGGCCGTCCATTCAAAAACCAACGGCGTGGATCGCACATTTACTTTTCCAATGTTCCTTGAGGAGGCTTCAGCAGTAAGCAATATCCTTTCCTTGACTTCTAACTCAGCCAAATTCCAATCAATTGTCCAGAAAAATTAAAAAATAAAAAAAGAATCTTGCAATAAATAAATTCTCTTACCGTCGAAGACAAATAGAAAGGCAGAAATAGAATCGAATCGAATCGACTTCCCTGTTACGAGATCCAATTAATTTTACTCTCTCACTCACTGAAATTCGATCCGACAGTAAATTTTCCGGCATGGGTCTCGCCGGCGCAGTTTTAGTGGCGCTGATGTCGTGTCTGGTTCCGCCGGCGGCGTGCCAGCCGGCGACGCCGGACGGGTTTTGGTACGGCGCGGCGGCGGTGAAGGATACGGCGGTGATCGAGGCGTTCTTTGACCCGGTCTGCCCGGACAGCCGCGACTCGTGGCCGCCGTTGAAGAAGGCGGTCCGGGAGTACGGCTCCCGGGTGTCGCTCGTCGTCCACACCTTTCCCTTGCCGTGAGTCTCCTTCTCCGACCCTTCTTCTCAGCTCCGGCCGGGTTTTTTTAATTTTTTTATGAGTTTTTTTATAAAAAAAAATATTATCTCCGTTAGAATTTCATTTGCCTTTTTTTTTTTTTTTTTTCCTGTAAATATTTGAATATTAACTATTATATATAAATATATTATAAATTAAGATAAAATAATAAAAAAAATATTTATAATAGTGTCTTGTAATATTGTTTGAATAATATTTGTAAAAAAAAAATTATATAAATATAAAGATATTTTAATGTTAACAATGAGATCCTTCAAATCGGATAAAAAACATTCAATTTTAATCATTATAATTTTATTTTTGATTTTTTGGGAAATATATATTGATTTCTTGTCGGTGATTTTACATGGAGACATACGTAACAATAATGTGAATATGTGATTGATTGATATTATTCCATGTGTGTTTGGAGTAAGTCCATAAGTTCGTTTCTGTTTGAAATTGCCCGATTTGGAGTGTCCAACGTTGGTTCGAAATTAGAAATAGAAAATATATAACTTGAAATACTTTTATGTGTGTTTGTTTGGGGGTTTGGATTTTAAGTTGGAATTTGAATAGTAAAAATTTTGAATTTGAATAGTTGTATGATGTGATATAAATAGGTGTTGATGTGATGTTTTGAATGTAAAATTGATTTTTAGTATAATATAAAAAATGAAAAATAGGTGTTTGATTTGATGTTTTTGGGGGGAAAAAATAAGATGAATAGTAAAAATCCAAACAAATCCCTCAAACAAACACACCCTTTAGTAAACTTGGTTTGATGGATACTGTTGATTAAAAAATAATAATGTTATTTTAATATTTAGATAGATTGGTAAAAAAGTAAAATAAAATACTATAGAAATTAGTGTAAGTAGAAAAAATTGTGAAAATTAATATTAGTTAAAATAATAATAATAATAATATTGTAAATTGATAAAATTGTTTACTATGTAAATAGATTGCATATAATTTTAGTGAACGACGTATAAAGAATAATTACATAATTTTGGTAAATATTTGATACGATATTTTATGATATATATATAATTTGATGGTTTTTTAAAAAAATTATTATTGATAAATGGTATTAAATTTTTTCTAAAATATGTACACTAATGGTGTGTTTGTTTGGGGGTTTGGATTTTGAGTTGGGATTTGAATAATAAAAATTTTGAATTTGAATAGTTATATGATGTGATATAAATAGGTGTTGATGTGATGTTTTGAATGTAAAATTGATTTTTTAGTATAATATAAAAAATAAAAAATAGGTGTTTGATTTGATATTTTTGGGGGGAAAAAATTGGATGAATTAGGGTGTGTTTGTTCGAGGGTTTCGATTTTGAGTTAGATTTGAATAGTAAAAACTTTAAAGTATAATAGTTGTATGATGTGATATAAATAGGTATTGATTTGATGTTTTGAATATAAAAAATAAAAAATAAGTGTTATGATTTTATATATTTTTTAAAAAAATTGAATGAACAGTGAAATTTCGGAAAAATCCGACAAAAGAACGCACCTATAATAAATATAGCTTTTTTTTTTTTTTTTAAGTCTTCTTTAAAGGGTTTTATATTAGTGAATAGACATTGTGTTTTTTTCTCAATACTGTGTGTCATTGTATTTCTTCTATTTGAGTTGTGCTTCTCTCGTTTACAATTTTTTTTTTTTTTTTTTTCAAAATTTATGAAGTTTTTTCATATTTAATTTAAATGTTTGTAATTTTTTTTTTTTTCTAATTGATGAATTATAGGTACCACGACAATGCTTTTCTAACCTCTCGAGCGTTGCATGTTGTTGATAAGTTGAACACTACTTCGACTTACCCTTTACTCGAGTCTTTTTTTAAGAACCAGGTATGATAGTTTTTGGGTTGATTTCATAACAATCATATCGTCGTGTATTGTGAAATATGGGTTCTATTTAGATCGAGACTTTTGGATAAAAAAAAAAAAAAAAAAAATAGTAAAACACTATTGTTGAAAATAATATCTGATGAAATATTTATTTTTTAAAATTACTGTTTGTAAATAGTACCAAAAGCTTCAAAACTATTTGTATAAACAAGGTCATGTATATCTAATTTGATGTCATTGGTCGATTTTTGAACAGGAGCAATTTTACAGTAAGGCGACATACAATTTGTCACGCGCTGAAGTCGTGGAGAAAGTAGAGAAATTTGTCGCAAAAGAAGTTGGAGGCAAATACGGGCCGGCAATAAAAACTGGCCTCAATGACACCAAAACGGATCAAGCGACAAGATTCGCTTTTAAGGTAATATTACATACAACATTTCATGGTTTTTCATTCCTACACACAATGCAAGATCATAGTTACAATCGAAAATTTTACTTTGTTGTCATTAGACCGGTTGCTTGCGCGGTGTTTATGGCACGCCTTTCTTCTTTGTGAACGGGTTTCCGTTGCCGGATGCCGGCTCGGCTATCGACTACAAAGGATGGAAGAAAGTGTTGGAACCTCTCATTAAACAGGAAAAGAGCTTTCAGACATCTCCAGTGTAATAATCAATGGAAAAAGGAAAATGTTACAAGTTTGATAAATAAAACGAGTTGAATTGAGCATAGCTTTTTAACTTATATTTGGGTATGAAAAATGATAAAAGCAAATAAATAAAAAAGTTAGATTTTTTGGATTTTAATTGAGTAGATTTGTTTTAAAATTTGTATTTAAATAATATTTGATATATAAATATATAATTTTTTTGAATGAACAGAAAAATTAAAAACTCAAATTTATTTATTTTATATTTTTGTCGAAATAATCCTTTAATGAAATGTCTTATAATTGAAAATTGTGTGTATATATATATATAAATGGTATTTTGATAAATAGAATTTTAAAACAAAATGAATGTTTAATATAATATAAACATGTATTAGATATAATATTTCAATGAAAAATAATTTCTAAATATATTATATTAAATATATTTATTTATAAAAATTAATTTCTTATAAATGAATAATTAAAATATATGGTTGAAAACAAATCCAAACAAATGGTAAGTTGTACAAACATCATTTATTATTATTTTTTGATAAATTTTTGTTTAGATATTTTCTTTATTCTCTATTTTTTAATTTTCTTGATAAATTCTTCTATTTTTACATCGACAATTATTTTTATTTAAATTTTTATTTTTATTAGATGGATCTACTCCACTCGAGGATAAAAGTATATCTTACTACATCCAAACTAAGTATTTTCAAACTAATCAAAAGAAACACACCATAAAAGAACAATTTTCAATATATATATATATATATATATTTTTTTTTCACACATTTTTAAAAAAAAATTAATACATTAAATATGTTAATTATTTTTATATTTCTTACCCAATTCCCTATATATGAGAATCTTCTTTTCAACAATCTCACAAAACAAATACACCTATATTTATGCAAAATTATACTCTCTCAGCAGTCTTGTTTACTATTTTTGTCCGTCCCAAAACAATAGTTTTATTTCCATAAATAATCATATCATTATAAAATTACCCATACTTTTTCATTATTATTACAAATTGCCACTACTTTTTACACTAATACATTCACAAGGGCAAAAAAAGTCTTTCATCCGTACTTTTTATCCACTACCAATATAATATCACAATTTCTTAAATCACGTGTCAAATACAACTCAAACTATAATTGTGGGATGGAGGGAGTAGTAGATATACTTTTATCCTCTAAACACATTAACAATTCAAAAAAAATATATATATCATTTTTCATATTAACAACACACTTTTTAGATATACTTTTATCCTCTAAACACATTAAGAATTCAAAAAAAAAAAAAAAATATATATATATATATATATCATTTTTCATGTTAACAACACACTTTTTATATTTAGAATGTGTTTATTTCGGGGTTAAGATTTTGAGTTGAGATTAAAATAGTAAAATCTTTGAATTTGAATAGTTGTATGATGTGATATAAATATATATTGATGTGATGTTTTGAATGTAAAATTGATTTTTAATATAATATAAAAAATAAAAAATAAGTGTTTGATTTGATGCTTTTAGAAAAAAAAAAAAATGAATAATGTATTTAAAATCCAATTGCCAAACAAACACACCCTTAATATAAGAGTAACTCAAATAGCTATTAAGATCAATATAATTATTGATAAAAAAAAATACTATTTTTAATAAAATATTACATAAAAATATTATTTATTAAAAGAAATTCAAATAAATAGCTGGGTTTGTTGATTTTATATTTTTGAATGAGTGAGTTTTTTACATTTAAATAAAATATAATTTATTAGTTTTTTTTAAAAGAATAAATAGAATATATTGTATAAATATAAATAGATGTATATATATTATATATATATTTAATTTTTTTAATATTTAAAAAAATTGTGTTGAAAAAAAATATTAAGTGAACAAAGTATTTATTTCAATTAACTCTTAATATAAGAATTAATTCCGCCTGAAAAGTAATAAGGAATAGAGAAAACCTTCCATAATTAGGCGCCGTTTAATAAATAATTTCTATTTATGAAGTAAATTAACGATTAATTAAAATAATAATAGAAATAAATAAATTAATAATAAAAAAATGCAATATCGCAAAATAAATAGTAGCAGCGCACAGCAACCCTTAGGGCTCTAACGAAGAAACAAGCCAGAGAAGAGGGCTGAAGCCTACCATCGTATCTATACACAATCTACACCCAGGTCAGTCCAATTCGGATTTCGTTTTGGATAGTGTTCTACAGATTTGTGTTCAATAATTCAGCACTTCCAGATCTGCACCGCGTTTTTTCTTTTATCCTCCGCAAAACCCTAGTAAATTTACCAAATTTGTTTTGGCGGCGTGACTTTGTTTTTGGTTTCTGGATTGTTGTGCGCGCATGTTTTTGGTTATTTGTTTGTGTGGTTGATGATGTGTTGGTTGTGATTTGTTTATTTTATTTTTGTAGAGCATGGATCGATACCAGAGGGTGGAGAAGCCGAGGGAGGAAACGCCGATTAATGAGAATGAGATTCGGATTACAAGCCAAGGCAGGATGCGGAACTATATCACTTACGCTATGAGTCTGCTTCAGGTGTGTTTTTGTTGTATGCATTGGCCAGTACAGTTGGGACAGGCCTGGATTTCGTACTGTTTTGTTTGTGGGGATTTGATTTGTAGCTTCTGGGGTGATTTTTGATTTTGGTTAATTTTGGAAGGTGAATTTAATTGTGTATCTGCAGGTTCTTGTTCTGACATACGTTCTAAAGATCTTGATGGCCGCTTTTTTTCAGGGGAATAGTTATGGGAATGATTTTAATTAATTTTCCTAATCTACTGTTTACCCCAAAACAGTTGATTTTTCGTTACGAAACATCAACCGTAGATTGGAGCTTTATTTTGTTATTATTCGCTAATTTTGGCATGTCCTAGTGCTAGAAGTTTTTTAGGCTGCATTTTAACGCATGATAATGCAGAGTGGCCTTTTATTGATAAATTTACTCTGCAAGATTGATAGAACTCGTTTTCATGATTTTAAGTAGAACATGGATTGCCCTGTCCTTTTGCGCGATTGTTTAAATTTTGGTCTAGAGGTAGCTGCCTTAATCTCCATGAGATTTAGTGAATCCTGCATCCTCCATTATAATCTTTTTGCATTTGTTATCTAAATGATATTTGGGCAAATATCTGTTGCCAGTGTTAACCCCTTTGTTAATTTCAGGAAAAGAGTGATGAAGTCTTGTTTAAGGCAATGGGCAGAGCGATCAACAAAACTGTGACTATAGTGGAGTTGATCAAGGTTTTACCTTTTTTGCCTAAGTAATTCTTTATTTTGTGACTGAAGTGTTGATGTTTTTTATGACCTATATTGTTATTCCTTTCTGTAAATCAGAGGAGGATTGTAGGTCTCCACCAAGTTACATCAATTCAATCCACGGATATAACAGACACATGGGAACCCCTAGAGGAAGGACTCCAAACGTAAGTGTCGATTGTGAATTAGATTGTAATAATTGTAAATTTGAAAATATTTAAGAGGATTGATAAGAGTATGAAACGTATGTACATAAGGTGCACCTTATGGGGCAAAGATTTTCAGGCTAGTGGATGATCAGTGCACAATGGGATGTTGAGCTCTAAAGTGGGAGGCATTGTAATTATTGTTATTTGGAAAATTATTTAAAGAGATTGATAAGATTATCTATGCAACAAGGCATACATTTATTTTTGGGAATCAAATAATAATAACTTCAGAGCCTTTTTTGGTGTTAAAGTGTGCTTGTTTTATAATAGCTTATGATGAGTAGTCTCTTGGGAAGTTGCATGCACATATAGTGACAAAGCACGCAAAGAAAGACCTGTGTTAATCTATGGGGATAGCTTACTACCCGATAATGCCTCTGTCCCTCAATGATGAGGCCAGGATCTTACATTAGGATGTTTTACTGAATTTATTTTCTCAACTACTTATTGAAATGATTGTCTTCGATGATGCACATTCATGAATGCAGTTTGGAAACTACGAGAAAGGTTTCGATGATCACTATTACGCTGTCCAAGAAGGAGCTAGATAAGACAAACATTGGGTGAGTTTCTACAGGTTTGAAGTAATTTGTTCTGCTCTGTTTGCACCGTATTGCATGTCATAGAAAGGTTATAATCAATTTTAACTTATTTCCTAGAATTTTCTGATAGACACGTAAGTATATCAACTGCTATATGACCACCACCTATTCCTTATACATAGTTACTTCATTTACGTACAAGTGGTTAGTGATTTACAACAATATGTGCTATAGGTACCAAACTCCCCTACCAGCTGACCAGGTCAAGGTGGCTACAGAGCTAGAATATGATGGAGGTAGTTACATCTTTTTAGTGTCTCTTCCGTTTTACTGTAAATGATATGTTTTGACATATTTCAATTTTTCTAGAGGGATCACCTCCTGCAAGAGGAAGGGGTCGAGTTGCTAGAGGGAGGGGAAGGCCTAGAGCCCCGCCTGGTAATTGGATTGATTCTAAATTTGTTGTGGATTACTCTATTTGTTGCTTTTGGTTCTCTACATGTTAATGTTTTCACTGGGCATCTGACATATTGTATCACAGGAAATGGATTTGCATCTGTTGAATATGATGATGGAGGCTATGGAAGGAGCTATGGGGGCAGAGGACGAGGCAGAGGCCGCAACTTCCGTGGTCGTGGGAGGGGAGGCTACAATACCCCTCCAATGGATGCTCAGTATGATGTTGGAGGCTATGGAGGCTATAACCAAGGACCGCCACGTGGTACTGTATATAATATCATTCGAAATATTTTGTGGTGAATTCTTGTTAAAAGTAATTATCCAAGCAACATGCAGAACATGACTCTTAACAACTTACCCCATTTTGCTGATAAAACACTCTTAAAACTAGACATGGTCACTAAGTTAATTGTGCCTGTGGGTTTGTTCTGTGTAGGACGTGGACGTGGCAGGGGGCCTCGTGGGAGAGGCCGTGGATTCAGATCCAATGGCCGAATCCAAGCTGCTGCCTGAGTCATATGCTGCTACTAGTACTCAACTCGGGATTACATGTATGGCAGACAACATGATTTTCCGTTTCTTCTCAGTGGTTTTGCTAGTGTTAACATAATATGTCATCTGTAATTCAATGTAGACTAACATTAGCTGCGCTAGTTTGCTTGCGTGGTGAGCCTTTTTGTTTTGTTTTGTTATTTTTATTTTATTTTATTTTTTTTGTTTGTCTTGTTACCTTGAACACTCCATAGTTATTTATTTTCTTTATGAATCAAGTGTAACCCGTGGTAGCATATTCTTTAATTTTTTTATGCCTGGATAAAGCATGCTGCTCGATATTCCACGAACTCTATCCTGTAAAACTAGTTGGTGGGTGTCTTATGTTTATCTTCTTTTATAATATCCGCATTTGGTTAAATCATATCTTAAATAACGCATCTTATCATCGGCCGTCACGCTCTCCTCTGAAGCTATAAGATTGCAGATATATGTGATGCTTGCAGTAATCCCTTATCTAAGTATCTGAAGTAAGAAAAATGTGTTCTCTAACTTCTTGTTTGCTGGAAGGACTAAAGGAAAAAGAAATGTACACCCACCCATTCTTGCAATGGGTTCCCTCCGAATTGTAATTTATAAAACCATTAGAACCTGAAAGGATATTGTCCTACAGTGCAAATGGAAATGAGAATCCTTCAGGAAGACAGTAATATTGAGTGCTGGCTTTGTTGGTCTCACTGCAGCTCTGGGCATTCACAGGTACAAAAATACATCATTTTCCAATCACTTACTAACAATTATGTGTTGGGTGAAATTTGGAATATCAGGTTGGGAGTGTGTTGTGTGGTTCTGGATCATCAGTTAGGTTCTGGGAAATGCCTGGAGAGCACTTGATACTGTTGACATTTGGCACATTCTTAAACAGAACTCTGTCCTTATTCCAGGGTATGCCAATTTTGAAACATGATCTATTCCTTGATTTTAAAATTTTTACCATTGTGCTGATTTAGGTTCAGGATTGCTTCCCTGGATCAATCCCAAGGCCTGATGCAAACTCCCGAAGCTGACACTAATTTAAGAGGTTTTCTTGTATTTCAATTCTTCAATGTCTGGCCTAAAGTTCTCAAGGCAATGTTGTTCAGTGCAGAGGGGGAGTGTTGGAAGGAAAGACTTATTGAGAACCTTCGAGATGGAGCTGCTGCAGGAGCTTTAAGATGTTCTTCTAAGGTCAAATGAATGAAATCTGCAGTGCTTGTTAAAGTTGTTCATCTTACAGATGGTTCTATGATAAAAGCGAAGGTACACAAGTTTTTGAACATGAGACATTTAAATGATTCAATTATGGGGAAATGATTCATTGTTTTATATTTTAATTTAACACCATTTCTGCTCATTTTTAATTCTTATTCTATAGCCTGATTTAAGATATAAGACTAGCTTCTATGATCTCTGAGGCCTTGATTGGATGTGATGGAGTTCAATCAACGGTTGCTAGGTGGTTGGGGCCTCAGAGCTCAGTTGGTGAATAGAGAAGTCAAATTTGTAAATATTGGCATCGTACTTTAAGTGCGCAATGATATTGCTAGTATTCATGGCTTTATACAGTACCCAGGTGGTTATGATTTCAAGCCAAGGTTCCATGGATACTTTCTTAGGGGACTATGTAGTGATCGTATCCTCTCTGTTCACCAAAGCATTTATTGGTCTTGCACTTGTGATAATCTAAGAAAACGAGCATGCATACATGGCTTGCTTCAATTTTATCTATGCCATGGCTTTAGCTGATTCTAAATTTTAAATAGATTATGAAAATGATCAAAATCCCCACAACTTGAGACAAAGACTATCACCAATGCCCCAACACAAATCCTGGATGGTGTAGAGAGAACCAAGTCAGGGTGCATTTCCTATGTGACTGAGGTATAGATCACCATGGAATGGTTTGTCGGGGAATATTGAACAAGGTAATATGTGAAGATTTTATTATGCCCATACACACACTCACACGCAACAACAACGGGTGTAATCCCGACTTCAACTAAGGCTACAACTACCTTACTGTACCAGGTATGTTGTAATTAAGGTCATAATTGATGCATCGTTTTCAAATATGCCGAAAATAAATCCATTTAAATAACTCTTCAATTTAGGAATCCTAATTAGGTTCCTTATGTAAGATACAGAGGTTCTGTTTTTTCAGAAATGCTTTGAGTTTTGGAATTTATTGGGAAATATTAAAAATTAATATTTTGTGAGAAAAAATAGTTATTTGATGTAATATTTTATGAAAAGGTTATTGTAGATGAATAGTTGTTGATTTGAAAATGCATGTAAAAAGATTGAGTAATTGTGATTGATGGATATTGCTGTTATCTCATGATTAGCTCATTGCATAGCTGTTATTGACCATGCTTTCTAGAAAGAACACTTTTATCATTCATAAATCATAACAATTAAATAAATTTTAAATTCTGGTACCCTCACATGGCTAATGTCATAATCTGGTTAGTGAATAGTTTTATGTCATCATCTGGTACATATTTTTCTTTTAGCTCCTGGCTTGAAACAAGGCACAACTTGGAATAGAAAAGTGAACTTCTACTATGTATCAAACCCCTTTGGTCAGTAATACATCCAACCTGCCAAATTATGTGATAAAAAACACAACTTATCATCTTCTCCAATGTATACACTGCAGTTGGTGATAAGAAAAGCCCCTGTATTTATTGCCACATTACATTACAGTGTTTTATAATTGGGGTTGACCTTCATATAAAGAAGCCATAGAATACAATGTCAAAGTTTGCATGTGCCGTAGTACCCTCGCAAATAATCGTACTGTACGTCACACATTAGTTCACATTCTCAATTATATAGATTAATGTATGTGCAGGGTCAGAGACTAGAAAGGCTTTCTTTATTCTCTCACTCCTCCAACCGCCATTGAAAAAACTGTAAGTTTGAATGTTGAAATTTGATCCTTTCCATGTGGGATATTGAGGGGTTGCAAGAGAAGAACATGTGGGATATGGTTTATTTTATTGCATAGTTTGTTGCTACTTGCAGCTGTGGCACATGGGAGTTTGTTGATCATTTGAGATTCTTGCATTTTGTGTGTATAAATACATTACAGAATTGTGCTTTTGTAACCATTCGATTTATCCCTCGTCTCCTACCTTCATTCGTTTCTCTTGCCAGCATCATTCCCCTCTTAAAACTTTCGAGAAATGGCGGGATATAATATGTCATTACCAGTTTCTATACTTGTGATCTATTGCTTCATAATCAGTGTCGATGCACTCACGCCCTCCGGCTGGTTTAAGGCCCACGCCACTTTCTACGGAGGCAGTGATGCTTCCGGAACAATGGGTATGTTTCCTAGTTTGGATGTTTTTCTCTTTTGGCCATGATTTGATCAATGGTAATGAATAATGTTGGTTGTCTTTGTTCTTCGAATTTTTATTTGTGTAGGTGGCGCTTGTGGGTATGGGAACTTGTACTCAAGCGGCTACGGGACGAGGACTGCAGCATTGAGCACGGCATTGTTCAACGGTGGGGCATCGTGCGGGCAGTGCTTCAAGATCGTCTGCGACTACAAAACGAACCCGCAATGGTGCAAGAAAGGCGCGTCAGTCACGATCACCGCCACAAACTTCTGCCCGCCCAACCCGGCCCTCCCTAACGACAATGGCGGGTGGTGCAACCCTCCCCGCCAGCACTTCGACATGGCCCAACCCGCTTGGGAGAAGATCGGCATCTACCGTGGCGGCATCGTGCCCGTCCTCTACCAAAGGTACAATATACAATTCATAATATAAATGCAACATATAATCTATATATAATGTAGGTATTATATTGTTTGGTCGGACTAGTTAAACTTTGGTCGATTGTATATCCGTAGGGTTCCATGCGTTAAGCGCGGTGGGGTGAGGTTCACGATCAACGGCCGGGATTACTTCGAGCTGGTGCTGATCAGCAACGTGGCAGGTGCGGGATCCGTCCGATCGGTGATGATCAAGGGCTCCAAACCAGGATCAAATTGGATGTCCATGTCTCGGAACTGGGGGGCTAATTGGCAATCCAATTCCTATCTCAATGGCCAAGCCTTGTCATTCAAAGTCACTACAACTGATGGCATCACCAAGACATTCTCCAACGTTGTCCCCTCCAATTGGGCCTTCGGACAGACCTTTTCCAGCCCAGTCCAGTTTTGAGATGGACATGGGCTCCCGACGGCCGTGGCGTGCTTACTATTTTCATCAAAAAGCAGCCCGCCAAATGCTCGGTTGTTGTCGATGTTGGGCCGCAATTGTTCGTGGTGTATTTAAATTACATAATTTTTTTTACCTTTTTTTGTTTGGAATTTTGAATGTTTTGTAATGACAAGGATGCATTTTTATTATGATAAAATAAGAAGCTTTGAATTTTTGCTATTTTTATTATATATTTATAAATATTATAGAGTTTGGTTTTTCCATTGGGCTTTTTTGAATGGAATGTTATTCGATAATAACCCAATTTATTAGGCCCAATAAAAAGCCCAATTTGAAATAATTTAAACCGCCTCCCCAAATGCCATTCTGCGTCAAGTTGCCTTCGAATCTTTGACATGGCGGAGCTCAGCCCCAACTGCAAGGCCTCCACGCAGGATGCTGAAGTTTCGGGAGAGAGGGGCGGTGTAATTGCACAGTCTTGTAGTTTAGGCGAAGGTTTTGAGGTTGAGAAGGAGGAGGTGAAGGAAAATGCATTGGAAGATGAGGAAGGAGAATTGCGGAGGCTTTTAATGCCTAATGTGGGGGAATTGCCCAGCACTCCTCCATCTGCTGTGGAGTCCAATTTCTTAACGTTTTTCGTGACAGGTGGAGTGAGAAAAATTTCCTTACGCCGTTGTTTGTTCTATTTGTTTTTCCATGGAATGCTGCAGTATAGAAGAGTAGAAGTTGCCCTAATTTTTCGATTTGGGGCTAATGTCGACTCTTTTATTGAGGGTTGATGACTTTCTTTGTAGTTGGATGGTTATGGCTAGTTATAGATTTTTCGTTTCTATTTTTTCAATATATTTTTTGTTATTTTCAGATTTTATGAAGCCTGGACATGATCAATACGTTCGTCGTCACGCCAATGGGTATTGTCTAATTTACATATGATCCCGGCGCCCGTGCGCACACACTTTTGCAATTTGATTGTTTTATGAATTTTTGAGCTGTCTAATTTTATGATTGATAGGCTGTGTGTAATTGGTTTGGCTCCTTCTCATGTGGCATTTAAGGACAAAGGGGGAATAACTTCGGTAGATTTCAATGTTGGGAAGTCAGATAGAAGTGCAATTAAAGTGACTGGAAAGCGCAAAAAGGTGTATTTGATCTTGCAAAAACTTTACCTTTTATGAATGTTGTTTGTTGTAAGTGACTTTTTCTTTTGATCCAAGTTACAATATGTGCCATAGTTCTACGATCACCCTTTCTATAACCAAATTCTCAAACCTTCGCCCTTTTGATGCATAGCTGTTAATGCATTATTGGATGAGTTGAAGCTGTTGTGTTTCTTAATATTGATAAATGTGATATAGGAAGGAATCACACAATTGAAGATGATCTTCATTCTGTGACTTGTCTGTCTTGTAACAATTCAGTGTTTGATTTTTGTTTATGTTCGTCGACAGAATGCACAAAATTTCGAATCCAACACAGCGTTGTGCAAAGTGTGCACCAAAGATTGTTTTTACATAGTGAGGTCAGGACTCTTTGTCTTTTTGGTATTTTCGTTAGTGTTCTTTATTTTTCTTTTTATGTTCTTCCATAACCAGTGGTGTGTGATTGGCTCCAACAGGTGCTGTATAAAAGGCTCTCTATTGGAAGTCAATGAAAGGTTAATTGAAAAACCAGAGTTACTCAATTCAGTGGTAAATAGCAACGTCTTTCATAGTTATTTCACTTCCCATCCTTTTAAAATGTATCCTCATTCATTTCATCATTAGAGTTTAGCCTCTATTTTTCGAAAAACTTTAGAACAAGGCTGTTGTGAAATGCCCGAAATATCCTATTTTTATTTTCTCTTGCACATTTGCATATGTTTAATTTGGAATCAAATTAGGTTTGGTAGTCAGGGTTGTGGATTTTAATTCTGAAGTATATATTCTTGCATTGCCTTTGCCGCGCTTATGAAGCATCAAGCTTGTATCTATCAATATCCATTGTCGCAAATTCTTGAACTTATTAATTCAACCTTGTGAAGTACAACAATTCATCTCTAGAGAAGAAGTGTAAGTTGTCTTATATGTTCTTTGGCTGAACTTAGCCGTGTGCTTTTGTAGCCGGGCAGTGAGGGATACGTCGCAATCATCATGCCTAAACCCGGTGACTGGCTCAAGGCAAAGGATTCGTTGCTAAGCTTTGAAGAGTACAAAAAGCTGAGAACAGAGCTATGAGTCATGTCTAGAGGTATTCGTGTGTATTTATGTTCACGTCGCCTAATTTTGGTCGGAAAACATGTGTTAATTATTTAAAGGATATATCTTTCTCTCTAAATCGACTGCATTGCCATAGTTGTGAGTCGTCTGAAGAAACATTTTAAGCTATACATGAAATATTTTGAGTTATTATATACTTCTTCCGGCCCAATATAATTTGCTAGCTTTTGCTTTAGCAAAGGCTCTTTAGGTACAATAATTTTGATATACTCTTACCTTTTGTTTTGAATGTTTTTATAAATTGATCCAAAATAGGTAAAAATTTTGAATTGAAATAGTGTTATTTGAAAGTGACGTAAATAAATTTTGATGTGATATTTTAAGTATAAATTTGATTTTTTGGTTATAATATATTAAATAAAAAAGTTGATATTTAATTTACTGGTTATGAAGGGAAAAAGTTTGGGGTAGTCCCAAACCAATTCCAAGAAATTTCGGCTTCTAGTATTCCTCGAAAATTCAGAAAATGAAGAAACAAATTTCTATCAAGAAAAAGAAAAGACATATTCATAGCAACCACAACACTTCCAAAGTCAAACCAAAATTTGGCAAGAAATTTCTTAGCAACACAATACAAATACAATGTGGGTCACAAACTAAAAATATCATTAAGAAGAAATTTCCCACATCAAGTTAGGTAAATGAGAAAACAAATAAACATGAAATAGGGCACTATAAATTGCACCCCACCCCTTTCTCTCATTACTAAAATAAGTAAATAAAAAGCCATCCATCATTTCTGCAAGAAAAATAATTCTCCAAAAAATAATAGTTGGATGGCTCAAACAACCCCAAAGCACACACAAACTGTCCATGGCTGGGCTGCTCACGACTCTTCTGGAACCATCACTCCTTACACCTTCAAACGCAGGTAACTAAATTAATACTTACTTAAATGGACAAATATATTTGTATTATTTTTCTGATATTCATTTTCATTTTCATCTGTTATATTTATTTATTTATCTACGAACAAGAAGTCCATCAATATATATATATATATACCTCGTCAGGATCGAAAATCATAAGCAGAATTGGATTGAATTGTTTGTTGTGCAGAGAGAATGGAGTGAACGATGTAACGATAAAAATTCTCTACTGCGGAATTTGCCACACTGATTTGCACCACGTCAAGAATGATTGGGGCATAACTATGTACCCTGTCGTTCCTGGGTAATAATAATAATCTTTTCTGTACTTTTCTTATTTCTTACCAAACCATTTTTGATGTCTTCTGGATTTGCATTTGCTGCTTCTAATCTTGTGTAATAATAATCAGGCATGAAATTGTTGGGGTTGTAACCAATGTAGGCAGCAATGTTACCCAATTCAGGACCGGGGATCGCGCCGGAGTGGGATGCCTGGCTGCGACGTGCCTCGACTGTGAATTCTGTCGAGACGAGCAAGAGAACTACTGCGAGCACGCTCAGTTCGTGTACAACGCCGTTTTTTGGGATGGCTCCATAACCTATGGAGGCTACTCCGAATTCATAGTCGCCGATCATAGGTAATAATAATACCATCTAGTCGGTGGTTCGACAACTCTTTTTTTTTTTTTTTTTATATATATATATATGGAAACATTCTATATAAAAAAACTATTATATTATCCTTTTATATGCTAGATTTAGATCCTTACAATCTAAAGGTATGTTTAGTTTGTATTGACTTAGACACTATTCACCGTATATAAAAATGTTATTATTATTCGTTAATCAACGTTAGAGTTCTTAACAAGTTGAATCGAATAGAATTTTAAGTGTTTGTGTTTGTTCTTTAATGTTTGCGAATAAAATTCGTGTTCGTTTGTTAAGCAATTTTATGTTCGAGCTCGTATTCGTATTTGGTTCGACTAAACTCGTTTGGGCTCGTTCGAGCTCATTGGATAAATATGATATTTTATCTTATTTTTTTAATTTATATATAATATTTAATTAATTAATTAATAGTTATATATATATATTTTAACGAACGTTTCAAATGTCTAGGACTCGTCGTTAACAAAGTGAGTGTATTTATGTTGTTCGATTCAACTTATTTACGTTTACAAACAAGTTTAAATCAAATCGAATCAAGCCAAGTTTACAAACAGTTTTGATTTGTTTAACAGCTCTAATCAACGTGCAAACAACATATCAACGTAAGTTTTATTTACTATCTAAAATATGTTGTGATGAAGGTATGTTGTGCACGTGCCCGAAAACCTACCAATGGATGCCGCGGCGCCTCTTCTTTGCGCCGGCATCACCGTGTTCTCTCCATTGAAAGATCACAACTTGTTGGAGTCCAAAGGGAAGAGGATAGGGATAGTTGGCCTCGGAGGGCTCGGCCACATCGCCGTGAAATTCGTGAAGGCGTTTGGGCACCACGTAAGTGTGATCAGCACGTCGGCGTCCAAGGAGAAGGAAGCCAAGGAGCGATTAGGCGCCGACGACTTCATTTTGAGCACCAATGAAGAACAAATGCAGGTAAGAAAATAGTTTTTTGTAATGAAAATTTTTCTTTTCTAGATCTACTTTTTCCGTTACTAATGGCATTAGAAACAAAATCAGAATGAAATTACGTTAGCTACATGAACTTTAGGGACGAAATTTCATTATAAATATATCATTTTTTTGTACATTAATTAGTTCCTCTAACTTTGGTTGGCTTACACAAGTTACAAATGTCGATAATACGCTTGAAAATCTTGTTTGTAGTCGAAGAAAAGAAGTCTCGACTTTGTTTTGGACACGGTCTCGGCCAAACACTCCCTCGGCCCAATTCTAGAGCTGCTCAAAGTGAAGGGGACTTTGGTGGTTGTCGGCGCGCCGGATAAGCCCCTTGACTTCCCGTCGTTTCCCTTGATTTTTGGTAAGAACTAATAATGTCTTTTCGATCGATGATTCTTTGATGGCGCGATGGAATTTTTCGATTCTAACGTAAGAAGATGGGCAGGGAAAAGAGTCGTGAAGGGAAGTGTGATCGGGAGCATAAAAGAGACGCAAGAGATGATGGACCTCTGTGGAAAGCACGGCATAACTTGCGACGTTGAGGTTGTCCGAACTGATGGAATCAACCGAGCTCTCGATCGGCTGGCCAAAAATGATGTCAAGTACCGGTTCGTGATCGACATTTCCAGCGACCGGCCGGCTTCGAAACTGTAGGAATTAATTAGCTTTTGTTGCCTCATTGATCTTCTTGTCAACTATTCAAATATTAATAGACCCTGATTCTGTGTTTTGAATGAAAATTTGATTTTTTCTGTAATGTTATATGAAAAATAAGTATTTAATTTTATAATCTTTTAAAAAAAATAAGTGATGAATAGTATGAGATACTGGGCATCATTTTCAATAAAAATATATACAGCCTCTGTTGTCTTTTTGCATGTTGAATTTGAGTATTAATTATTATATCAATACGCACGAATCAAGAGAAAAAACAAAAGTATGTTTATTAGTCTCTTATAATACAAATACAATCACATTTGTAGAGTAAATTATTCAAATATAAAAATATTTTTAATGTCAAATATAATTACCCAAATATTAAATAACAACCTTGCAGACCAAGGGAGTATATTCTTTCTTAAAAGTAAATATTTTAACAATGTTGGATTAATAAACTGGATTAAATGAAAATACAAAGAAATCAAATTTCGCACTGTATACACGATCTTAGATATACTTTGAGTCGCGTAGATTTGCTTTTCTTATACGATATTTCAACCCTATTAACGCCCCAGGTTACACGAAATTCGTTTGAGGATAAAACAAAGCAACACTCGAAGTTTAGGCGAAAAATCGAGGAAGTAAAAAGTTGCGAGATTATTTGTGTATGAAGAATATATTTTCCAGAATCCCGGAGAAAGAAGAGAGTTGTGCTTATTTCACCTTATGATTTTCTGTCTGTGTTTTTGTCTCTCTCGCGTTCTTTCTTCTGTCTGTCAATGATGTGAAGACAAGAATATATTAATATATTTGGAAATGTCTTTTCCGAAAAGATTTGAACTTGAATTTTAATCCAATATACACAACCTTTTCAGGAAAATATGAAGTTTAATTTCAAATTGAAAAGATTCAATTTATTCATTAAAGTTATCAATTCAAATTTAAATAAATTTGAATTTATAAGGTTTTATGTAACATAATTTTAACCTTCATTATATTATTTCACACTTCGTTCAATGTCGTATAGGCATCCTTAAGCGCGCACCCCGCGCATCCCTTCCCGAAGATAGTTCGATACGGCATTCATTACTTTTGAATAAATCCAATAACAACAAAATAACCAACAAACAACATATTCGGAACATCTTGCGACGACAACATCGTATTAGCAGCACATGTAACGTTCCTACCCTTTCGAAGATGAGCTTCCGGCAATGTCGATAACAAAGCGATACTTAACATCATTATCGGCGAGGCGGCGAAGCGCGTGGTTAATTTCATCGGTTCGGACAACCTCAACATCGCATGTAATATTGTGTTGGCCACACAGATCCATCATCTCTTGCAGCTCTTTCATGCCCCCGACGATGCTCCCCTTCACTGCCCTTTTCCCTGTTTTTATCGACAACATTTCATCGCATCCTTAGTTACTACACTAATCATATCTTACACATATAAATATGTATGTATGTAAGAGATGATTCACCGAAAATCAGAGGAAACGAAGGGAGTTCCATGGGTTTATCGGACGCGCCGACAACCACCAAAGTCCCCTTCACTTTGAGCAGCTCAAGAATTGGGCCGAGGGAGTGTTCGGCTGAAACTGTGTCGACAATAAAGTCCAAGCTTTTTCTCTTCGACTGCCCGAAAAATATCAACATGTTGTCATAAGAAAATGTACTTCTCTACCTCGTTCACAGTTAGCGTATTTATTTCTTAATTTAGCAAATTCAGCACACTATTGACAACATATGGTACGAGACAAACAGTACGCGATATATGGATAGACAACACAATTTATATTAACCTAATATAAAATGTTATAATACTAGACACCTAATGCTAGAGAAAATTGCAAAAAATATTTGTATGTATACCTTATTATTACTTTTGTCATGTATTTATCTATCTATCAAAATATATCCTACATGTTTGCAAATATCGTTATTTCTGTCATTTGGCCGTGCGATCACCCGCTGCTAGGCGCGACTAAAGAATAGAAATAGAGACTTTTGCAAACATGTGAAATATATTTTATCAGTAAAATAAATACGAAACAAAAGTGATAATAAAGTATACATGAATGATATTTTTTGCAATTTTCCCCGTATACTACCATTGTTTTCAACATAATATATATGGAGCAAATAAGCATTGCCTGTAAACATTGTACAAATAAAATACTAATATTTCTTAATCAAAATAGATACTAAGTGACGAAGAAAGTACCTGCATTTGTTCAACATTGTTGCTCAAAATGAAGTCGTCGACGCCTAATCGCTCCTTGGCTTCCTTCTCCTTCGACGCCGATGTGCTAATTACACTTACATGGTGCCCAAACGCCTTCCCGAATTTCACGGCGATGTGGCCGAGCCCTCCGAGGCCAACTACCCCTATCCTCTTCCCCTTGCACTCCAACAAGTCGTGATCTTTCAATGGCGTGAACACGGTGATGCCCGCACAAAGAAGAGGCGCCGCCGCGTCCATCGGCAAGTTTTCAGGCACGTGCACAACATACCTTCACCACATTTAGCTATTATTTTCTCTTACAGAATATTTCCTCCGTCCCTTAACAAATTTATTAATTTTCCCATTTTAGTTCGTCTCTTAATAAAATATTCATTTTTTTAGTAAATGTACTATCTACGATTATAAATACTCTTACAATTTATAATATATTACTCAAATGTCTATTACCTTTATATCATGCAATACTAATAAGATTATTTTAGTAATTTGCTACTATATTTCTACTATATATCAATATAATACTATTACTCCCTTCGTCCGCCTCTAAGGGTACTTTTTGCGTCATTGTACTACGTGTACAAATAACCTTATATTAGAATTATAAAAGACTAATTGAAGTATTTTTGTAATTTTTTTTTTTAATTTGTACTATGTTTTTTATATAATAATTAACATTAAAAAATTGAAATGCAAAAAGTAAAGGATGGAGGTAGTATATCTTAAATTCCATACAAAAAGCAAACGAATATTTTTTTAAAGGACGGAGAGAGTATTAAGTACCTGTGATCTGATACAATAAATTCGGAGAATCCGCCGTATGTGATGCTTCCGTCCCAGAAAATTCCGTTGAACACGAACCGAACCTGATCGCAGTAATTCTCTTGCCCGTCGCGGCAATGTTGGCAGTCGAGGCACGACGCCGCCAGGCCGCCGACGCCGGCCCTGTCGCCGACCTTAAATCCGGCCACATTGCTGCCCACTTTGGTCACAGTCCCCACAATTTCATGACTGAAAATTATGTTCAGATCAAGCAATTACAAATGATCAGATCAATCGATCAAACTAATTATATACAATTAAATTTATATATATTATTTAATTAATTAATTAATTACCCAGGGACGATAGGGTACATTATGGATATGCCCCGCCATTCATTCTTGACATAGTGCAGATCAGTGTGGCAAATTCCACAGTAGAGGATTTTGATCGTTACATCATTCACTCCATTCTCTCTGCAAATTAAAATAACAAACAAACAAAGGTATTTATATATATATATATATGTGTGTGTAATAATTTTTATTTTTATGTTTTTATTATTTTATTGTATTTACAGGATATATATATATATATATTTAATTTACCTGCGTTTGAAGGTGTAAGGAGCGATGGTTCCAGAAGGATCGTGGGCAGCCCAGCCATGGACGGTCTGAGTGTGGTTTGGGGTTGTCTGAGCCATCGATCAAACTTCTGAAAATGAGTTAGTGAGTGTGGATGGAAAATTGAGATAGGGATTTATGGATTATTTCTTTGTCTTCTTAATTTTCAATTGGATAAAAAAATTTCCTTAAAAAAAAAAAAAAAAAGAAAAAAGCGTAGAAACCTGACCGCCAGAAAAGGAAGAAAAAGGAGGTTGAAGATGGTGGGCGGCGGCTGCCGGCTTTAGTAAATAAAACATTTTTTTTGTCCAAATATCTTAAATAACTAATTATGAATAAAATATCTTGAATAGTGAAAATATTTTTTAAATAAAATAAATACAGAGTATATTTATATATATATATATATTTGGTGTTTAATAAAGTATTATATGTAAATGATAATCAGTGATAATTTTAATATATAATGATTATTTACTCGTACTATGGATAAAGTTATTATAAGAATTTTCATAAATAAGTATAAATATAAAAATATTTGTAATATATATTAGATACTTATTTTAAAAAATAGATATATTTTATATTTGAACAATAAAAAATGACAAATTATATGTTTTTGACAAAGTAGACCAAAAAAATATAAATAAATACATCATTAGTAAAATTATTGTAAGAGCAAAATATCAAAAAATCAATAGTACAGTAATTTATGTAAAAAAAAGTAAATACAAATTTTATGTTGAAGATTTTTTTTTAATATTTTATTATATAAATAATTACAAAAATAAAATTATGTATGCATACATGTATAATAATTTTGGGGGCCATGACTTAGCTTCCCTATAAAAAAGTGGGCCTGGGACAAGTCTCCTCCGGCCCCAATTAATGCATCCCTAGACAAAATATTTATGTGTAAGATTTGATTTTGATTTTAGTCTTTCTAATTTATTTATTATTATTATTATTATTTTTTAAATTGCACAAAATCATTGTGGTTTATAAAATTGTGTCAAATTTTCGTATTTTTAAAACTGCGTCGAACATTTTGTGGGTTTATAAACTTTGTGTTTAATTCTCTCGACGGTGATTATTTAATGGTATTAAACCTGAAAAAAAAAATTATTTTTAATATATTTACTATTTTTTAGGCTAAATATAAAAAAAATAAATATATTCGCAAGACGTATTTAGGTGTTAAAGGACCGAGGTTAGACAAAATTTATGAAACCATAGACGAATTTAACGCGGTTTTAAAAGTACAGAGGATTTGACTCTATCTTATGAAATCATAAGTAGGTTTTTGTATTAATTTAGCCTTTTTAAAAATATATATTAAATCAATACATATTTATATTACATCAAATAGTTGTTTTAATTCAAAATTTTACCATTTAAAATCAAAACTTAAAAAAAAAAAAAAAAATTACAAGTAAACACAATAGTTCAAGACAAAGACTACTTTCATTATCCAAACTATGTAGTAAATCTTGCACTTCTATAAAAAAGTTTTGAAATAACAGAGCTTGATTTGTTCCAGTGTAAACAGTTTCTGGTTCGTAGCTGTAATTGTAAACAAATCAATACCAATTTTTTGAAACCAAATTAAAGCATCAATAAGAACACAGTCTTGCCCTGCGACAACATCGTACATCGAAAATTAGGACATCTTAGCTCCTAAGCCTTCGATGAAAAGCTTCCGGCAATGTCGATAACAAAGCGATACTTAACGTCATTATTCGCGAGCCGGCGAAGCGCGTGGTTAATTTCATCGGTTCCGACAACCTCAACATCACATGTTATGTTGTGTTCGCCGCATAGGTCCATCATCTCCTGCGTCTCTTTTATGCTCCCGATGATGCTCCCCGTCACCGCCCTTTTTCCTGTTTCATTGCATCCTTAATTACTACATTCATCATATCTTATGCGCGCGCATATATATATATATAGATGTAAGAATTTAATACAAGCGATGCTTCACCGAAAATCAGAGGAAAAGAAGGGAGTTCCATGGGTTTATCGGGCGCGCCGACAATTGCCAGAGTACCCTTCACTTTGAGCAGATCAAGAATCGGGCCGAGGGAGTGTTTGGCTGAAACTGTGTCGAGAATAAAGTCCAAGCTTCTTTTCTTCGACTGGTCAAAAAATATCAACATATATATAGTCATCCATAAAAAAAAAGGGGCAAAATTGCATAAAGTCCACGTAAAATTTCATAAAATTACGCCAAATTCTTTATATTTCCAAAATTGAGTCAGACACTTTCATAGTTTCATAAACTAAACTCTGCGGCTAACATTCTAGCTGAGTTTCAAAATCTCCATTTTTAAAATTAACTATTTCTATGTGTATTTATTAATCATTGAGACTAAATATAAAAATAATGAATATGGGTATAATTTCAAGAGTTTGGAAATAGAAATTCTGGTCAAACATCCATAAATAAGGACGGTCAAAGGGTTAGACAGAGAGTTGATAAAATCATGAGAGAGTTTGACATAATTTTAAAAATACGAGAATTTGACGCAATTTTGTGAAAATCACAAATGAATTTTATATAATTTTAACAATAAATAAATAAATGAAACTCTCTTCATTCACTTAATAAGTTTACATTTACTTTTTGCGTCATTATACGTAACATTAAAAGTCCTCTTATATTTGTATAATTTGTTGTACGAATATTGTTATATTTGTATTATAAGATGCTAATAGAAATCTTTCTGTCATTTTTGCTTGATTTATATACGTTTTGATATAATAATTAATATAAACTTTCAAAGTAGACAAGAGAGTATATTTCATCATCTGAACTACCTGCATTTGTTCTTCATTTGTGCTCAAAATGAAGTCATCGGCGCCTAATCTCTCCTTTGCTTCCTTTTCCTTGGACGCCGACGTGCTAATGACACTTACGTGGTGCCCAAACGCCTTCCCAAATTTCACGGCAATGTGGCCGAGCCCTCCAAGGCCAACTACCCCTATCCTCTTCCCCTTGCACTCCAACAAGTTGTGATCTTTCAATGGAGTGAACACGGTGATGCCCGCGCAAAGGAGAGGCGCCGCCGCATCCATTGGCAAGTTTTCGGGCACGTGCACAACATACCTTTATTACACACAGTAAATTTTGTTTAAGGATTTAGACAAGTTGAAAATGACAACCTTTTTTTTTTTTTTTTGTACATGGGGACCGTAGCCGCTAACAATAGTCAACAAGTTATGTGAAAAAACCACTTTAGGCAAGTTACGAATTCAAACCAGTGACCTTATAGTCAAATATTTCGAATATAAGTGGAGCCAACAAGGCATTAATTTGATATAATTGTACAAAATCGATCATTAAATTTTCAATGAAATCAAATTTGTATGTAGAAAATGATGAATGAGACAAGGCAAGAGCTCTATTTACATATATATATATATATATATATTTTTAGAAAATTTTGACACTATTAACTTTTTTTTTTTAAAAAAAAAAGAAATTACATCAAATACTTTATTTTTTTATATATATATAATATCACATCAAATACTAACTTTTTACCAAGTACCTGTGGTCTGCTACTAGAAACTCGGAGTAGCCGCCGTATGTGATGCTGCCGTCCCAGAAAATGCCGTTGTACACGAACTGAACCTGATCGCAGTAATTCTCCTGGCCGTCGCGGCAATATTCGCAGTCGAGGCATGTCGCCGCCATACATCCAACTCCGGCCCTGTCGCCGACCTTAAATCCGGTCACATTGCTGCCCACCTTGGTCACAACCCCCACAATTTCATGCCTGAATCCACCAACAAATCACTGGTTTCTTTGCAAATATGGCGGCTACAGTGCTGAATTAATTTATTTTTAAAAAACAGATAGAATTAATTATTAATTAATTAAAATTACCCGGGGACAACAGGGTACATGGTAATGCCCCAGTCATCTTTGACATGATGGATATCAGTGTGGCAAATTCCACAGTAGAGGATTTTGATTGTTACATCGTTCACTCCATTCTCTCTGCAAAACAAACAAACAAACATTCGACCACACAAGATTGGTTTTCGATTCTGACGAGGTTTGTGTGTAATAATTTATTTATTTATTGATATATATATATATACATATATGTATGTATACCTGCGCTTGAAGGTGTATGGAGTGATATTTCCAGAAGGGTCGTGAGCAGCCCAGCCATGGACAGTCTGAGTGTGGTTTGGGGTTGTCTGAGCCATCGATTTTTCTGAGAATGAAAATGAGTATGGATTTGGATTGGGGAAGATCCATTACACAATTTAGAGATGGATTAATTATAGTATTTATTTATTGATCGTCCAGACACTGGCAGGTGCCTTTCCCAATAGGTAAATTATTTAATGCTCTCCTAGCTGTTCTACACATGGAATTAACTGCCCCAACACGAGCATCCAAACAATTTCTTTAATATTTTTCGACATACTCAACTTTATTTATGCTCATCCAACCAACAAAAAAATATATATATATATATATTTTATAACTTGGAAAAATGCAGCTGCCACTTTTTAGTGCGCTCTTAAAAACGAGACATACTAAGCGAATTATGTATGGCAAACAAGATTTAGAGACGTTGAGTGACAACATATATATATATATATTTTATGAGTGGGAATTTTGTCGTTGTCTTTTGAGTGGATATTGAATAAATTTTTAGAATCTATATATATATATATAGGTGATAAAGCGTCGGCAGAATTTCGAACTCATAAGCTCGTGATCACCGATCATTTTACTGCACGAACTCGATCACCTCTTATAAGCTTTAATCAATGATTTTATTATTATTATTATTATTTTGGATAATATGAAAAATTTACGGCCGCTGATTTTTAAATACATATTGAGTAACTAGTGTAGCCTAGAGCAAGAACATTTATTGATATTTGTGATGGTTTGGTTTGAATTAAATAGCATAGGACGTTTGTACCTTTATGTATTTAATATATTTGATTTTATCTTTTTCTTATTAAAATATTATTTAAATTTAAATATAAAAAAATTCAAGCGAAAATAAAAATCAAACAAATTGTTTTTTTTTTTATGTATTTATATTGAGAATATTTTATTTTAAAAAATATATATATACATTTTTTGAGAAAACACGCCTTTCTAATAAAGGGAGTAGTTGATTGAACATTAAATATATATAATAAAATTATTAAAAAACGAATAATATATATTTATATTAAAGGGGCCGGTAGCAAGTGGGTCAAATCCTAATTTATAATTTCATTTAATTTTGGTGGTTTGTGCACCTTTATTTTGAGAGTTGGGTGCATGGGCACTATATGTAATTCATTTTATAATAATATATATTATATATATAATTCTTTTTTTCTTTAATTATGTTTCAACCAATTGATTACATGCATTTGAGCCCATAACAGGTTTTTAAAGGCCCACTAAGTCTTCAAAATTTTGGGCCTTTGTTTACTCCAAGTATTTTGATATTAATTATAGTCAAGGCCCAATTCATCGGGTCTGTTGGCTTGAATTTATATATATATATATATGATACCCGATCCAATTTTTTATCGGATACTTGAAGTCGGATCTAAACACCTAAAAGGCTAATTCCTATAGTACCCAATTAACAACCTTATAAATGCTCTCTCCGTCCCGGATATTTTGTCCGAGTTACCGTGGACACGAAAATTTATGAGAAGTATAATTAACAAACAATTTAAAATGTATTAGTGAAAATAATTATTTTATAATAAAATAATTATATATTAAGATCAAAATAAATGATTAATATAATTAAAATTAAAAATATTATAAATTAAAAATTTTAAAATAAGATTAAAATGTATAATTGTTTTTCAAAAAAAAATTATAAAATAAATGGAACGGACGAAAATAAAAATGTAGACATGAGAGTGAAACAAAGGAAGTAATATTCAAGAAAATAAAGAATTATCCAATAAAACTCACGATCATTATCCAATAAATAAATTTCATGAAAATAATTTCAAAAAATCATTATATAGGGAAATATTTTAATGTTATTTTATCTATTGAAATTTTCAGATTAGAGGTAGTAATTTAATTTTAAGGAAGAAGATGAATAATATTATATCTCTTTTTCATGTTATTTTCTTTTATTTTCTATATCATTTAAAATTATACCTAAAAGTAAGAACCTCCTGCATTAGAAGCCAAAACATCTTTTACCATTTAAAACTGACCAAATATTAGAGTTTGTTCATAGAGTTTCTAATAAATGTATGTATATATGTACATATTTCTCTTTATAAAATAACAGCAAAATACAATTTAAATCAAATAAAATTAGAAAAATAAAAATAGAAATACTCTACTGTTTTGATAGATTCAAAATTTTCAATAAGTGGCTTTAAATTGTTTTGTAAAATAATTTATTTGATAATAGACAAAATTTTCAGATATGATGAAATGTCTAACATGCTCCAACACTGCATATGACCTATATACATTATGTATAGGTAAAATTGCTTATAACTCCCTGCGTAAAATTTCCATGTACTTTAAAAATTGCATGGTACCCCTTATACTTTAAAAAACATGAAAATTTCCTCGTGTGATAAGAAGATGATTTCCTACCTATATGTTTTGCATGACAGTGGGATTTTATGCAATATTTTTGAAAGTATAAGTGAGCGTCATGCAATTTTTTAAAGTAAATTGGGGATTTATGCTGAATTTCAAAACCACAAAGTGGTTTCATGCAACATTTTTTAAAGTATAAGGGGACGTCATGCAATTTTTAAAGTATGGGAGGGAATTTACCCCGAGTTTCGAAACCACAAGAGAGTTATGAGCAATTTTGCCTTATGTATATATCTACAAAATAATTCATGTTTAGAATATTTTTTACTATTCACGTAAAGGCTCAACACTGAGGAATCACTAAAAATTCGAATACTACCATGCCATTGAGTACTTGTATTTTCTTTCTATTGATTTCCGGGTTTTTCAACTATTGCAACAATCACAACTTCTGTCCAAACCAACACCTTAATAGGGTACATCATTTGCACAAAAACTAGATATCAAAGCAGAGCTACCACTACACATACTTCGAATCCATCGATGATATAAAGTGACTACGAAATAGACAAGCATAGATATCACCGAATAATTTTTTCCAACCTTAAGACTATCACAAGTTAAGATCTTATCATGGTAGTTAAAATAGGATGCAACAAAATACCTATTGATTGTCGAAGCAGCAGTAGCAGTATCCATAATAGAACATAAGTTTTTAGCCGTGCAGCCTCGTATCTTGGATCAATACTCCAACAAGATCCAAAAGGATCATCTTGTTGAGAGGTACAGCACAAGAAAATTGTGCCGTCCGGATCATGAATAAGGAATAAATTAGAAACAAGATAAAATCATATATTAAAACAACTTCTGGCATTACCATCGGAAAGATCAAAATCACATCTGTACAGTGTAGTAAAATGTTCTAATAAGACTTACCCCTACACTACATATCAACAGCTTTGGACCAAAAAGAATAATTTGAATTACCCAATAACTTACCTTACAGCAATAGCAGGTGTTGGAGGAAGGACAGTCGAATCTGATGAATAAACAATAATATGAAGAAGCTCCAAAGAAGAAAATTTGAGAATGAATCAATGTCCTCAGCCGATACAGTGTGTTTCTTCAACCCTAATTTGGGGGATTTTTACCGTGCAAAAGCTGATATAGTGTGTTTCTTCAACCCCAGTGTAAGGGGTTTTTACTGTGCAAAACACTTTTACACAGTAAAAAACCCCCAAACTGGGGTTGTCACTTGCCAGCCGACACCGTCTGCAGCAGTAGCCTTTCCCCCCTCTTGTTTTTTAAAAAAAAAAATTAAAATATAATTTGATATTTGTAATAATTATAATTTAATAAAAAATTTTATAATATAAATAAATAAAAATTAAAAAATATTTATGTAGATATAATATAAATTCATAATCAAATCTTACCCCTATTAATTTTAAAAATTTTAAATTAATAGAGGTAAGATTATTATACTTATTACTCTATCAAATCAATTATACCAAAACTCCTCAAACCCCAACCAAACTTAAACACAAAAGAAACATCAAGACTCAAACATATCTTAAAATTCAAATAAAACCCAAACCCAATTTTACCAACTACCTCAAAAGAAACACACCCATAATAATTATCAACTGGTTGAGGAAGGAAACAGACTGCAGCTATAATGCAGCAAGAAACAGGGCAGATGGTGTGGGGTGACAGTGGCAGTTGTGGGCAGTGGAGGAGGCGCACAGTGGTGGCAACAGCAGCTTGTGATGATCAGCCATAATCACACAGGTTGGTAATTCGGGTCGATCGGCTCTGTTGCCAGCGTGTGATGGTCAGCCATTATATGAAAGCTTAACTCTCTATTGTACATAAGAGAGGAAGTATAACCAAAAATAAGCCCAATGAGGTTAGCCCAAATCCTATCCAACACATGTAAACTATAAATTAACTAAAGATAAGAAAGCAAAACACGGAAACTATAAAGTAACTAAGATAAGAAAACAAAATTGCACCTGATTGAGCAAAAGCGAGCAAAACCATTGAAAAAGACCGGGTAAAAGATGCTGAGGAAATGTATAATTTTCTGTGGTCAATTATTAACAGATACTCCAGTAAGTTCGTCGCCAACATAAACTCCAACGTAGCCTACAGCAAACCCGCTATTATTTCACTACCAACTGAAGCTTTCTGAATAACCAACCAAAATAAATCCACAGATTGGGTTAAAAATAGATCAAAATCTGCAAGCATTATGTAACATCAAGCCTTGGGCAGGTATCGTAAATTCCACATAGGCTACAGAGAGAGGCTTACTGACCATACCAACAGCAGGCAGCAAACAGATTCATAGCTGGGGAGATGGAAGAACAGGACTCTGATGACTTCTAGAGGCCTCAACAGCGCCAGAAAGGCAAAGCAAGCAAGACCTTCATATACCAGAAGAAAGCAACTCAAAATAGTCCTCCACCATAACCAACCAAATCCCAAATATTCCATTACACAGATGTTTGAGAAAACAGGAAAGAATATTAAGTAGTGTCATTTCATCAACACATTAAAAAGATACAGAGTCATTAACAAACTCAAAAGGCCCATGTACACTGATTTAATTCGGAAAAAACAAAATGTTAATCTTATAAGTGGCAGAATGTATTGTTTTGGTTATTTAAGTGGATTATATTTGTCACTTTAATGGTGTACTAATTCTGCGTGTGACATTTACGTGTGCTTACAATATTTGACACGTGGAGGTTCCACAATACACATGTAAGGGTCACATACACAATCATGACTATTGGAGTGACAAGTGAAATTACAGGACCATTTCGAAATAGGTACATCTAAAGATCAAAAATGATAAATAGAAATTACTTTTAGAACCAAAATTATATTTCCATTTAATTTAGAAACTAAAATGCAATTAAAATAATGATCGACTAAAATAAGTCAGCCAAAATGACTATCAGTAAGTGGCAGCACCAAGAAGAAACTAAGTATTTATAGTTCGAAGCCCCAACACCATTGACAATCCAAACACCATGATGTTCCATTTTCTCTGCGCCAAAAATCTCTTGGAAATTCAACAGAAAATAAACATAGCTTACAAATGGTATTATAAAGGATGTTTTACTATACCCACGACTATACACCTATGTGAAGAAAGATCAGAGGCATGAGACTTGTGCATTCTTTTGTTAAATATAATTATTCAATATACTAAATAGGATAGACGAGATGTCAAATTAAGGCATATAAAATGTTCATTACTTTTGTATAATTTTTAAAAGCAAAACAAAATATGAATAATTAATTATAATATGATGACTATGATTATTATTATTGTAGATATCTTGCATATAGTTGTTAAAATAATTATAAACTACTCCCTACATCTGAATAATTATGTCAGTATCCCTTTTATGGTTGTCTGCTAAACTTATGCATAGTTTATTCATAGTAAAAACTTTGGATGTGTTTTTTTTGTGAAAAGAACCCCCACACATTTTCCCAAAAAAAATAATATATTATCCACATTCATTATTTTTATATTACTTACGCAATTCCTTATATCTCACATAAAAAATATATCCCCTCAAACCAAAATACAAAACACACCCTTTATATATTCACAATTTTATTACCCATACTTTAACCGATATTAATCAATTTGCAACAACATTCTCTGTATTTAGGCATAAGCATTTTATTACCTATTTAATTCTTTATATCTCACATAAAAAAATATATTCCTTCAAATCAAAACACAAAACAAACACACCCTTTATATACTCACAATTTTATTACCCATACTTTAACCGATATTAATCAATTTGCAACAACATTTTCTACTTACTCAAATAATTATTTATTAGATTGTTAATAATTTTTTTATAATACCCCTACTGTACTTTTTACCTACTCCATCTTCTATTAAAATATTATTATTTATTAGTCTCTGTGTTCAGGCATAAGCATTTTGCACCGAGGGAGTATTATATATTTCAAATCAATATAAGTTTGTTGAATTTTGAATAATGCATTGTCGATAAGTGGCTTTTCATGATAGAATATGTTGTTAGTAAAGGATTGATATCTTATTTTAATAATACCAATGTATCATTTGTTAGATATAACATTGATACATATGTTTCGAATGATGAAAATTTGCTTTTAACATATAAACTATATAAAGCTTCTTTAGTTTTGATTTGTATAATAGTAGTTTGATGAGCTATTTTGTGAAAAATAATATATAGTATATTTTTATTGCGAAGTAAAAGTTATTGTTGGGAATAATACCAAACACAACTAATAAATACGGTAAATTTATATGAAATTTATTAGATTGGTAACATTAAATTACTATTTCACTATTGCCGACCCATATCAATCGAAGTTATGTAGTGGGGCCTACCGTGTATATGTAATAATAAATAATTATTGTTGTGTCATTATGGAGCAATGACATATGACAACTCAGATTTGCACGGTAAACCTAATACCTACTAAAAAAACTCTTTTTATTATCTACATAGGATACACAAAAGCTATTGTCTTGATTCAATTCCACCGGCAATTGTTTTTCAGGATTCAAGAGTCTTTCGGCGATGGCAAATATCTTTAATCACGCGACCACAACCACCATGGCAACCAACTTCATCCCGCCGATGGTTATTGGAAATTTTGCTATGAAAAATGATGGAAGTGGCTATCTTGATTGGAGTTCAAATGCTAGCGGCTATACGAATAGATTCTATTGGATGCCTTCTTGCAATAACCTAAATTTGATGGCACCATCATATTCCCCACTTCTTTCGGTGCCGTATTGCCCACTTCCTTTGTTAACCCAACATGGAACGACTCTGAATCCTTACGGATCCCTTGTGTATTCACCTCTTCCACCAGGTAAATTCATAACATTAGTTGAATTAGTAGATCAATTACTTCAAATTTATAATTTTATCTATTTATTAGGTGTTTACCCTCAAGCAACAATGCCGACGCTCTATGTTCCATTTGTCCCCCCACACCCGCATATGGTTTTTCCCGAAGATTCTTTAATAACAAAATTAATCAGACAAATAGAGTATTATTTCTCGTAAGTTGCATTGCCAATTTGCTATTTTATTTATTTTTTTACTTGTTTTTTTTTCTTTTCTTTTTGTTGATGTATTGTGTTATCTTGTGAAAGTGATGATAATATGGCCAAAGACACTTACTTGAGGGAAAAAATGGATACACATGGTTGGGTGTCCATTCATGACATTGCCTCTTTCAATTGTGTAAGCATATACAAACTTGAGGCATATATAATTATATTTCAATTTTTATGTAATCCAATGTTATCTTTCACATGGTAAGGGTATTGGTAATAATATGTGACTTATTTACTAAAATTTTCAGGTTAAAGAGTTGACGACTGATATTCCAACAATTCTTGAATCTCTTAAATACTCGTTCTCCATTGAAGTTTATGTGAGTACTACCTTATTGTTGCATTTGAATGTTTTGCTTAATCTTCAAACAAATATACTTATTTGCAGCATTCATATATTATAATAAATATTTGCAGCATTCAAAAATATATATATATATATATGAAATATATCATGTTTAAATATTTTCTAGTCTCTGTTACAGGGTGCAATGGTGAGAAATCGCTATACATGGCAAAAATGGACCAAGGTTCCTACTAAATCCTATTCCAATATGATCGGGCAGCCAAGTACCTACAGTTTGTTCTAAATTGATGTTCAAAATAATGTTTGTCAGCACTCAATCTATGTTTCACTTCCTTCCCCAGAGAATTTTCTATAGCTCATCCGGTGTTCTACTGCAAACATGACCTCAACAAATTGCTAATCAATCATGTCTTGTTGGCATGCATATCAACTATAAAAATGTATGAGGTGTTGCTTTGGATTCAAACTCTTGGTGTGGTTCATAATAGGAACCAAACAATTTACATATTGTTAACTCTTCATTCTACATCAGATAAGTCATTCTCCAACCCAGTATTCCAAAATAGCATCGTCATCATCTGGTTTTACTTAAAATAAGTATCACTTTCCACAACTTCACCACTTACATCAGCAATATTTACATAACCCATTAAAATTTGAGAAAGAATTACACCCCTAGGTGCTGTCACATGTGCTTTAGTTTTTGTTTTTGTTTTGTATTTTGTATTTTTTATTTTTGGAGGTGAAAATAGTTGTGGGATCTAATGTATTTTATTATCATTACTATTATTTAAGGGAAATGGTAGATAGAACAGTAGGGAAAACACACCCACACTAATGGACAAACCCGAATTTGTCTAAAATCTCAAGATCCCTGATTTTGAATGAGTCTTTAAACTAGTATACTCATAGGATCAAGAGCATTAACCAATATTGTGTAACAAATCAAAAATTAGAAGATAAAGTCCTACATTTAGTTTAACCCTTACTACCCAAAATATTGTAGTAAAACATATACATCCTACAACTACTATGGAGTACTTTGTTTTGGAGTGTCTTCATAGCAACACCAACTACATAATTAATACATGAAACAAAAAGCAAATATTTTTCATTTTTTGAATCCACATAAACTTTAGGCAAAATAGCACTAATAAGGCCAGACTCTCAAGCCTAGTCATTTTCTACTACTCAGCTATACAACAGCAAAACCATGAAAAATGACTCAAGAAACAAACCAATCTCATCACTTTGAGCAAAAGAAGACAAAAAACCATTAACATTGATTGTTGTCCTAGCTTTCGATGGCATAGAGCAAAACAAAAGTAAGAACCCCATAAATATATAAGGTACATCTTTCACCTTTACATATAAAATTAGTATAGATAATGAAACAATGAACCATATAGTATTTTTTCTAATGCTCTTTAAGACCTATGACCTTTCTGAACCAATATGTATACATACTACAGGAGCTTTGTTTATTTAAGAGATTATTTAAAAAATCTTTTCATATTCACTATAAAAATTAATTATATTCTCTCACAAAGTATCACTTCCAACCTATTATTCAAATCCAAAACCAAAACCCAAAATAAATAACCAGGTAAACACACCCAAAATGGGCTTTTCTTTTGTAGTAGGTTGGGCATGTGGATACATTTGAACGTAGGTTTGAATGTTAGCTTTGGGTTTTGGGTGGGAATAATAAAAATTTGAATTATAATAGACGTTTGATACAACATTTTGAATGAAAATTAAATTTTAGAGGTTGTGTAATTGTTGAAAAATAGAACTCGGATATGATGGTTTGAACCGCAAGACATTTTTATTTATGTTTTAAACAGTAAAATATGAACCTGGTGTGATGTTTCATAGGAGAAAAGTTACAACAAATCATATGAAAAACAAGTTTAGAAACAAAGTAAACAGACCACGAGGAATCACAATTAGGAAATCTAATTCATATCAACTGACACTCGCCGGTGATTCAACGGAAAACCAAATATAGCTTCACTCGCCGAAAACAGAGAAATATAATTAAACATATAGTAAAACACAACACCCAAAATTAAATGAAATCTGGAAGATTAAGATAACAAGAAGCCATGTTCATAATAAAATTAGAGAGGTCTAGCGGTCTTACCAACGGCGGGGGACGGACGACGGCCAGCAACCACCAGATTCATAGCCCGGACAGATGGAATAACGGAGCTCCTGTTGAAAACCGTGAGATTTGAATCAAAAGAAGGATTTCCAAGAAGACCTAATGAAAATTGAAAGATTGGGCCAAACGGCCACCTCGAAAAGATAATAGGGTGTTTGTTCGAAAAATTTGGGTGTGTTTGTTCGAAGAATTTTGATAAATTTACTATTTATATATATATTTTTTTAAAAAAAATATCAAATTAAATATTTATTTGTTATTTTTATATTATAGTAAAATAAATTTTACATTCAAAATATTACATCAATTCTTATTTATATCATATTATACCGTTATTCAAATTCAATTTTTTATTATTCAAATTTCAATTCAAAATTCAAACTTCCAAACAAATACACTTAAAAATAAGGTTTGTTCATACAAATTATAAATACAATACGTATATTCTATTCATCTACAAAAATTAACAATTCAATACAAAATATATTTTTTATATTATCAAAATTTCAATAGCTAACATAAATATATATATATATATATTCAAAATTACAAAATAAATACAACCATTATTTATTTTTTTTTCTCCAAAACATCTCAATTATTCAAGTAAACTGAAAATGAAACTAAAAACACCATCTGCACCCATGGATAGATTAAACTCGCTAGAAAGGACAAAGTAGTCCAAGAAATATCAAGGTGGGTCTATTCATAAGATTTTTATTTTTATTTTTATTTTAAATAGTAAAATTTTGAATTGAAATAATTGTTTGACGTGATATAATATATATTGATATTATATTTTAAATATAAAAATAAATTTTAGTGTAATATAATAAATAAATAAATAGGCATTTGATTTCATATTTTTAAGAGAAAATAAAAAATTAAATAGTAAAATCGAGTGTAAAATCGAAAAAAAAATAGCAAAATACTTTTACTAGTGTCTTATAATACTAATATAATGATATTTATAAAAAAATTATACAATATAAAAATATTTTTAAAATTAAATATAATGATGTAAAAGATAAATATTATACGAGGGCTAAAATATATTTTTTTAATTTTTAATAAAAACATATCAATTAATATCACATCTAACCTAATGATTATTTCACTTAAAAAATAAAAATTAAATAAATAATAAAAAAAAAATCAAAAGTCATATAAATAGAAATCACACACCCTAAGATGAGTGTTGGTAACTGCCTATAGCACATTGTGTGTTCACAGATAACAAATGATATTATTACAAATAATAAAATATATATTTATATAATACAAATACAAATCATAAACTAGTAACGCATAATATACTTTCATATTAGCATACAATAATTGATTTTAGTATATGTTATACTCTTATACAAACGCACGTTATAAGTGTATATATATTTTTTATAACGTGATAATCGACAATCATTACTCGTCGAATACGTTTTGGATAAATTTCAGCCGAACCTAATAGCCAGCAAACTATTAGAAAAATATATTTTAAATATAAACTATTACTATATGTTATGTAAATCATATAATTAGAGATTATTAATCATCTTTTTTTAGGTAGGATTAAATAATATTAACTCATTTCGGGTCACATTTTTTTTTTTTTTTACGTGTCGATCTTTAAATATTAATTATTATATGAAAACATAGTACGAATCAAGACTAACGACAAAAATATTTCTATTAATATTTTATAATTTAATATAATGACATTTGTAAAAATATATATATATATAAATATAATAATATTTTTAATATTAAGTAAAATATAAATGTAACCTTAGAGGAGAGATGGAGCATAACTTAATAATATTGTTTAAAAGACCGTTTTGTCTTTTATTAATAATTAATTTTGTACTAGTTTTATCACATATTTAAAAAAAAAAATTATAAACTTATACAACAATTCATTAAAATAAATATTATATTATTTTATCGTATAATTATATAATTCATTACAATAATACTTTCTCTGTTCTAATACAATAATTTTGTTTACCATTGTCCGTCCCAAAATAATAGTTTTGTTTCCATAAATAGTCATATCACCATAAAATTATCCCTACTTTTTCATTTTTATTATACAATTGCACTACTTTTTACACTAATACACTAAAAAAGGCAAAAAAATCTTTTACCTATATTTTTTTTACCAACTATCAATATAATATTAATATTCCTTAAATCATGTGTCCAACCCAATTAAGACTATAGTTTTAGGACAGAGGGAGTACTATATATTATAATTTTAGCTTATAAACACATTTATGCATATAGTTATAATTTTTATAATATTAATCGAAAAACATATTGATAAATAACTAGATAATTCCCGATTTTTTCTTTCTTATTTTTGAAATTTTATTAATTTTGATATTTGTTTTATGCATGTCTGAAATAAATAATACACATACACCATATTAGGTAGAATTTGATCAAAATTAAATAAATATCTCATATAATATAAGTATTTAGAGCATGAAGTTTCTAACTATTAATAGAAGTGTTTTAAGTGAATCCTACCTAATGTATCTATTGTACTATGAAGTTAATTAAATTAATTTATATTTTATTTTTTTAATATATATTGAATTAGTAAATTTTATTTAAATATAAAAAATAAATAAATCAAAAATAAAAAATATTTATTTCGTCAACTCATGAAATATATATATTTTTATTTTGGTTTGTCCAATTACAAAGAACTATTTTATTAATTATTCAATTTTTTCTCACAAATATCTTTATTATTACTTTTACACCAAAAAAAAATAAAAATAAAATTATTTTTATACTACTTTAATTATCTATTACAATCAAAATATTACTCTCTTCGTCTTATTTCAAAATATCATTTTTACTATTTTCGTCCGTCTATTTTATTTTTTTTTAGTAAAAGTAGTCATACACTAATACTAAAATACATTTAATTTTTATTTAAATTACAAATATATCATTACACATATTCTTATTTTTTTTACATAAAATCAAATAATAAAAATGTCAAATCTTTTTACACATCTTCGTTAATTAATACTTCCTTCATCCATAACAAAGTATCAATTTTTTCATTTTAGTATGTCACATAACAAAGTATCTATTTTTTTTTTAGTAACTGTACTATTTACCTAACATTACAAATACCCTTACAACTTACAATATATTACACAAATGTCATTACATTTATATCACACATACTAATAAGGTTATTTTAGTAATTTATACTTTATTCTTACTTACATCTCAATATAATATTAATATTTATAAAACTACTTGTAAAAAACAAATGAATATCTAATTATGGAATGAATAAAATTAAATTTTTTAATTTTTAATTTAATACAAAATCTCAAAAATTCCATTTCAAAATAGACAAAGGAATAAGATGTACTCCCTCCGTCCCAAATACCATGTCCACATTGTCGTTTCTGTCCGTCCTATATACCATGTCACTTTCTTTCTTTTTTGAAAATGATTAGACACTTTAATCTCATTTTAAATTTTTAAATTTTATTTTTTTAATTTTAATTAAACTAATTAGTTATCTTAATCTTAATTTATAATTATTTATATTATAGGATAATTATTTTTAACAATACATTTTTAATTATCTACTAATTACACCTCTTATAAAATATTGTATTTACAATATAACACGGTATCTGAGACTGATGGGACGGATGGATTATTATTTTATAAAAAATATATATATATATATTTAATTATAAGAACGTGAAAAACAAAAAGGGTCGTAACTGGCACTTACAAAAGGTTGCTGGATATATAGGCATCCACTGCCAATTAAGGAAAGGCTTGAAGTGATTGATCTGTCAGTGTCGTGTTTAGGGTGTGTTTGTTTGAGAATTTGGATTTTGAGTTGGGATTTGAATAGTAAAAATTTTGAATTTGAATAGTTGTATGATGTGATATAAATAGGTGTTTATGTGATATTTTGAATGTAAAATTGATTTTTAATATAATATAGAAAATAAATAATAGGTGTTTGATTTAATATTTTCGAGAAAACAAATAGAATAAATAGTGAAAATCTTCACAAATCCTTCATATAAACACACCCTTGGTGATACAATATTTAAAAACGTATCAACTATTATACGACAGAGTCCAGTGTCATAAATACAATAGGTGTGTTCTTTACCCAAATTTTATTATTTAGACTATGTATTTTTTAAAAAATATATATATATTTTTATAAAATATTCTATCAATATTATTTTAATATTAAATTCATATCAATTTTTTTAAAATTTAAAGAAAAGAAACACTCCTATGTACAATTTTTTTTTTTTTTTATGTGATACAATATTTCAACGCGTACCAACCATTATACGACAGAAAAAAGTACTATAGCATTAGGGTTTGTTTAATTTTGGTTAAAAATTGAGATTTTAATTTAAATTATTCACTCTGATATTTAAATATTTTATTCGTCCTAACACAATAATTTTGTTTATTATTTTTGTTCATTTTAAAATAATAGTCTCATTTGTATAAATAATCATATTACTATAAAACTACCTTTATTTTTTCATTATTATTACACAATTACCACTACTTTTTACACTAATATATTCACAAGGGCAAAAAAGTCATTTATTCTTATTTTTTACCGACTACCAATATAATATCAATATTCTTTAAATCTCGTGTCCAGCACAATAAGACTATACTTTTGTGACGGAGGGAGTACTATCTTTTAAATGTCATTTTCCAAAATAATAAAAAATATAATATTTTATACAAAAATCAAAATAATCATTATAAAAAAAAATATTACAAAAAATAAAAAAATATTTTAAATTAAAATAATATATTTTATATTTTTACACAATTATCTATGCTACACACCAAAAATCATATAATCTACAAAATTCTGTGTAAACTGAGCCAATATTTATATAGTAATTTGATAAGATAATATATTTTTATTATAAATTATATAAATGAATTCGCGTTTAAAATATAAATTAATAGATTTTGACAAATATTGTTTAATAGTAACTTTTTTTTTCAAAAAAAATAATATCTAATTTTTTTTATTTTTTTTATAATTCTTAAAATTTATAAAACGCCAAAGTTTTATGCCAAAACAGAGCTCACAAATACACTGAGAGCTGAGCTGTTCTTCGTTCAAT